TTTTTTCCTTCTTTTTCTTCTTTTCTTTTTTAACTGTTTTTCGGCAGGACAGACACGTTTCAGCCCCTTGAAGATTGACTGATGCCTTATCTCGCTTGTTTGATTATCGCGGGCTGAGAGAGGGGCTGCTGGGAAGGGACCCAGTAACTTGGCTAATTAACCAACGCGGAGTCCCCCTTCTTCTTCTTCTGTCCTTGTGCTGGCCTCCTTCCAGAAGCGGCAGAGCAAGCAAGAAAGCAAGTCGCCCACCTTGTCGAATTCGTGCTCACTTTGAGGCAGGGTCTGACCGATTCGGCCAACAGCGAGGGCGTAAGTGAGAAGGGGCGACAGTACAGAGTTATAACGGGGCCGGGTTAAGCCTGGACGGGAGGGAGATTAGCATGCCCTTCTCGGTGATAGGCCATGGTAGAGGAGAGAGAAACAGAGATATCTTTTCTTTTTCGCATGTCGTCGTCTTCGCTGTGGAGTCTCTCTCTGTCTCCCTCAACCTCCCTCCTCCATTGGCCCGTCCGCCCGCCATTCCAGGCGCCGGACCCTAACGTTACGTCCCGCGGTATAATGACTTTGCCCTACCAAGTTGATGGCCCCAATATGGCCAATACAGAAGAAGAGATTGGTTGTCAGATTATATGGTTGGTTGGGCAAAGAGAGGGCACCGGCCGTCTCGAGGACAGTGCGTTTGGTCCTGTTCAACGTGGACTTTGACTACAGTCAACGTGAGATTTCACGCCATCAAGGGACACGAGAGTCTGCGTTTTCCCGGTATGCATCTTATCTCTCAGCGAGGCGAGAAAGCCAATGCCAGGAGTACCAGCCGCCCGTCTGACTTGCCTGCATGTCGGATAGCGCATGCAGAAACAGGGAGGATTCGAGGAAGAAGCAAAACCAGCATGTGGTTCGATTCAACCCGAGACGGTAGCAACTCGACTTTCTTTTTTCCCTTGTCCCTTATGCCCATTCGGGCAGTCGCACAAACGAATCGCTTACCTATGTGCCTAAGGCGGTACTTGGGACTGACTCTGAGGCAAGTTTGACTGGCTAACTACCCTATCTACCCCTTGAAAAGAAGAACTCGGACATGATCAGAGTCGCCATCCATCAGGAAGGGTACCAACCTATGCGAGAACTCCGCCGTCACGACAGTGGAGTGTAACTCCCCGTGCACCACGGCCCGTCTCGCCTCGGACCTTTTTGCTATTATTTTGATTGCTTGGAACAGTGTGATTGGGTTTGTTTACGTGGTTGTGTAGGACAAATAGAAGGAAGGAAGCAGGCCGTCTATGCAAAAGCTGTCGCGGTTGCATAACTGAGGGATAAACGAGATGATGGGATGACTGTCTGTTTTAAAACGTCATCTGTGGTACCAATGATCCAATCAGAACTTGAATGTTGGCACTCGCAGCAGACGTCGGGTTCTAATTCTCAGGGCCTCGCACACATAGGGCTGGCACGGCATCCTAAGTGCCGGTAGTGAAGCCGGTGGTGCAAGGAGATTGGGGTGTGTGTGAAGGGTGGGCATAGATATATGCGTGGATAGTCATGGGGACGTGTGGATGGACGCAGGAAGGTGCTCAGACCGAGAATGAGAACGTGTGCGAGATGGAGGAACCAATGATACATGTCGAGCTGTTTTTCAACCGACCTGGAGTGAAGGGGGAGAAGTCGCTTAAGTTGTAACCATCAAACGAGCCAAGTCTGCCACCGATACGTACCGCAGCCATCTGCGACTCCTGCTGGCGGTGCGCTTGTGGCGTCTCTCCCAGTGGCGCTTAGGGCTGGCTGGATCTGACGGCGTGTGCAATAGAAGCCTCCCCGTCATGGTGTTGTCCTGATGTGGGCTTTGGAGGCTGTTGTTGCTTATCCTGAGTCTAACGGCTTTCCTAACTGAACTGCTTATCGCTCCAGCTGGATTTCATGATAACTGGAATCGAAGGATCGCGATCAAACAACCAACTCTCTATGGCTTCAGGGCTAACCATATGCGAATTAATTTGGGCCGAACTGTCTGAAACCTCGACCTTTTATTCTTACGCCTGCTGCTTGCTGTCTCATACCATGGCCGCTGTATGTCGAAACGGTACTAGGTTTGCGAGTACGTTGGCGAGCTGGTTTCGATATGACCCAGACCAGGGCCATGCCAGGAGGTCAACAGTGGCTTTTGAAGCTCTCTCATCGTACTTTTGCAAGGTGTAACGTCGGTGTGCCCGAGCAGGGCTCTGTGGACGACAGCAGTCGTGAAGGCGGCGTGAATGACCATTGACTTCGGCCACAGAGCTCGAGATCGGCTTCCGTTATGCTTCAAAGTACCCAGGCATCGCGGGCTTCTATCAGAAGCGTCTAATGTTGGCGAGACGGGTTCAATAGTCATTGCTTTGGAACGTTGCTCGGTGCAAAAGATTCATTCCGGCATGGCAATAAACTTCTCGGCAGCGTATCAGAATCTGGATTCCGAGAGGAGGTCGGGCTTTTCGTTCATTTCTCTTGATTATCGACATAGGGACGGCAGACTTGGAGAACATGCCAATCCAGCCTTATCGCACGTCTCGAAGATGTAGCATCAATTTTCCATCTTCCAACACGGGTGGAGATATCGCACACAACCGTTACCACTGCTCGACTCTATACGAGGAATGGTCGTCTACACCCGACCAGGGCTTAACCTGTTCATACCGCGTCCTTTTTCAGAAGCTTCACTCGCCAGCCTGTCTCGACACAACATTCCGTGTCGATATGTAGGCCCAGGCCCTTTGCTGTGTCGCAAGAAATGTCCATACATTAAGGAAATGTCTCAACTCTTGTAGAAGAACCCTCGTAGGTTGTTGCTATGGAAGAATCCACCACTATATCCGGCTTTTCCCTCAGCTTGGGGCGAAATATGGCTCATTGGGCGCAAATAATTTGGATGAATGTACTTAGAATTGACAATGATAACTCGCGATGCATCGGTCCTCCTATCGCTTTTAACAGGAACATCTCCAATATTTCGATGTTTCATTAACAGGAAGGACACGGGAAGCGTTGTTGGCCGTTGAGTTCTGGGTCTGTTACAATGGCCCCTATCTACACGTCCACCTTCGAACTGGAGCATCAATCCTCAGGCTGTACAGCTGGGTTTGCATTCATCTCCTTTCGTTTCATTGGTTAAATAGGCGCAATACTAATTGGCCGAAAGTTGACGATAGACAAGAAACCGAATGAACTGACTACGACCATCAAAATTATGTCACCTACGCTGTGTCATATAGTAGGCCGCGAACCATATAGTGACACTTCATAGTCACAATATCATACGCCTTCACAAATGAGGAGTTGGCGTCGGTGTATTTATCTACGAAACATGCACAAGCCAGTGAGAGCTAGGAGTATGGCAGTACAAAGAGGCCATCGACCACAGCCATTTGACGACCTCGCCTGTCTGAAAGCACCATACATCATACATCCATCCATATGGACCCTGAGGCGTTCCAGGTGGGCGCGCCCGCCCCCAGGAGAGTAACGGGAATAGCTCAGAGAATCGGCCACCCGTTTCGAAGACATGGAACCGTGGACAAACAATGAAGCCGAGTCGGCCACGACTTGCGTCGTAAACTAGACGAATATCATAAACCAGGTACCAGTTATCTCCGAAAGAAAACCGTTACTGGAACTCACGGGCGGCTAAGGCAATCTCCATCTGAATGGCCGAATGGGAAACGAATTTATAAGGAATTAGGGAACAGAAATTAAGATTTCAGGTGGGTCCATCGGCTTGTAGGGAAAGCATTCATATTTGAACGTGTGGCCCCGCGAGCGATTGAAGACAACCTTGACTCGAGAAGGCCGTCGTATTGCATTTCTCATTCGGGTTCTCTATTGTGAATCTAGCTACATTAATGGAAACAACGTATTTCATCAGCACATACGACCATACCCACTGGAAAACTCGGGATCCCGTCCGCTCTCCCATAGATAAGCCAGTGAGGGCCGGATTAGTAGTTGGGTCGGTGACGACCAGCGAATACCTGGTGTTGTATGTATCACTCATTTTTGCTCAAAATCAAATAAAGCCTACTTACTTACTCATTTAGTCTTAATCAGCGATGCTACGCTACCTACTACTAAGAATTGAGAATACAGTGTTTCTTTCCTACAGGCGTTGATGCCAGACTCTTTGAAGTATTAAAACGATTTGCCTTTCTTCTAGCTATTTCCTAAAGCTGTTATTTGTGATATATATATACGTCTGCGATAGAACTAATGTAGATTGCCCTGAGACCATCGAGTTTATATCGGAGGTTCCAACTTGTGCAAGCCCCAGCCGACTATCCATTCCCAGAGCCAAGCAATTCTCAGCTTCCACCATCGAAATCACAAGCCCATTACCCACTAGTATTTACAAACGGCATCCTCTCGTACTCGAGGTCCAAGGAAAAGGTTTCAATATGCGGAGTTAATGACCGCAGTCTGCCTTGTTCGACAGGCCACTACGCCAGTCTCCATAAACCTGCCTTGTCAGACTTGCTGCGCCAGGGACACTGCTAGCTCGCAAATAATTCATTGTTTGGTCGGATATGATCGTCCTAAATGCCAACTCGCCGCACGGAAGATACGATGAAGTTCGGCAGCAAATGTGCTTCAAAAATACATTATACATTGGCATCCATGCTCTAGATAAACGCTCCCTCCCAGGCTACCCTCATCGCAGCAAGGGTATAAGAAAAGTCGTGTTATGGGCTAATTCCACTTCAGTCGCTGTACGTCAACAGAACCCACAGACCACAGCCCATCAGTATGCCGGTCGTGTCAAGATGGTACAAAAGAAACTCTCGAGGGGGGGATCGGGAAGAACCAAAGCTGCACTCAACCCTAGGGTATTGGTCGACGATGTCCGTCAAGATTCAACGTGACCAACTCCATCAACGCCTTGCACTCATATCCATAAACGGGGAATCATCAACAAACAAATGAAACTGCAAGAACAGTGCGATCGCCATTTAGGCAGACTCGGGAAGCAAGACCCTCTAAAACCTCTTCTTCTGTCGGGACTTCCACTCTGCCCGCGCCACCTTCATCAATATGTTCTCATCTTTAACCGGGATCCAGGATGTCAACGCCTTCATGGCATTCTCAAAGTCCGAGTCGAGAAGGACTTCGCGCAGCGCGTGTATTAGAGCTGCACTGGTGGCATGCAAGATGTCGATGCCGCTCATGGAGGTCAGAGAATCGGGCACCTTGGGAGAGTCCGAGGGGTTCTCCCCAAGCAGTAGAAAGACGTCCCAGACGCGGAGCTGGGCGGCGAAGGGAATGGATAGGTTGAAAAGCGTCAGGTACCACCGCGTGCCATAGGCCGTGGGGTCGATACAAAGCTCGTTCTGGGGAAGGATCAGTATGTCATCAAGGGCTGAAAGGAACGATTATGCCTTACCAACTTCTTCGCAACGTCCTTGCCGTCCAGCCACTTAGTCTGCAGGTCGTTCAAAGCCGTCATCAGTCCATCAAAGCCGGGGCTGTAAAGCTTCTCAAGCCCTCGCAACTGCCACATGCGGACGAGCATTACAAAACATTTCTCCTCGTCAAAGTAGCAGAGGAGCGTCGCGGCCAAAGAAGCCATGCCCTGAACGTAGCCGGTGGTCGGAAAGTAGAGCGACAGCGCATGTAAAACCCGAAACAGCAAACGCTGGCCGCCCTTGTAGCGCTTGCGGAACATGACGTGTCTGCTGATGGTGCGAGGAACATCGAGGTCAATCTGCACATCGTCTGGCGATCCCCTGCCCTGGAGGCGATGGAAGTCGGTAATGATGGAGTCTTCGGATGGTGAGTTCTTTTGGGTCCTGGCGTGGGTTACCATGAATGAGTACCAAGCGGAAGCTCGCCACCGGTCGGGAATGCCCTTCCACGTCCTCTCAATGAGCTTCTGATTCTTGACGTCAAACTCAAACTCCATGCCTTCGCCATCGGTTCCCTCTTTGACAACCTTGGCCATCTTCCGCCACTTCTCGGTCCTCTCCCATTCCTTCTTCTTGATGGCTTCGGATATCTTTTCAACCATCTCTTCGTCTTCCAACGACAATGCAAGCATGCCTCCAGCGACGTTCCGCCAGCGTCGATCCTGGTTGTGAGGAAGCATGTTTCCCGCATGCCTGACCGCTGATCGGGCTGATCGACGGGATGTGACGGATGCGTTGGAGTTCTGCGTGTAGAGGGATCGGGAGGACATTTTCTTACTCGGTCCCCTCGAGGGTAGCCCCAGCCCGAACATGTCTCGTTTTGAATGGCCATTCCTTTTCCTGGCAACATGCTGTGACGATCTGGACCCCGCAAGAGTGTCGCCTCTTGATTCGGCCTTGCGTGGGCTAATGAAGCCGTACCGATCGACCTCCTGTCCTTCGAGATCCTCCCAATCTTCAAGACCGCCCGCCACCTCGTGCACGCTGCGACTTTCGGGCCTTTGGAAATAGGAACTTCCAGATCTTGGAGTATCCCATGCATGATGTTGGAGCTCGGCGACGCTGTAGACGAGATATGGATTAGCACACTGGCCGTGAGACTGGATTGGGAAAAAAACGGAAACCATACGGATCGTTCTCAGACTCCCCCGTCAGACGTACAGCGGTTGCATCGAGATGCTCACCAACATCCGACGGCCTGCCTCCGTCTTCCCATTTGAGGCCTTCGCCGGATTCATAGAGCGATCTCACCTTTCGAGATTCCATCTCCACGTCCGCAGACAAGACGCGAATGCTAGGGGTTGTCATGGTGACTTGGGACACCGACTGTGCGGTCGTCTCCGCAATCGTCTCTGGGGTCCTCACTTCGGTCGTGATCGTCTCAGATACGCTCATGTCGTCGGCGCTGGGCTCGATGGCGCTGGGGACAGGACTCTCAGGTTCCTCGTATTGAATGTGGAGGATTGGGGCGAATGCTGCAGGAGCGAGCGCAGGCGTGCGGGCCCTTGCCGTTTGCAAACCGTCTTGCATTGTTCCGTCGGTGGTTTGTGCGGGGAACACGCGGCGACCACCAAACATGAGACTGCCTCGATTAGAGAAATCCAAGGTCGTCAGGAAATCGTCATCGAGGAGGCTGTCGGTAGGGATGGGGATTGAAATGGGGGAGAAGCCGAAGGCATCCTTGCTCAGGAGGCCATGGTTGTCGGGGATATTAACAGGGGAGAGATTAGGCGAGCTCTGGGAGCTTGTAAGAGAGCCCTGTCGCTGGGGGGTTATTGGTGGCGGTGGGGGTGACAGGCCAATTAACCTTTCGTTCCACAACTCGACGGATGAATCGACCGAGTATGAGCTGCTTGTAGACGCCTTTCTCTCAGTGAGTACGAGCTGCGCGAAATGATATTGATCCATGGTAGCGGCCTGTTTGTCGGTTGGAGACGTGCATCTACCGGATTGTTGTTTGCTTACGGCCAACTCAGCAGTGGATTGGACAGAATCAATATCGCAGACGGAAGGTGCCACAGGCTCTTCCAGTGACTTAGCAGCCACAATGTTGGTGCCCAGGACGGCGATCTTATCGTATACGCGCGCTTCTTCCCCGCAGTCTTCCTCAGCAATGGTGGCCGAGGACGACGTAGTCGGTGCAAGTCCGGAATCCCTCTTCCAGTCGTTGGCCGTCGTGTTGCGAGCAGTTACGCGAAGGCGGAATGCAGGGTGTTGACTGATGGCGGGAGGAGGAGCCACAACAACAGGACTGTAGGGCGATATCGAGAGTGAAGAAGATGTAGAAGTGGAAGTGCGACCCGTTGAGATGGAAAGGGGTTTCGGGGGGGCTCGCGTAAGAATAGGAATAGGAGGCTCTGCCTGGACCGTCTTTTCATAGCGAAGGGCGATGAAGCTAGTATCGTCCTTGAAGGGCACGAGCGTGGGCCGGGACTTCAAGCGCATACTGGCGATTTTTTGGGGCGCCATGGCGCGGCGTTCAGGTGCTCCGACCCGTGCGGGAGGAAGACCAATAACTGCCAAAGCTTAGGTCGATCCGACCGTGCTTGGGGGTGCCACTGGTCCCAATGGTGTCAGCGCGATGAGAGTTCAGACTGCTCTGCGATGGGTGACACGCTGGCGGGAACACAACAAGTCCAAAGATGGACTGGACGGGCGGCCAGGCCGAGTGGCTCACCGTCGTGAGCGCCGAGGGTGGTGAGCCTCGGATTCAGGTGCGCCAATCTCAGGGTCTGGGGGCAAGTTAGACAGGCGCTAGACCGATGAACAGCCAAGGTGAAGACCCTGGAGGAAAGGAACGGCGATTCGGAAAGCGATCCGAGAAGATTAGGAAGCCAGGCTAGGCAGGGTAAAGTAGGTTTGTGATATTAATGTGCGTTGGTGCGTGAGATTTGTACAAGTGAAGGTGGTTCAGGCGAGAAGGGCGCGGTAGTGATATAAGCGTTTGACTGCGTGAGGGAGACAAGCAGAGTAGGATAAGAATGACGGGAGAATTGGGAGGCCGAGGAGAGAGAAAGTGGGATGAATATGCTGCCTGCCTCAGCAGGGGTGGAAGAGGAGAGAGGGCAGTATGGCATACCTTGTGGGTCAAGTGAAGACGAATGTACAAGTGCAAGATCCAAAAACCAGCTATCTGAGAAGGAGGAGCCGGAGAGCTGGACGTCCTTTCTTTTCTTTCTCTATCTGTCTTCGAGACCTTCGCTCCCGATTCGCCCCTCTCTGGGTATGTTGGTGTTCTCCTTCACCTCTAATCCCAAGTATCCTTGCCAGAGTAAGGTAGAAAAGTGGCACAAGTGATGAGTTTGATGGCCCTCTGTTCAGCCGCCCAGCCAGGTCAGGGCCGCATTGCAAACGCAGGAAGCGGTGCTGCAGGACCGGCAGTGGTCCGGCACCACATGGCGGTCGGGGTGGAGTACGTGCCCTGCCGCAGAGAACAGAGAAGGAGTACGTATCGGTACGTACAGACACGTACCGCTAGCGGCTTCCCGATCTCATTGGCCTAGCAAGGGTCTGGGACAACCGTGTGGGATCCTTTTTTTTTTACAGAGGCGTTTTTGTTTTTTATTTTGATATTTTTATATGAGGGCGTTGTCTGACCATATTCACTATCGCCACCAACAGGCCAACAGTTTTATATCCTTTGCCATCATCCTTAGCCAGGCACAGAGTTCACCCCGGGCAGGTATGTGGAAGACAGCAGAAGCAACGACCGCGAGAGTCCACCCGCGATCAGCCACATGGCCAATCGCCCAAACAACGCAGCAACACAAACGCTTCGTGATAGGTTACTTGGCTCGGGAGCATAGCGACCGTGTCAGCCACTGGTTCCGTAGTTCCCCAGTTCCCGCCATCTGACTATGCATCCCTACCCAACAAAAGGGCCACTTTTTCGGTCATGAGCATTGCATGCCATCAAGTCGGTGAGCATTCTCCGTCTCTCTTTCTGACCCTTCCTTTTTTGTAGAGCTACGCAGCAGTTACCGCTACTCGGGGTCGGGGTCATTCAATATTGAGCCCGCGTTGCTGCATGATAGGCTCCGCACCGCCAGTTCCTCATGACTGCTAAATCGATGGATATTGATAACGATACCACAGTCCCTGTCATCGGTGGTTGGTCCATCAACGCCCTGCTTTGCTCCGATTCAATTGTACACAAATTGCCCGCAGCGCATGAAGGCAGCACAAGAAAGGCTGGCCGAGGCGACCGTAATATTAAGGTGACACATGTTCTAGGAAAAGAAGCAACGCGATCTCTATGATCCTCTGACACCCCCCCTCTTCTCCGGTGGAGCTATCATTGTGGCTCTCCACACTAGCTGTAGCTCTTAGAGAGTGTGTCTTCCAGGTCCCAGCTCTCCCTTCAGCATGACGGGCTGTTCCATCTCCGCGTTCACACACAAAAGTGAAGCATATGCATGGCAAACAAACGCCACGGGCCCCTTTCTCATCCATATTCTCTTACAACATGTATGCTCTATCGATTTCATGACTCCTACTGTATTAAACAAGCCAACCTACCTACGATATGCTGGCAGTCACACACGGTTGGGCTCCAGATCAACTCTAGCCCAGAAATCCCTGGTTCAAAACAGCCCTCAATTAGTTCTGTTTCATACGTATTAGGCGACGCTTTGAGTCCAATACAAACTCGAGCTGGAAAATGTCGCCAAAGCTAGAGTTAGACTGCCAAGCATATGCTTGCTCGCTCGCCATCCTTCCGATAGCTAGATCGATCCTCGCTTAAATCTTTCATCAATAGCAACATCCTGGTCGATAGTTGCCGTCAGCTTAAGTCGGTAGTCCTCTTTGACATCGCCAGCTCCGAGAGATCGGCTGGAGCGAGAGGGCTAAAGAAGCGAGGTGTATCCAGCTCAACTCGGCCAAACACCATGCCCGATTTGGGAAATAAAAAGCAATCACTTTGATGAACCTCTAGGAAACGCCTTCATGCATGAATGGTTCAAAATTACCTTGCTGCGTACTTACCTCCAGCTCTTTTGTTCTCCCCGGAACCGCAATGTGACATCTGACAAATTATCGCATGAGAGCCAAGTGCCACCCGTATACTAAGCAAACACGAGAGAGGAGGGAAAAGAAGAAGAAGAAACCTTCTCATTCAGCTATTCTCCGCGCCTCGCGTGACACTCTAGCTGTTGTCACGTCCAGAAGCACCGGCGGTATTTGCGCGACAATCCTCGACAGCCGACCGCCTGGGACAACTACAGGGGACAAAGATCTGACGTGGCACATTGAGCCAGCTCATCCGTCCTGGGGCCCAGTACCATTTCGTATTGTTGTTACCAGATATGGTTGTTAAGAAAAACCCCTTTGACTTGCAAAGCCCACGTCGGGCTCAGTTGGCTAAACCCCTCTTCAGGGTCCTCTCCACCCTTCACTTTTCTCCTGTCCGTGCTCCTGGTCGCCCCACTAGCCTTGGAGGGTTTGCCTGTGACCACAGTCCTGTCCTTTTAACGACTCATCTGAAGCCACGACGAGGCACGGATAGGTAGACTGCAAGTGAAATGGCTGGTAGGGTAGAAACAGGGCGACTCGGCGTGAGCCGCAGACATAGCGACTCACCATCCCAGCATGGATGACTCTCGTTCTCTGTCAACGCGGTCTCGCTTACACCAACTCAAATGTATAGCAACACATCCTCGTCCCCTCTCCGCTTCTGCTCCTGAACGAACCGTTGCGCTAAAGCGGACGGGCTTGATATGGAGCCACCGCATTCCAGCGTGAGGCAACCATGATTGGAAACAACGAGACAGAAATCATTGGTCTGTGGCTTATATATATACATATTCCTTTTTTCCTTTGTTTAGTTGGCGCAGACCAGAGTATTCCGCCTCTTTTCCTCCTACACCCTGGCCCAGATCGGATCATCAGGCTGTTGGTTCTGCTCCATCCTGCCTGACATGATGTTAGGCTAATTACAAAACTTGAACCGACTGTCCTCTTCTTTCTTGGTTGCTCACACAGTATCTACCGCCTGTGATTGAAGCCCCTTTTGATAAGGCCATGGAGGGCGTTCATCCACAAGACCTTCCAACTTCAGGAGTTGTGGGTGCCCAGTACCCCATGCATCTTTGTTTGCTTCCTGCATCTGTGTTATCCGCCCCTTTCTAGACATTCCCCACTGAATCAATCAATCAATCGCTATGCTTGTTGGGGCTACATCGCTTCCATGCTCTGTACACTTCACAGCCATCGGTTCTCTTCTGTTGGATTTGTGCGCTTGTTGAGCCAAACCCAGTGTGCAGCGCGTAACTACAAACACTGGCCCATAATCAAATACTTCATCCTTACCCACCGAGGAAGAAAACCAAAAAGCAAAAAAAAAAAAAAAAAAAGTTAGACCTCTTCATTCTCCCAATCTTTCTCACTAAACATGGGCCCCTTACGTGCGCCACTAGCCTCAAGTTTTGACAAAAACTCCGGCGGCACCGTGGGAATGTACTTGCGTGCTCTCTCTCTGTTGACACCCCCGAAGCCAGCCCCGTACGAGACCAGCATATCCGTGACTGACGGCAGCGTAAATGGTAGCATCATTGCTGGATCCATCAACAAGTTTTCCGGCGCGTCCTCTTCCTCGCCATCGCTCTCATTGCCGCCAGGTGTCTGCGTCGCTGCCTGGCTCGTTGGCGTATTCGTGGTGCTCCCGTTCGTGGGTTTCCCCCTGACTGGTGTTGATGGCGCACTGCTCTTGCGATCCTCTTTCCTACGTACGTGTTCCGCCTGGATCGCGTTTAGATACTTGAGGGCGCTCTTGGGTAGCCCCTTTTCGCCGACTTCGGGTCTGTAATGTGATGCTGCGTGGATGAGCTGCTGTGGGCTTAGCCTCTTTAGCTGTTGCAAGGTACCAACAAGGGCCTCTAGGTCATCGGGACCGAGTGACGAGAAGCACTGAAGCCACTGCAGCAGCTGAATAACGGGAGCCAGGTGTCGCCTGGCAGCGTCCACCGTTGTCTCGCCTGACGACCTTGTCTCGCCTCCTTCGTAATGCTCCGGTTGGCGATTGTTGGTTCTAGCCCAGTCCTCCAACGTCGAGATGTTCATGCGAATCTGCATAGCTTTTGTCCGTGCAAGATATTTGCGGTTAGACATAATGCGGTTGAATAGTTCGGCGCCGAGCCAGTAAAGTAGCTGAGAGATAATTTGTGCCGTAATCACAGAGTGGATATCATAAAGGTCAAGAACGAACAAGGTAGACGACAGTAGGGAGGTGACGTTGCGCGGCGCAGGCTTCGCCCGTTGCTTCGGTGAAGGGGGTCGGAAGCGCTTTTCGAGGGGCTCTTCTTTCACCTGCGCCTTTCGTTTAAAGATCCTCCACTCGTTCTGGAATGCGATGTCTTCGAATCCGGGTATTGTCTCGTGGTCCAACATCGCCGCATCGAGCACCTTATCCAAGCGTCTCTCAGCGTCACGAACGATGAGAATAAAGATTTCGTTTATCAGCTCCGACAGTTGGGCCTGGAATTCGACCGTGGCCTCCACTAGCCCGGCGTCCTTCTTTAAATAATGCAGCAGTAGGGTGGCGTTCGATATCCAAAATGCTAGAATCGTCATGTCCCACTGGTATTGCTCCACGACATCGTTAATCTTGTCCATGGCGGATATCATGAGCTTGGCCAGTAGATCGGGGCTTGAGTGGTAATGCGCGTATCTTGCGCTAAGAAATACCATGTTCGCAGGTACAGGTTTTTGTGCCGGCGATCGTTGGGGGGTCATATTAGTGATGATGATGTCGAGAATGCGGTCGAGCTCGTGTTCCTGGAACACAAACATTTGGTCATGGAGACATCGGGTCCAGTCGAACTCGGGCTGTTCTTCTTCAAGCTCGTCGGAGTTCTGCTTGCGTCAGCATACAGAGTAGTAAGCAGAGTTTTTACCATGGGCCTACCTCTGGCTGGTCGTCCATGCCAACATTGCCTAGATCAACCTCGAGATCCCGGGCGCTGTCCATCATCATTCGTCTTCGCAGCTCGTTCTCCGCCATTTCTTCCTCAAACCGATCCTGTGAGAATCCAGGGTTGTAAAAGTCGTCTGTTCCCGCATTGCCGATATTGTATCCGCTATCATGTAGGTAGAATGACATGTCGCTGTCTGGCGGCACAAAATCGAAGGCGGTGCGGCCGGACGATGTTTTTTGCTCGGCTGAAGCACCATTGTCGAGGAGGACCTTGGCGATGCTTTTATGCCTATTCGTCATCGCCCACATGAGCGCGCTCCACTGGTTACGATCTTGCTTGTCAACGTCTGCGCCAGCATCGATAAGAGCCTGCACCACGCCCTCGTGGCCCTGATCGCGGGTCAGAAAATATACGCCCAGCATTGTATTGTGCCTCTACTCACAAAGCAGCTCGCGTATATGAGGGGTGGTGTCCCGTCCTCGTCCGGCGCATTGATATCCATATAGGCCTTAGCTTTCCCGCTGACAATGTTGGTGACTCTCTCGACATCGCCATTGCTAGCAGCCATGTTCAACGCTCTTTGCAACATGTCTTTTTTTTCACCATCGGACAGCTTTTCGTCTGCTAGTATCGTCTCCTCGTCGTCGAAGCCCGGGCCAACCCGATGAGCGGCTTGAGCGGCAATCATCTCCATGAAGCGCGCGTCGCTGTTCTTGGAGCCTGTTGTAATGTCCTCGTCATAGGTGCGGTCGTCTAAGCTTAGGTCGCCAAAATTGAGTGGCTTTGGAACGACAGGCGTGGTCAGGAACTGCGATTGTCCTGTGTGAGAGGTTGGCTGTCGTCAGTCTGCAGTTTCCCCCTTGCGGGCTTGACAGATGGATAGGAGGGGATGCCGAGAACGAACCTTGCCAGCCATCGTACATTTCCGTCTCGGGGACCAGCTCGACGGGACGATGACTGCGGTCGTCGAGGGATTTGGGCAAGTCATCAGGCAGTGGTCGTTGCTTCTTGCCGCCGAAGCCACCATTAGCGTCCTCGAAGTCCATATTGGGAGGAGGGGCAACCAGGAGGCCCGGCCGGCATGAGTCGGGAGGGGGGGTACACGGAGGTGCTGTTTTATGTGATGCGAGTTCGGTGAGAGATGCGGGAAGTATGCCTGCTGCAGACGGTGCGCGGAAAGTTTCGTGGCGAGGTACTGCTGCGACAAGATCGTGGTTGAGGGCTCTGTGGGTGTGTCGTCCGTCTCTCAGGCTCCGGATCGAAAAAGTCTCGGCACAGCTAATGTCGTGTGATGTCGAGGTGTAAAGAGGGTGTGTGTTGTCCAGTTGAAAGGACTCTCGGTGCCCGAGTCCCGTAACGGCCAACGCCGCCAACCACCAACCGGGGGGTGATCGGCTTGTTGATGTCACTAATAGATTGCGGCGAGGCGCTGAACGACCGTCGTCAGCGTGTGCGAGTAGCCCTGGAACCCCATGGACCGTGCGTCCTTCAGCAATGGGACACTCCCCGAAGGAACTGTAGGTATCCGTACCACACAAGTACCTAGGTAGGTGCCTGAGCGGTCCTCGTGCAAGTACTCCTGTGCGATATGTTTGTCATATGTCTCTTTGATCTCCCATCGTCCCTTTTTAGGACCTCGAGGGAAGAATGGGGGCTGGAGAATAAGTCAGCATTATGTCCAGCTCGTACATCGAAGTCACAACAGCTTCAATCACTGCATACAAAAAGGCACACGCCGATGGACATGCAGGGGGTCATGGTATAGAATGGGTTCCCCCATCTTCTTCTTTATGCTTCATTTGTTTTGATTTCCATACCTCCCCTCCTTGTGCTTCCTCTCACTTAACGTCTACGCCCTCTTTCCAAATACACGCAGTCTCTTGACTCCTCCGTCCGGAATAATGGTAATTTTGACATGTGTCATAGCCTTGTCCTTGACTGCGCTCGGGAAGTCGTGCTCCTGGTCTGGGCCGCACTTGCTTGGGACTACGATCTCCGTCCAGCCGGCAGCGTCCGCCCCAGGTTCGCCACTCTCAATCCACGAAAGGGCGTCGACCTTGACCTTTTGCGGGAAGTTGCCGCGGAAGTGCGCCGTGTCAACAACTACGTTCTGCACGTAGCCTGGAGCTCCGAGGCGAATAATCGTCCAGTCGACATGGCCCTTGGTCCGCGATCTCGCCGTCTCCCAGCCATCGCCCATATCCTTGCCGCGGCCTGGCAGAAGGAGGTTGTCCTTGGTGCCAAAGTGTTGGTCGCTACACGAAATGGCAACACCCCCATTCTGTGCCGCGGCTAGGTCAAAGATGGCTTCCTTGTCTTCGGGGAAGACAGGCACGGCGTGGCCGAACAAACGGAATCTCGCAATGCCTCCGTCTGGATACATGTTGAGACGGACGTGGGTATACTGTTTCTTCTTGGGCTCGGCCAGCTTCCATCCAAAACGCTGCGAGGGTCCACACTCCTCGTTGCCAATAATGGTCTCCCACTGGCCTCTGCCTCCCTTCCATGAGACGACTTCGTCGTCATTGAGGTTGAAGCACCCCTCCACTGAGATTGAGGGGGCGTGGTTGCCGGAGAAAAAGGCCGTGTCGACCTCGACACCCTCGACAGTTCCAGAGGCGACACCAAGGCGGACAATAACCCAGTCGAAAGGTTCGGGATTATGGCGTCTCGTCTCCCAGCCATCGTACCAGGCTCCGGTGTAGACCATCTTACCCGGCTGTCTGATGGGAGGGGTGGGCGTCAACAGATTGGAGGCCTCGGCAAACCATTCATCTGAAAAAGCAAGAATCTTTCCACCCAGGGCAGCTGAGATCAAGTCTGGTCATGTCAGTAAATGTTGAGATGTGTTCTTGCCTGGACGACGGGATGGACGAGGTACACACCTATGCTGCTTGAGCGGAAAGTCTTATCGATGTCATCTGGTGCGACCCTCGTGGTGTTGACTTCTTCCAGAGCGTATTCCTGTTCGCTGGCCATCTTGAAGATTGGATGGCGGGGTATGGAGGGGTTGACGAGGGGTAAAGCAGTGGTGAGATTGCTGCTTCACCAAGACAAGGCTTACAAAGATGTTTTGAAGTGGAATACAGTGATGGGATCCGTACAGAGTGTGGAGGGGAAATTGGATGAGTTGGGGATATCTTGCGATTAGGAGAAGGAAAAGCCACAGAGAGTCATGGCCTGCCGCCCGCGGCACGTCAAAGAGGGTGCGCGCCGAGCGGCCACTTCCGACGTCGGGCGGCCACAGCTGACGGCCGCATCCAGGGAGTTGGAGGTGCCGCCGGCCAGAAGCGCGCGCGCCGTCCGCGATAAGCAAAGGTGTAATGATTCGAGCGAATTAGCTAACAACCAGGCGGCGGACCAATCTAGTGCTACTTCAATGCTCCAGTTGGTTGTGTGCCCAGTCCCTGCGCTCGTCCCCGCTGCGAACTGTTCGGGTAGGCGGGGGCGGGCCTGAGCCAAAGCCGGACTAGAGGCTCTTCAACGATCGCACGTGTCTTCTGTTATGAGCACTACATAGTATCTTTGCCTGTTTTCTCGCGATGCTGAATTTGGGCCAACTGTTACGGAAGCTGCTTTCTGGGTACATCAACAAGTTGAGTTCAGAGCTTCGCGGGTGGCCTGCAGCATCAAAGCCACATATCTCAAAGACATCAATGGCCTTGTAGCAGCGCCCACCTGATAAGAAGCATCAAACCGCCCGAACCAGCCTTGTCCCAAGAGCACTATGATATCTGTTGGGCATTAGGTGGCAGTAAATCGTCATCGCCAGACGTTGTACATCGCGGCTAAGATGATAAAAAATCAGTATGACAACGAGTGCCTTTGAGAATGGAAGCAGAAGCATCAACATATCATGTGAGGTAGCATGCACTGGCGTTGGAAACCGGCCGGAGTCTGACGGGTGTCGGATGTCATCTGTTAAATGTTGACCATGTTTCGAACCGCCTTATGTTTACCATCGGTTTCGGCTAATTGGTCTCCCATTTTGTCTGGTCAATTAACGTTTGGGCTTGCAACAGCTGCTACGTAGTAGACAGAAGCCGAGCGCTCCATGCAAAATTTCCACAGATGACCAAAGATGCTGCCGCAATATGTGCCGATGACGGGAGGAAGCTTGAGGATTGACGTCCTATGGCCAGAGAAATGGGATGAGGGGAGCGTGCGGAGTGTGCGAGCGAGTGTGACAGAGTGGGTAAGATCTGGTCGAGTGCCCTCCAATCTACAGCGTCCTTTACCCGACCATCGCTCTGCATGTTACTGCCCTGCCCCCTGCAGCAGCTACTCAATGAGAAATCCACAGCCTCCGATAGGTCACAGCTCGAGACGAGCTCTCCGTCATCGATGCCGCCATCGATGACCTCCGTTGCCCACTGACCACCCAAGTGCCGTTCTATCCTTTTTCTGTTTATCTCTTCTCGAAACTGGCGTATATTGCCCACAGGAGAAGCATTAATCGCAACAACACCCCGCGGAACACCTTCTTGTTCTTGCCTTAATCCACATCGAGAGACATAAACATCATCCAACTCCGATTTCTTCGAAAAACGACACTGCGCACTGTCGCGTTTTCCACTTGAGTAGACTACCAGGACAACCATCGAGACGATGTCATCGGCGGCAGGCCTGCCCGAAACCCCTCCCTCTCAGGACCGGGAACAAGGCAACGACCATGATGAGCTGGAGCCTCTGCTTGGCCGACCCGGCGATGCCCAACAACCCCCCAGCCAATTCATCGTTAGGAACCTTATTCTCGGTATGCACCCCCCCTTTGATCTTTCTGCCTTCTTTCCTTTTATTTTGCTGTAACTAATGTCATGACCTTCGAGGCACCGGCATCATCGCTCAGTTTGGCGCAGTAATATTCGTCGCCATGATCTGGGCTGCCGTCCTTACCAAAGATGTGATCCTTTTCTCTGGCCACCCGCTTGCTCAGAGTCTCGCCATCTTCACCCTCACCCAGTCCATCCTCTCCCTACAGCCGACACACACCCCCGACCAGAAGCGGGTTGGTCAGCGTGTCCATGCTGTCCTTAACCTGCTCGCCTTCCTTTTCCTCGTCGCCGGCATTACTATCATCGAGTATAACAAGTTTCGCCAGGGCCCTGGCTCCCACTTCCACTCCGTTCACGGCTACCTCGGCGTCATCGTTTCCATTATCCTGCTGCTGCAGTACATCGTAGGCTTCACCATGTGGGCTACCCCACGGCTTTACGGCGGCGAGGACAAGGCCAAATCTATCTGGAAATACCACCGTTGGAGCGGCTACGTTGTCCTAGTTCTCCTGCTGGTTACGGTAGCGACGGCCGTTGGCACGCCGTTCAACGAGAACGTGCTCAAGCTGAAGCTCTGGGCTGTCGTTATCACCGCCTTGTTGATACTAGTTGGTATCGTTCCGCGCGTGCAGAAACAGAAGCTTGGCTTCTCGAATTAGACTTATGAGAAGGAGATCGCTGGGATCTGCGTTGTCGGATGTCATTGGGACGCGGGTTTGTCAAGATTCAGCGACTCTATACGAGCACACAGACAGGGATATTATAGTGACTATCGACAAGGGGCATTGTGGTCAAGCTTCGAGATGTTGCATGAGAGCTGCAATGAATCGTTGCTTTAAACCCGCCAAGTTGGATCATGTTTTCGGGGGGTGCCTCAGCTAGGCGTTGTTGGGCTGCATGATTTGTCCATTTTGGGAACCTTCGAGAGATTGGTGCAGGTTTCCTTTGCCCTATCATGGTAATCATGAGTTTATGCGCATTTCTGCTCTAGTTATTTGGGCCCAGATCTGCTTTGTCTTCAATAATGCTCGATATGGATGTCCGCCCCACTGGGCATAATATGGGAGAGAGAGTCATGCACAATTATTCTTAACCTGAAGCCTCTAGACGGCTTTTCACTGTCCATCTGAGTATTTCAGCGGTGAAGCTTTGGCACGTCCAAGTTTGGCCAACACAAGGCCGCCTCGGAAGCATATGAGACCAAAGCCCGACAACAATTCTTGGGATCACGTTTTTGACCTACCAAGCTATTGTTCGGTGCCTTGAGGTTGGCATACTTCAGTGTGAATAAGGAAAACTGATCGACACTGAAAAGCGATTGGGCGTATACCGCTTTGTTTCGTACCTCTCAAGAGCCTGCGACCATAAACGTTTGGTACTACCCTACGCAGCGGTCCAATATAGCCAAGCCATGGTCCATTTCCTCATCATCTCTTTGTATAGTTTCCTTGCGGCAGTTATACAAGACGTAGAAAAGTTGCCCCTTGCCCATAGAGTCCGACTTGGAAGCCGATATAGCGTTTACAAGAGCCGCTCAAGGAAGGGAGCATACATCCAGACACATTTCGAATAGTATCAGCAAACGGATACGAGCATGTATCAATTCTTCTGTCATCTGATTCTTATATACATTGGTCGCGCCTCCGGGGTATACTATCCGCTACTGCGTTTGAATATCAAAGTACGCTGTACAGGCATAAACAGACGTCTCTACCGCTCCTTCATCAAAAATTTGTATGGGCACTAGTCCAATAACACTGCTCTTCCCAACCTCATAAATATGGCCGAAAGACCTGTTATCGTCTATCGCTACGTCAAACGTGTGACGCCGGCCGGCCATGTCATGGCCATTGCCAACTCCTGCATCCAGGAAATCGAAATTATAACAATCCGCCATGCGTGTCTCATACCTTGGCATTGAATACTCGTTCCGGTCGTTCAGCCGCTTGACAAGCCGTTGGCCGGCGAAAGAGTGTAAGAAATGAATGTTGCAATACGAGACCTGAGTGTCCCCAAACTGATTAGGGCGTATCCGTATCGTTTCGTCGTGGGCTCAGCACAAGTGGCCAGGTTTTCCGGACCGCACAAATTATTATCCAGACCAAGTTTTCGGTGCCGCCCAGTTTTGGCTTCCTCCAATGCTACATTATAGCACTGCGAACATTGCTCAGAGCCCCAAAGCCCATAAGCAAACTAGCCGTTGGCGAAGGCATGAGGGCATGGCCTCCGACATTATTAGTTCAACAACAATAGCAGAACACCGCAAGTTCATGCTCATCCTCGTCAAAATGCTCGATGAATCTGGTCATGTAGGAATTTGGGTGACTCTTTCCTCCTCTGTTACTTTCCGCAGGAATATGACTTCCACTCTAGGGGAAGTTGTTTCCAACAGGCATGGGCCAATCATCCTCGGTGATACTTGACCAGAATACCCATACTGCGACAACAGCGAGTAGAGTGAAAAAGGTCTCGAAGAGGGCGCCGTCGACTGCACCGTTGGTTCCATTGCAGATTTGAGAGCTTACAACGTAGTTGAAGATTTGTCCGATAGCGAAAAGGAGTAGAGCGGCAGTGAGATAGAGCATCGGGCGCATTTCGCCCAACACACGGATAACCAGAATGGCCTCGAGGACGAAGAAGGCGACAAGGAAGATGAGAGGCGCCAGCTGATACAAGACGTAAAGTGCGATGTGACGGTTGGGCGGTTGGTAAGATGAGCTCCAATAGCCGGTCCATTGGAAACCAGTGTCAAGGGTAATGTAGAGCGTACCACCGAGTAGGATAGCGGCAGACGCCATGATTAAACCCATTGACAACGGTGTTCCGTCATCGACGATTTGGTACCCCACGACGGCGTTGAGCATCAGTATCCATGTTGACGCAACGATCATGCCAATGTGGATTCCAGTGAAGGCCTAGACGTCTGTCAGCTTGGTTGGGCTCGAAGGCACCCAAGGCGGGCACTCACAATGCGAACGTTTCCGGCCAGCGGGAAGTCACCGACAGTAAAAATTTCGCATAATTCGATAATGATGAAGCTAGCGAGGAACAGTTGCATTTCTCTGCGAAACAAGTTAGCATGCTGGGCGAGCGCATTCCTGAGCGACGTCACAATCTTACCTTCGACCTACCGCAGCCTTCTTGCGCTCTGACCGCAGCAATAGGTAGATGGATGCGATGATAGCAAAGGCAGCAATAAGTATGGAACCAAGGTTGCCCAGCTTACGGCCTCCACCAAGGGAAATTCCCGTCAACTCACAACCTCCCCATGGCCCTGATTGACTGTGACTGTCGGAGAGCACCTGGGACCGGGCGAGTTAGTGCCGATTACGAAGGGCTTTCCGAGGCATCTTGAGACACGGATTGAACGTACATTGCAGACCGGTAGCGTCGAGTCTCGGCAAAAGTTCTAAAGGCAATCAGCATAATGATAGGCGTGGATTTGCAGGGCGGGCATGTCTTACAAAGAAATTGCCAAATTGCGTCGACCCCATTGTGGCAGACGATTTGCGGCGTGGCTGATTACCAAGTACCGTCGGTTGAGTTTCTTTTCCTACGGGCCCAACGTTGCTTGCCAGTTGGTATCGCGGGGAAGCACAATGACCTGAGGGTCTCGGCGGTCACAAATGACGGTTGTGAGGGATATGAATTATGTTGGGGTCGTTGCGCAGACTTGAACGTGCAGCGGCGAGGTCGCGAAACGTCGCAATGGCACAGCTAGTGATTATATTCAAACCCTTCGTTGTTGGTATTGCGGGCTGGCAGGTGCTTGCAGAGCCGGAAAGTTGTGATGATAGGATTACTAGTCAAGTGGTGTTGTCGGGTGGCTGGTCGAGAGTGCGAGCGGGTCCTTGTTTCGAAGCCTCGTATTCTTCCCCCGTCGCGACGCGACTTTCCTCTCGGTTGGTCTTGAGGCAGCTTTTCGTCTCTTTCTGGCAGACGCTCCTCTTGATATCCTCGTAACCAGCTCTGACCTGTCGGTGTGGTCGTCGTGCGTGAATGCGCAATCGAGATACTGGTGCGACCTCGGTTCGAGAAGGGGAGTCGTGGTTGCCTTTCAGGGGTGAGGAGGATAGTGAGCAAGCAACAGCTGTGTGAGCAGGCGCGATTTGACGAAAAAGGCGTGGAAGGTGTCGGAGGCGGCGCAGTGGGTAGTGGAACAATATAAGCCAAGTTGGTACCTACCTAGGGAGTGGAGGCTTTTAGTCCATTGGAGGTTCTGTGCCGTTCTCTTCCAGCAATAACGCCGACGGGGAGGATGAGAATGCTAAGGCAGGAACAAGGTATCCGTACTGGAGGTACATTACTAGTGTAGTGTAGAGGGAGGTATTTGTCGGGGGAACATCATCCATGCCACCATCCATGTCAACATCCTCGCTTCGTAGCTTGTCTTGGAAGCAAAGGCGGCCGGGGGGGGGGGGGGGGGGGGGGGGCAGACAGCCAGCCAGCACGTCAAGGTAAGGTAAGATAGTGGGCGATACGCACTTCGCACCTACCTAGGTAGGTAGGTAGTGCAGAGCACAATGCCAAGATAGCGTGCCGGGGCGACAGGTTAGGTGTAGGCTAGGCGCATCAAAATGGCAAGACAGGCAGGCATTGGAAGTGTGGGATAAGAAAGAGAGACGATACGTACCACTGAAATGAAACATCTCCTCCGCTGAATGGCCCTAAGCCAATTGGCGCTCCCGCAGTGCGCCTGTAGGCTCCATGATTGGACGAAGCAACTTTTTGGGACGAAATGGATTCCAAGCGCATCGCGAACAATTGGCGGGTCCTTGAAAAGTGGAATTTGGCGGTCCCGGTCCTCCCTGCCTCAATTTTCAAGCCGCCCTCCTCAGCTTTCGTATCTGCTTGGTGTACGGAGTACATTGGAAAAGCATGTGCAACACTCACGCAATTGCGCATTCTGCTTCCGTCCTTCTCCGTTATTCTCGACAGGAGCCTATGGGACAGAGGGCAGAGATCAGAGGGCGGGAGGCAGACCGGGACGGGACGGGAAGCTTCGCGACAAAAGGGCACCTGGCCATTTACCGACAGTGCTCGTCCGTCCGATGTTGCGAATGGGGATCGCCTCTGCCACGTCGAGCTGTACATTTACACCGATACTAGGTTAGCACATATAGGTGTGTGGCGTCTGACCTCATTCGATTAGATGTTGCTGGTGCGGCCAGGCCGCTTATGAACAATCAAAAAAATTTCTTGTTTGCCAACGCAAGGCCTCCCGAAAACCTGGGGGAGGTGGCGTCGGTCAATGTCAATATTAATGCAGCAGGCAGCAGCCGATCGAGCAGACGCCAGCATAGTGCTGAAAACATCGGCAGAGAAAAGGAGGCACAGAGCTGAGGTATAAGAATAAGCAAGTGCCCCCGCCATTGAAATGTCGGGTCTTGGTACGGATAGTAAGTCAATAATTTGACTGCTTTCATGCAAACACACGCCGGGAAATCGCTCCCTCTGTCCGTCGCACCTCATCCCTTCCAGATACCACCACCCACTCATTGCCTGCTGATGCCGCCGTCTCTTTACTCGGGCCCTGTCCTCACTCCCTCTCCATAGCCCGATAAGTCAAACCCTTTTGCCTGCCTGTCTTTTTCGATCTTGAACCCTGCCCCCGGCGCTTCATCTCAGAAGTGACTTGGCCGTTGTGTCCTCCCTTTACCTACCTACTACCTAGGTACATGGGTACTCTTGTACGAAGACGGCGCTTGCTGTCATCGTCTGGCTCACTGCACGTCCAATACGGATACATGTCCTCGGTCAAGACAGAGATCGACATTTCCTCCCCTAAGCCAGTCTCAGACCCTCCGCTTCGAATAGAGCTTACGTTACGTCAAAGCCAAGAGCAAGTGGAGAGAGGGCCGGAGACACATTGTTGGCATCCACTCTGTTCCACGCATGTGGCACTCGAGCCTGTGCTTTGCTATGCATTGCTTTGCTTTGCAACATCATGGACACGGCCTAGGCCTCAACTGACACAGATGCAAGACCCAACATGGTCACCTCGGCCAACGTCGAGGCAGCCGCGTGGCATGGCAAAATCACCGATGGGCACCGGATGCTTCATCGGGGCATAAATCCACGGGGAACGCTTCGTCTATCGTACACCGCCTGGACCAACACTCTGTCATGTCCAACGACCCGCAAATGCCTTCAGGGATACCTTCGCATGACCTCATTCCCACTTAGTCCTTGGTTCCGCTCCAACACTCGCGCTTGGACATATTGATTTTGCACCAGGGGGTTCAGGGCGGAAAGCACCTCGAGAGCAATCCGAGCCGAGCACTGGACAGGGTACCTGGCTGCCAGCCTCCGACAATAACGGGCACATGAACAAAAGAAAGAAAAGAGAAAGAAAAATGGGGACAAAAAACCTGCCTAGCCAGTGCCCTGGCTGATCTTCCAGCCTCCTTAGCTACAAAAATACATAGTAGACACACCAATCCACTGCCTTATGGCGGTAACCCCCTGCTCGACCTTGGGTTCAAGACACGTGTAGACCGCATATTGCATCTTTCCGTGTCCACCAAACGCCTTCAACGCCTGTTAGTCACTAGCCAATACTCTGCCAGCAGACTGAGCACCGTTTGTCAAGGCTCAGAAGAATCTGGCATGCGGCCGGCATGAACGGAACCAACCCCAACCCGGTGGGCCTCTCCGCGGGCTGCGCTTGAACTAGGTACTTTCATCCTTTATCCGTACTGCTTTCTTTTATTGTTCCTTATATCGTTCCTTTTTCTTCTTCTTCTTCTTCTTCTTCTTCTTCTTCTTCCCCCCCTCCTCTTTCTTTCGGGTCTGCGCGCATAACTGGTGCGCAACCGCAAGCCAAATTCTGCTCGTCAATGTGCTGTGTCAGCCACTATCTGTCCTCCGAACTCACTCAGGTACAATCCTCAAGGTAGCCTTAGATTGGTTTGTCACCAGACCACCCCTCCAACATGCCCTGTCGTCTCGGCAACAATGTTCTTGGGGTTTCTCGTTACTTCCATTGGTCACTTGTCAAAGGCCTCCCTGCAATTGCCACCATTTGTCTGCCATTGTGGCTGTCCGTTCTTTGCCCATTCTAAAACTCCGTGTTCTAGGAAAGCCTTATTGTGACCGCGTTGCGGTGCATTGGTCCCGCTCGCTCTTTAGACTCACATATTGTTTAGCTGCTGCCATTTAAAAAAAGGGGGGGGGGGGGGTTCCCTGTTCAATTGAATGGGCGCCGCTTGCCGGGTGTTTCAATGTTACGCATCACCTCTTGGTTGAATTCCGCCAACTCAAGAGGTGTAGAAATGTTTTTGTAACCAGATACGGATGGTCCGGGATGTAATGGAGGGCTGCTCTACTGTTCCTCTGCCTCCTCACTGTGCCCCGCTGCATTGCGGTCCCCTTTCTGAGCGCTTCCCGAGCGCAAAGCAAAAGGCCTACGTCTGAACACCCTGGCCGTGCTTTATAGAGCTGTCGAACCTTACAAGAAACAGGCTGCAGGTGACGGGTGCAACCCACGGACACAATGCACATCGCGCCATTCTCGACGATGGTGGTTCATCCAGGTGTAGCAGTGCGTCTGGAGTTGGAACAACGACATCCAATCCGTCCGAGGAGTCGGCTTCTTCTTGAGGAGGGGTGAGTACCATGTGTTTGACAATAGTCAAGACATCATCTATATAACCACCTCTTTCCGATAGTGAAATGGGGTTCCGGGACGTTCGCTAACGTCTAGGTCAACGCGCCAAGCCGAGACCATCACACAGTCCGCACCGTAGAGCATGATTCTCGCTTACGCCGCTTTTCCCCTCGTTGGCCTCTGCGTCTGTAGTGTAGTTTAGATTTGTCCCCGCAGGCGTGGGAAGTGGGATCCCTCTCGGCGATCATTGGAAAGTGGACTGGACACTTCCACAGACTAATATCGAAACGTCTGGAGCAGGGTCTTCTGGATTTCAGTGATTGAAGACTCCTGACGGGGATAACTTGGTCGTTACCAGGAAAAAATGTGTCCATTGTGTCGGTCTTAGTGGCCGACAGTCAACAGACATGAAGATAATGATGAGGCTTCTCTAGCAACATGCATCAAACACTGGGCATCTGCCATTGACGACGGCTTGAAAAGTCGACTAATCAGAGTGCTAATTGTAACACGGCTTCTGGAACTTATATGGCGTCTCTAGTCGATAGTCCCTTATCAAGCCGCTGGACAGTGCAAGTTTGGAAGGTCAGCGCTAAATGCTAGGCGACACTGCCATATTCGAAACTGATTTTATCACCCAGAACTGTCCACCGTGGTCTCTCCGTGACCGAACCGATGGGTCATTAGCACGGCTACTACTTACAAGCCCCTCCTCTGGTACGATGATCCGGCCGATGTCAAATTCCATAGGCCTAGTTCCAGTATCGTAGCCCACCAGTCGGCTACGGGAGGTTCAGCTGTTTTCAATTTAAGCCGCGGTCACGTATAATCTGTATGTTTTGTAGTTTGGCAGACTGTGTGGCTTTTAGTTTGGCTAACCAGCCCTGCGAACTAGGCAGTCATTATGAGTACCAATGGCTTAATCAACCCGCTCGGGGCACAAGCCAAGCAAGCAGAAGAAACATGTTCTTCAAGTATTGTTCTACGGAAACAATCCTTCGATCCACGTGCGCAAATATGTTTACGGCAGCAAATCCACCCCAGCTGTCCTTGGAGTCTTCATCTTTTTGAGCAAAGACCTGTAAGGTTGTCAGATACGTACCGACACGGAACCCATCTGGTGTGATTATACCTGCTAGCTTCAACCTGGCATTCAACCGGAATTCAAGCTGGGTAGCAATTAGAAGGATGAAATCTCACATATACATCAGAGTTCTTGGTCGGTGGTTACTCAGCCTTGCGTCCCCGGACTTTTGTACTTTGTGAGAGGCCGGACGCACGTTCAAGCATCTCCCTCATTCTTCCTGGTGATTAAGTCCTGAAAAAAATGTATAGACGGCAGTAACTTATCGCCAAAGTGATAATGATTCCGAAGATAGTGGATCTGGAGCTGTTTTTGCTTCTTCGCAGACGCCACCCGGCCTGAAGCTTCCCGCATGGAGTAGTACCGCCTTGCCGAATTTGGCACGTTGGGTACGGGCACTTCACTAGTAGGGCCCGCTTATATGCAGCCGCGAGTGGGTGCCCGACCAACGTCCCAGCTAAACATCGGCCAACACCGCAGGAGCAGGGGAGAAGTGCGCCGCTGCCAGGTTGCCAAACAGCGTATTGGCGACTGGTTGCTCCGCAACAGAAACAAAACAAGCGCCCGGGATTGTCAATTGACAGGGGCTTGTCCCAGCGACCGCCCTGAACAACATCTCACCGCACCACGTCACATCCACACACCCCGTCCAGTATCCCTCGTCCCGCATCGACGCCCACATGCGCATTCACCTCCCCCGGGTAACAAACATTCAGATCCGGCTCTTAAGACTGCCCTCCCATATTAGCCTCACCGACTTCCATCTCTACTATCCTAGGTCAAACATTCCCGACCGACCTAGACTTGACATTACTTTGTCCTGTGTCGTTGCTTCGATACCTGTCCTCTTCCGCCCATTCTCTACAAACCTCTCGCGCTGCACTCTCTGTTCTTAGTTGTCGCCGTTTATGCCATCTTCCTTCGACGAGGCAGTGCAGTGTAGCGCAGTAGTACGTCTACCACTTGCAGACCAGGATCACTACCAGACCGCCAAGGGTATTGAGCTGTATTGCACTGGCTTACATTTTCTCTCGATAGCCGCATTCCACGGCTTCTTAGCGTGAGCTCATCACCACCTACACGACCTCAAGTCCATTCCAGTCACTGAATCCTTCACTTGGAGAACAATGGCTCCCGTGGAGCGCGAAGCTTCGAGAGATGCGGATCGCCCGCTGAGACATCAACATTCAATGTCCTCCGACCAAGGCAGAGCCCTGGTGCCTATGTAAGTGCTCAGAAGTACAAAATGTCTTCCATCATCAACCATTCTCTAGGCGTTTCTCCATGATGCGCTGGTCATGTCTGTTATTTGGCGTCGACTAATGAAGACCAGGTGGGATAGCTCAGATCCCGACAGGGCACCGCCGCCCTTACCTTTGAATCCGCAATCACCCGTCACGACCTCTAGAAAGGGGACCTCTGTTGCCATTCAGTCTGCTCATGCGGCCCTGACCGAAAGAGCGCGCGAAAGCGCCATGATCCCTGGCCCGTTGACGAAGCGCAACACCGACATCTCGCCAGAGCGCTCTCTCATTAAAGGATCCCACCACAAGCGTATGCAGTCGCTGCAGCCAGGAAGCGTCAGAGACCTCGGCTTGCTTTTGGAGAGTGGTCAGCAGTCCAACCCACCATCCCCTACCAAATCTCCCGAGCGGCCGGCCCGACCCTCCACTCCAGGTGCCAACAGAAGGAATAGCTTCGCCGACTCAAGGCGAGACAGCTTTGCAGACAGCAGAAGGGATAGCTTTGCCGATTCGAGGTCAACTGAGAGGGAAGCCACAACACCGTCCTCAGTCACGAGTCAAACGCCCGTCGTGCGCCCGACGATCAAGAGACAGCAACAGAGCATTTTGGGCGAGAACCCGCCTCCACAGTCTGCGACCATGCTTGCCATTCAGAACATGCCGCTTCAGGGTCAGCAGGAGAAGGAGAACATACATGCCCATGTCACCAACGGCTCCAACAATGCTATCGTGAGAGCTCCTCAACAGGTCGAAGCTCTCTCGGGGCAGATCTTAAGTCTTACCAACATTGCAACAGCTTTGCAAAAGGACATGGCTCAATTGAGTCGACGAAGCCGGGACAATGCAACCGACTTGCTCAGCCTGAAGGAGGCAACTAAAGCCCGGGACGAGGACATTCGCAAGAGTCTGCGTGAACTCATCAACAATGCTCAGGATGCCGCCGCAAACAGCAGACCAGGCTCGAGAGATCCCTTCGCCAATAGCTTGTTCCTCGACAGCAAGCCTCACCACACATCGCCTCCCCCAAGCAAGGCCGCTCGCCCCTTCTCTTTGCCTAGGATCCCGTCGCCCAACAGCTTCGCGGCATCAATCGATCGAGACAACCTAAGCACACCCTCGCTGTGCAACTCGGAATCTCCTGCCACAATGGCGATCCTCGACAGAATCATAAGGGACATGGGCACAAAGGAGGGACAAGATCTTCTTCTCGCTCGTTTAACAGACGTTGCCGAGAAGCTGGCTGGTGTTGCCCCGGCCTCGAAAGTGGATGAGCTGATCCAGATCGTCAAGGCAAAATCCGACGAAGCTATGCTGGCTCGGGGTGGTGGTGGTGGTGGCAATGGGGGTAGCAACGGCAACCGTCCTCATGCAGCCGGCTTCGACGACGATTCTAATAGCATGAATTTCGACTTTGACCCCGGATACGCCAGTCAGCTGACACATCGATCTGAGAGAGCACTGCACAACGAGCCTTTATCACGATCAGCGTGCCACTCTGCCAATGCCTCCGAGCTTGTCAGCGACGAAGTACTCAAAATCATCCGCGCCGTCAAGGACAGTGTCGCTCAAGGGGGTGGTCTAACTGCAGAGGTGAAGGCGCTCGTCCGTGAGCTTCGCGGGGAGGTCTTGGGCATGGGACGGGAGATTGGCAGAAGACTGGACGAAGTGAACGCAGAGTCCTTATCCACCGGGCCACCAGCCGACAACGAAGAGATCTCAAGAATTGTCCACGAGGGCCTTGACCAGATGAGAGAGCACATGGACGAACTTCTTCGTGAACACCGACGCCAGTCTGCTGCCTCCTCCCTATCAAGAGCAACTGCTGTCGACTACCAAGAAATTTACAATGCTATGAGAGCGGCACTCCGAGACTCACAGGCCTCACAACAAAAAGAACCCGACCTAAATCGGGAGGATGTAATCGAAGCTGTAAGGGATGCCTGGGAGAACTACAAACCGGAAGTCGGAAACCACGACCCGGGACTCGGACGGGAGGAGATCTTGGAATATCTCAAGGAAGGCTTGCAAGATTATGTTGACCGGGACGAACAGCCCATTGGAGCCTCCCGAGAGGAGGTGTTCCAGGCGGTCGTCGAAGGCCTCAAGCACTTCTCACCACCACACGTGGACACCCCAGCCAGTCTCTCCCGAGACGAGATTCTTGAGGCCGTTCGCGAATGTTTGGAGGAGTTTGAGTTCCCTGTTGCCCCATCGGCATTCAACCAGGAGCTAACCAAGGAAGACATGCTCCACGCAGTCAAGGAGGGACTCAGCGAATACGACCTACCTACCACCGGAACTCTTGTCCCTCACCAGAACAATAACGAAGAGATAGTCTCTCGATTGCAGGACATAGTCGATTGCATGCGTGGCGAATTTCGTGCCGTGACAGAGGAAGCAAAGCAAAATGCTGCAGTCAACGGCCGTAACACGGAACACATCATTGATGCTACGAGGAACGGCCTCGAGAAGCTGCGTGCCGACATCCAGCAATATGTCAGTCATTTAAGCGGCAGTACCGGACAGGAAGAAGTCACAGAAACGTTACTAGGTACTCTGGACACCTTCCGGGACGAGATGGCCTTGCTGGTCGATCGCGTCACGAGCGATTCGAGGTCGACAATCGAGAGCCACATGGAGTCACTTCGGGATACGGTCAACTCCTCGATGGTGCCAGTCACTCCACAAGTCAACCAGAAAGAGATCATTGAGGCTTTCAGAGACGGCATCGACAGCGTGCGTGCCGAGTTGCGCCGGCCCTTTGCTGGAGTAACTGACATCCTGGACGCCCTTCACGATGGTCTGGCAGACTTGCGCATTAGCATTGATAAGGTTGCTAACCGGCCAGCGGATCTTACTGCCAACGATGAGATTTTGGATGCGCTGAAGTCCGGGCTCGACAACGTTCGCTCTGAAATTGACAGCCTCCGTGAACAACAAGGTCAAAACGACAAGGCCTTGACAACAATGCACGCAGGTGCCGTTGTCTCGACAGACGGTCTCAACCAGGACGACATCAAGAACCTTGAGGTGCTTATCACCCAATTGCGCATCAAGATCGAGGCCATGGAGCCTGTGAACGTTGATTCTGTCGTAAAGGACGATCTCATACGCATGGAGGATATGCTACGCTCCCTGCAGGAGTCTGCGTCCAAGGACGATATCCTTCGCCTCGAGGACATGCTCCGCCTCGTGCAAGAATCGGTCTCCAAGGATGAGACCTCCCGCATCGAGGAGGTTTTGCTCAACGCTAAGAATTCGGTGTCCAAGGAGGATGTAGTGCGCCTGGAGGAGACAATGTTGTACATCCACGAGTGGGTCAAGTCCAAGGAGAGTCCTGCCAGTACCGATACTGCAACCAAAGAGGACGTCCAAGCTATCGAGACAATTCTGCGTAACACCAAGGGCCGACTGGATGACCTCATTGATAACGAGCAAGCTGTACGCAAAGAGCACCTTGACAGCCTCGAGAACACCATTCTGGAAACCAGAGAGACTATTAACCTCATCACTACCCAGATGGACGGCCTCCCGAAGAAGGATGATGTAACTTCCGTCGAGGCGCTGGTGGCACAGATCGCTGCAGGCTTCGATGAAATAAAGGAGAGCGCCGCCAAACAGCTTGAAGATCCCGAGCGTGTCACCAAGACTGACGTTGAGGCTGTCGAAGCCGTGTGTCTCGATATCAAGAACGTGTTCGACCAAATGCTCAAGACTGATCTGGCCACACTTGTTAGCAAAGAAGACCTGAAGAAGACAGAACTAGCCCTGGAGGAACTCAAAGGCCCTCTGGCGGGATTGCAGGACGGACTCCAGGAAAGCCTCAAGGCCCCATTGGACGAGCTAAAGACTGAGTTGAAACCCCCTTTGGAAGACCTCAAGACTGCCCTCGAGGAGCTCAAGGCCCGACTCGACGCCCTGACCGAGGCACACACCCAAGGGGGTGAAGAACGTCAAGCTGAGATCGTTGGCGTCAGTGAGCGGGTCACGGAGGTCAAAACCTTCCTCGAGGAGTTCCAAGGATTGGTCAAAGGCAAACTCGAGGAGGGTGCTAGTAGCGTCGAGTCGCTCGCAAAGCTTTTCGAAGGCGTCTCGATTTTCGTGGAGAGTAACGCCACTGTTGGCCAGGAGCTGAAGGATCTCTCTGACTTGATGAAGGTGGAATTCGAAGAGTCCAAGGCCGGTGTGGTAGGTGCCAAGTTGGAGTCGGACGAAAAGTTCCAGCAGACTACCGAAGCCCTAGTCGCCAAAATCGACGAGAAGGTAGCAGAGCTGATGACCAAATACGACGAGTTCCATGTGGCCCTTGACGACCGCGCCAAGGCTGGAGAGGCCCGGGATGCTAGCACTGAAGAGGCAGTGCTGGGCACCAAGGCGGTTGCCGAAGAACTCAAGTCTCTCGTCGATACTCTTGGTGCTGCTGTCACCGATTCGATGGAAAGGATGGAGGAGGCGTCCAAGACTGTGTTCACCAAGGTCGAGGACCTCATGACCAAATCAGAGGAGAACCACACGGACGGCAAGGCTGAGCACCAGCAGACTCGGGATTACTTGAAGCAAGCCGTCGAGGGCCTTCAGGGGCAGTTTGGAGAAGCCCAACCCCAGATCCTTGAGTCCGTGAAGGATATTTTGATGGTCGTCGGCCAGCACTACGAATACGCCAAAGCATCTACGAATGATATTCAGAAAACAATCGAAGATGCCAAACCAACGGAGCTGGCACTCCCACCAATCCCCGAAAAGTATGACGATACGATAGTCCTCGAGAAGCTCGACAGGCTTGTCGAACAGACCGCGGTCCCGGCCGAGAAGTATGATGACGCGGTTGTTCAGGAGAAGCTGGACAAAATAGTCGAGCATGTCTCAGTACCCGCGGAAAAGTACGACGACACTGGCGTCCACGAGAAGCTTGATCAACTTGTAGCGCATGCCCAAGCACCTGCTGAGAAGTACGACGACGCACCAGTGCACGAAAAACTCGACAAGTTGGTCGATCATATTATGGTCCCTGTTGAAAAGTATGATGACGCGGTGGTGCAGGAGAAGTTAGATAAGCTTGCTGAGCGACAGGCGCTGCTTCCAGTCGACAATTACGATGATGCTATGGTTCAAGAGAAGCTTGACAAGCTTGTCGAACAACAAGCTTTAATCCCGGTCGAGAAATACGACGACACAATGATTCAGGAGAAGCTTGATATGATTGCCGAACAGCAGTCGTTGATTCCGACAGAGAAGTACGACGATGCCGCGGTTCAAGAGAAGTTGGACAGGCTCGCCGAACAGCAGTCATTGATTCCGACAGAGAAGTACGACGATGCCGCGGTTCAAGAGAAGTTGGACAGGCTCGCCGAACAGCAGTCATTGATTCCGACGGAGAGGTACGACGATGCCGTGCTCCGCGAGAAACTGGACCAACTCTCCCAACAGCAGTCCCTTATCCCGACCGAAAAATATGACGACGCAGTTGTTCGAGAAATGCTGAAAAAGCTTGCCGAGCAACAGGCGATGATCCCTACCGAAGCATACGACGATACCGCCGTACACGTAAAGCTGGACGAGCTGGTCGGCCACACTCACGCTGCCGAGAAAGCATTTTCCCAACTTGAGACGCTCGAGAAGGTCCATCAACAAGTCATCCAGACAGCCGCGGACATCTCGCTTTTCCTCTCTACTCAGACCAAGAAGATCAGGGAAGAGGAGGACGATCGAGAGAAGTTTCTTCAGGAAGTCACACTTGACCTAGAACGGAAATTGACTCTCAAGGAGCAGATCCAGTCCAATCTGCTGGATCTCAAGCAGGAGGAAGAGAGGCTGAGAGCTTCCGTGCTCGGACTGCGTACAGAGCAAGAAAGTCTCATTCGCCAGAAGACGAGGCTGACAGCTGACGTCTCGTCCCTCGAGACCGCACTGCATATTCGCAGAGACGAACTCCATGATATGGAAACCCGTGCTGAAGGATTGGAGCGCCGCATCTTGGAAGGTGTGATGGACCATTCTCGAGTCCTTTTGATGTCAAAAGCAACAAAGGGCCGTGACGCTATGAGCCGTAAACGCGTCCGAGACCAAAAGCTGGGCCAAGAGAATGATTCACATGGGAAGCCTGCATCGCCCGCCGTCAACTTGGCACTCTCCGCAAAACGGAACTCAAAGCCGCCGGTGCAGGCAGGCACCGCACGCCGCATCTTGTCCCTTAGCCAGATCACGAACAATGTCCCAAGCGGCGGTGTCCAGCGCAGCCAGAGCGTAAGGACTGCTGGGGCCAAGGGCCAGCGAAAGTCTAGCTGGGCGGGCGGCTATTCTAAGGGTTATGGGGAGCTTAACAAGGAAAACATGTCACTGAAGGAGACTGAGGAGGAGAACATGCCGAGTCCCGCCCTCGCGTCCTGCGAGGACCCCATAGACGTAACAGAGTCTCTGGCGGATGGCGACGAACCAAGCGACACTGAGACTTTGCGCCGCAGCAGTCACGGCAGCCGGATCAGCCGTGGTAGTCGTGGCACGACGGTTGTCACGGAGAGCACCGACAATTGCACTGGCGACGGAGACCATTCAGACTACTATGACGACAATCAGAGCGACTTGCAAAGTGACCTCCAGAGCGAGTGGACAGAGAGGAGTGCCGTGAGCTCTAATGTGAGCTCAGACCTTGGCTCAAACCTCGACCAGGAATCTCTTAACAACGAGGTTATGGTTTACGGGGAGACGGCCTGAAGTGGCGAGGATAATGGCCCGAAAGACTTTTTTCTTTGATGTGAGATATTGACGATTACCGAATAACGCACGTGTTTCCTTGCTCTGGCGTCAGTTGGTGCTCAGGGCAAATTGTGCCAAAAAAAATGGAGTTGAATATGTTTCCTCCCCTCATCTTTGTAATTGGTATCGTTAGAATGAACCCAGTCAATGTTTCAAGATTGTAGATAGTGTGCCGTTGGTACTGCTAGTGAAAAACGCAGGAGTCACAACCATTACCGTACTTTGCGGTAGTGAAACTATATTGCACGCTCTAGCGATTAATTTGTTCGGTTTGAGACGCGCCAGATTTACCTGGCGGTGAAATGGATGAAGCTGTTGTTACAAGATTTAGGACCCGTCATGGGTCAGGGGTAATGGCCGCAAGCCGTCATTACGAAATGGGTTGCTTGAAGATCTTCTCTTTTCCGTCCATCCATGGTTGCAAACAAGTCGGAATAGAAACGGACATTTCCTTCTCGTTCCACCCGGCTTCTAGAATTGCAGCCAGCACCCTTGGCACAGCGAGTGCGGTACCATTGACAGTCCAGGGGAACATGAGCTTGCCGTCAATCTTGGCCCGCGTAGCGAGCCGCCGCGTCTGATAGTCAGTACAGATGCTGGCGGAAGTAACTTCACCCCAGCCGCCATTTTGCTGCTGGCGGGAGGGGAAGAACGCCTCTATGTCGCACTTACGCACCGCCGAAGCGCCAAGATCGGCAGAAGGCATCTCGAGGACGCGGCAGTGTAGGCCCAGAGAGCCTAGGATCTCAGTCTGGATGTCGACCATCTCCTGAAAAATTTCAATCGTCTCGTCAGCTTCTGGCGGCGTCCAGGCAAACATCTCAACCTTAGTGAACTCGTGGACACGGTACAGGCCCTTTGTGCTCGCGCCGCGGGCGCCGGCCTCAGCGCGGTAACAGCGCGAGACGGCGACACGCTTCATAGGAAGTTCGGAGGCGTCGAGAGTCGACTCGGCCTTCATTCCAGCCAGAGGGATCTCCGAGGTGCCGGCCAGGCAGAGCTCCGGCTTGCCGCGTTCTGCGTCGGCTTCGGATTGTGCGAGGCTGTATACCTGCTGCTCACCGTTCTGGTCTCGAGGTTGGAACCCGCAAGCTGAGGCGATGTGACTGTATACAATGCTGGGCGGGGCAACCTGACGCCAGCGATGTCTCGTGGCTACGGCAAGGGCGTACTGAACGAGGGCCTGCTCCAGCTGGGCGGCCTCATCGAGGAGGTAGTACCAGCCCCAGCCCGAGGTATTGCCAGCGGCGGCGAAGTCAAGCAGGCCCAGCTCCGAGCCGATGTGGACGTGGGACCGCCACACTTTGTCCGATGAACTCGGGGCCTCGGCTGGGTGCTCGTTGATGTAGCTTAGAACATTCGGTTCGTCGCCGAGGGGCGTGGCTTCGCTGGTGAGGTTGGGAATGGCCAGGGCCAGGGCCTCCATTTCCTCAACGAGCCGTGCCTCGTCCTGCTCAACAGCCGTGAGCCTCTGCTTGAGCACGCGCGCCTCCTCGAGCAGCTCCTCGCGCGACATTTCGCTCATTTCAACAAATTCGGCGCCGTCACGGCTCGATGCTGGGTTGGCAATTTGACGGCGCAAGAGATTGGACCGCTCGCGAACAGCCCGACTATCCTTCTGCAGGGCTTGCCATTGCGCAAAGATTTGATTGATGCGCGCAGGGCTCTTGCTCTGGGCGGTATAGTTACGGTCAAGGCAATTCTGTTCGTAGAGAACCGCATTTTCTCTGATGTGCCGGATATCGATGATGGGTTTTGGCGCAGTGGACGGCCGCTTTACGTCGCCGAAAGCGCGATGACGAGATGTGAAGTGGTTAGCGAGGCATGGCGAGGGCGTAGGGCGCAGCAAGGGCCCCGTCGCCCTTACTGAGTGGCGAAGCAGACATGTTGGATCTCTTCCCATATCGATGACCAAGGAACGATATGTGGTGATTGATCAGGTATACGACGGTGCCGGAATGCTCCTGACCAGAATGGGCTGTGATGAGCAGAGGTGAAAGTGGTACAATATTTGACTGAATCGTTTACAGAGATATGAGCAGGGATGGAAGGGGTCCGCTCACTCGTTTGATGCATCCGGTTGGTATTGGCCGCGAATTTGAATGTACTACGATAGCTCAGTCAGTATGCAATAAATGGAAAGCAAAAAGCGAATCCTTGTGTCACAGGCGATTTAGTTGTAGTTCATTTCTCTGTATTTGAACTGCCATGCTTCCGGGGTATCCTTGCCGTGTACACTAAACTCGTTGCGCTTTCTTACTATCTTCTCAGCTCCTTGTACTAGTATGCCCCCCATGCTCCCAAAGTCCAAGCAGCTTGCCCCGAAGCTCCTCGCATCAAACCACCAGGGCCCATACTCTGACGCTGTTGGGACTTGACGTCCACTTCGCTGGGCCGCGAAGCCCCGTTGGCTCCCTGTTGAAGCCATGTGTCACGGTCGATGTTTGCCATGGCTGCGACCTTCAGCTGGCAGGCCAGACTAGCCCCTCCCCAAGGACCAAGCGATCCTAAAGACCGCAAGACACCCTGGACCTTTGCATGATGGCGCTCGCGCTTCCTCAGAGACTCGCCAATGGCATCTGCCGCGTAAAAAGCTTCGTCATCTGCGACATTTCGCTCCACCGTCCCCTTGGCAACCGGCTTCTCCTCTGTCGGACCATCAGATGCTGGTCCACTGTTGGTCCTCTTAAGCATCGTGTTGGACTTGTATTGTTGCGGTGCGCGCCCTTGGACGGGATTCCACCCTCGTTCGTGTACCAGTTTTGACAGCTCATCGAATATTCTGCGTCTTAGGCCGACGACTCTGGAGCAACCGCCGATAAAGATAATGCGGGACATGCAAATCGCCCGTGTATCAATTGGCAGCTGAACAAGGTGTTGGTAGAGGAGGTGATGCACGGGAAGCTCGTCGTCATCGAAGCTACTGCGCGAGTATTTAGGCGCAAAATACGTATTCTCACACGGCTCAGACAGTTGCTGCAAAGACAAAGTTAGGTTTTCGGGCGGTTCTACAGATTGAAGCAGAATGTCAATGTTTCCTTTTGACTCGTCTCGGGCAACGGGGGAGGGTGGAGCGGACTCATCCTGTTCCTCAACCGTGGGCAGGACATCTCCGGGTGTGGTCTGCTGTCGCTTTCCGAGACCGGGAAGCTCACTCTGGGCAAGTTGACGACACCAGACAAGGCGGCAGGCAACCTCCTCGCACTCCTCGAAACTCAGAGAATGTTGACCTTGGTCTCTTTCGCGAAGTGTCCTCTGCGCATGTACTGGTGTTGCCGAGAGAGCGTCCTGCAAGAGGTTATGAGTCTCACTGACCAGCATTTTCCCCCCACGAACTGTTCTTGATGTGCGAGCTTCCCGATATTCGTACACACTTGTCACAGCTGTTTCGGCCCAGCCAAGATCCACAACCACTGCCGACCGAGTGCCCGCTCCGACGGTGGACATAACCGCTGATGACATGAGAGACACAGTAGGTGCCTGGAAACGGTGGAAGAGAACGTCCAGCGCAGTGGAAAGTAACGGGAGAGGAGTGGAAGAGGAAAGGACCAGAGAAGTACGTCGGGGTCGCGAGTCGATGAGCAGGAACCTGAGCGATTCAAATCAGTGAATATGCCACGGGGTTGGTTATTGAGGGTAAAGTAAGCACGGACTTGTTCAGTGCCTCTCGAATAGCCCGGTCTATCTTGTCTTCCACTAGGCCCAAATCCACAGTTCGCACGTCGAACTGCCAGAGCTCATGTTCAACTCCCCAAGTCTTGCCAGTTGGACGACGTCTCCAGTCGTTCTTGTGTTCAGGGTCCCAAGTGCGAAAGTCGCCAACACGGCGAAGTTTCTCGGGCCCAAATGACAGGACTGCCTTAGGTGAAGATTCCCCAGCGAATCCAAGCTTGATGAAGCGGGAACCCAGCTCTATGACGATATTATCATCCTCAGCGCGTAGACTAGAAGGGGAGCCAAATGTTGACGAGATGGTACGTGAAGGCGTATGCGGACTTGCAGGACCGCCAATGCTCGGGCCAGTCTCGGTACGAATGTTCGCGATGGATCGGTGGGGAATGCTTGGGGCTGCAGAGGACGACATCTTTAGTGTTGCAGCGGCTTGGACGGCTGAAGTAGAGGTGGGAGCGTCGCCCTTGATGTCTAACAGACCATGCTTCGCGTCTTGCTGCAACGATTCACCGTTCGCAGTACACAACTGAATGTATCAGCTCAAGGGACAGAGTAAAGGCAGCAGTGACGGCTATGGGTATGCCGATCAAAAGCCGCCGGGTCGTTGTGAGTTTGCTACTGTCACAGGAGGCAGGTTTGTATGTCGAGAACGCGGCCGAGCATTCGTATTTGGGAGCAGCCAAGGGCTGTAGACAGTCTGCCTCAAAGAGTGGGGCTTCAGGTTCAGCAGAAGCATGGTGCTGGAGCCCCGCATGCAGGAGCGGTCAGGGTCAGTGCATTTGCAGACCCTTTTATGGGACGGCCCGAGTATTGCATAATTGCGGATGACATGCTAGTGTTATGTATTGTCAGAAAGTCAACATCTGCCCGTAGCCAGAGTAACCACTGTTGCATGCGCCTTGTTCGACGACATCCGCACGCTTGACCAACGTCGGTCCGCGAGACACGTATTTGCGATTGTAACGTTGAGCCATTTTGACGACGAACTCAACGTGAGAAGGACTGGGTATCAGTAAAAGTTAAAGCAAGATAGTGAAAGCGCCTCATCACCCTGGCGTTGGAGTCTGTCTCGTCTTCCTGGACCCCAAAAATGCTCATTTTGATTCGCCGACGCAATTCGCCATCCACCTCCTTTACGAAGACTTGCTGGTTGAAGTTTCGGTGAAACAGGTTCCACAAGAAAAGCAGTCTCGCAATGGGAATCAAAGGGTACTGACAAATCCCCATAGCCGATTCACAGACCTGCACAATCCTCGCTCATACCACGCTTATAGGATTTACCGTGAACTTGGCCCAGGCCAACGAATATCCCTTGCCAAATTGGCTACAGAGCAACTCGAAAACACAGGCAGGCCGCTGCGCATTGCTATTGACATCGCGATCTGGCAGTTTCAGACACAAGCCGCGCGAGGTAGGCCCCCGTCAATTCCCATGCAGACCACGAGATTTACATTATATCTAGGTGGAACGAATCCTGCCATCAGAACTCTATTCTATCGCCTACTTCGACTTCTGAGTCTTGGAATACAACCCATTTTCGTCTTTGACGGGCCTCACAAACCGGCCTTCAAGCGCAACAAGCGATCTGGCAGAGGAGATGGAGTTGCCACGGCCATGGCAAAGAGGGTTATTCGCCTGTTCGGCTTTCCCTTACATGACGCACCAGGCGAGGCGGAGGCTGAATGCGCCCTACTACAGCAGCGGGGAATCGTAGACGCCGTTCTGAGCGAGGATGTCGACACCATAATGTTCGGCTGTACCCGAACCCTACGCAACTGGACGGCAGAAGGAACCCGAGGGGCCAAAACACCAACCCATGTCAGCTTGTACGATGTTGACGAACTGCTGTCTGCCGGGACCGGCTTGGATCGGGAGGGCATGGTCCTGGTCGCATTGATGAGTGGGGGCGACTACATCCCTGAAGGCGTACCCGGCTGCGGAGTGAAACTGGCCTGCGAGGCGGCGAAGGCCGGATTCGGTAAATCACTATGCCGCCTCAAATTCGACGACGACGTTGAATTGGAAGAGTGGAGAGCGAATTTACGAGATGAGCTGCGTACCAACAAGAGTGGATTCTTTAGAGTACGACACAAAGCGCTGTCCATCCCGGACGAGTTTCCGAGCCGACATGTCCTGAGGCACTACACCCATCCTGTTGTTTCCTGTGCAACTACAGTAGAGAAGTTGGAGAAGGAAATCATCTGGAGCCGACCGGTAGATGTGCAAGGCCTTCGGTATTTCGTCGAGGAAACATTCGACTGGGTAAACAGAATTGGTGCTACCAAGCTCACGCGGGTTCTGTCTCCCGGCTTGCTAGTAAGCAAATTGCTGGACAGACACATGTCCAGCAATACAGACAGCCAAACTATAGAGGTTACGGGGCAGGTGAAGTCGGATTTGATAAAACGCATCACTGGAAGGCGGAACCACCATAGCACTGACGGGATACCAGAGCTACGCGTGGCTCACATCCCAGCCGATATAGTTGGCCTGGACCTATCACAGGAAGCGGACGGGGTCATGACCTATGACCGTCAGGGGCTGGCGCTGAACAGTGACGATGAGTTCGTGGCAGTCCTGGATGGCGATGCCGAGGCAACAAATGGCCGAACTAGGGCAAAGAGCACTTTTGACCCGACGCTCGTTGAGTTGATTTGGCTGCCAGAATCGCTTGTCAAGCTAGGCGCACCTCTGACGATTGAGGACTGGGAGGAGAAGCAGCGCTCCAAGGTTCTGTCTCGGGCCCCGCGCAAGACAACCAAGACCACAAAGGTCAACAACATGAAGTTCGCCAGGGGCACACCACATGAAGCAGACGCTCTTGACAAGTGGATGCAAACCACCCAGACCGCTGCGACAACATCCGGCGCAAAATCACGAGTTAGGGGCCTTGACGGCAGTGATATCGGGTTGTCGCCACTCAGTCAACCGACGATTCGCAGCCCCAGTTCACCAGACCATCCCTCATCACAACTGCCGACTCATTTACAGAGTTCGGTCAATCGAAGTAAGCAATCTAGATCCAACGGGAAGGCCACGGCCGCCGCAGAACCGACCGGGCACAGAAACCCATGGGCATCCGCTGGCTCACAACGTATGCCTAGAATTACAAAGTCTCAACAGTCCACGGAGCCGATCGTTTTGTCATCTAGCCCCATGCGTCCGTCACCTGCGGCTGCTTGTTCGCCGATGAACCCTCTGTCATCAAAACACGTCGTAGACTTATCTAGCACCGATGAAGCTTACGTCTTCGCGCCGTCTAAGCCGCCCAAACCAACCGTACCGTCCCTTCAACAGGTGGCCTTGTGCAAACACCAGTCTATTAAGACCAGGCCAACAAAAGGATCCCCAGCACTTTCTAGCACACCGCCTCATGGCAAACTATCCATGAAGCAAACGCGAATGGATTCGTTTATCACACGTTTGTCTAAACTGCCAGTGACCGAATCAAGCCAGACCCAGCCAAGGGCGTGGGTAGGGAATGGGTCGCAGACTTGTATTAGCGCCAGTCACATTGCTGTGTCGAGTCGCCTCGGGCACAACAGAGAAACCAGCCTAACTGTTTCTCGAGACACTCAAACTTCGGCAACTTGGAACAATCACGGCGATATATTTCCACTGGCAAACAAGACTGACGCTTCCGGACAGACCAGGAGGATGTTAGTGACTCGGACGAGTGTGGGCGGGTTTTTCAAAGTCGTTGAGATGAATGACCAGGAAGAGGACAACTTGAAGATAATGTCTCCTGGGCGTTTTACAAAGTCTGCCTGGAGGCAAAGCGAGGTCTCCATCATAGACCTTACGGTAGACGACGACTAGTAATACTCACTATTATTACAGCAACAACCCGTGGTCTAGATGAAAGGGCAAGAAATCATATACAAAGTCTAGTGCGTTGCTTGCAAAGGCAATCTTCTGTCAGGGAATGTCGACGAAAGACACGAGCTCATCAATTGGGTATCCAGCGCTGTATCTATCTATATTCAAGAAGTATCAAACATGTGATTTCGTATATCATCAGTCGAAGAATAACCAGTATGCTTCTTCATCTCATCCTGTAGGCGCAGCCGACTGAAATTCCCACGAGTCCAGTCCTATCAATGCTCAACATGCCAGGGGAGGTCGCGATCCCCCACTGTCACACATGTGAGGTAGCCGATTCCATCAGCCGTTCTACCACTGCTGATGTCCAGCTCCAGACCGCTTCCCATAAGCGGCCGCACAATATCGCGGGCCATTGACTTGAGCTCGTCTATGCGTTTTTCAAACCGGCGTAGATTGTCGCGGCTGTATAGCTCGGGTGTCAACTTCAGAAATCGTTTGCACTCGTCATGGCCAAGGTACGCCGACGAGGAAGTACCAAGAGTACGATATGTGCGGCCGACCGTCGCCAAAGGCGGCACACCGGTAGGGAGGGTGAGTTGCTGCAGATTGCCGTTACGGCCGTCGCGTGAGTTTTGTATTCGCCTGTCGGGAGGTGGAGGGGTGGTGTTGTCTGCTAACCACTGGCGGAACAGACTAACGGCAAGCCAATCGAGGTAGGATGTACTTGGGGTAACACGCTCGCCTCTGGCTGTGACCAAGTTCAGCCGGAAGAGACGGCCCTCGACTCGGCTAACAACCTCCTCAAGCTCGTCAACCTTATCCTCGATAATGTCGAGAACTACATCAGGAAGAGCAGCGCGTAGGCTACGCTCCCCTGCTGGCCACTGACCAACGACATGAATAAGAGCCTCCTGAAAAATAACCCTGCTACGGGCAAGATAGCCAAGGCGAAGGTATGAAATCGGGTACTTGGCAATCTGTTTCCAGAGCCGCGACTGAAACTGGAGCAAGTGGTGATCTACTCTAGGCCCGACCACGGCGAGTGCATCATAGAGGTCCGCAAGGGTGATGAGTGACTTGCATTGCACGTAAGCATCCGCAATGTTCACACCATCCAGGGCCGGAGGGTAGTTGTAGAAGATACGGAAGAGGTTGTCGTAGTCTCGTAATAAATCCTGATCGGCCTGCGAGAGCGGCTGGGTCGTCGCATTTGTAGTCGCCGCCGCCATCGAGCTCGGCACGAGGCTCAAGTTGGCCACCGAGCGAAAAAAGCTGTGGTTCGCGTGTGCCGATGAAGAATGTGAATGATTTGACGATTTACTTCGCGTGAAAGATGCCGGCTGGTTGCCGCTGCCAGCACTGCCTGGGCCGAACAAGGACCCAGAATGGCTCCCGGAGCCTTTGGAGCGATCCTCGTCCGTCTGAACCAGCATTGGAATATCCCCGTCCCCCGTTCCTGGATCCAGCTCGTACCGCCATCGCTTTCGTGGACTGGACGTGGTGAGAACCCGGCTTGAGGCCGGGGCGATTGATGATGAATCGACAGAGGTATCGTCGCTGATGCGGGCAAGATCACCCGAGGCGCTACCAGAGACCGGCTTAGACCATTCAAGACTCGTGCTGGCCTCGAAGAAACCCGAACATCGGGTGAGAGTGTGGCGATGCAGTAGGTAGCGGTTGTGGTGGCTGCCAGCCTTAACTATCACCTCGACATCGCCCGAGTTGCTGAAGATGGGGAATTCGTTCTGAGGTATGTAGGTGGTGGCGCCAACGTGTGACCTGTTGTATCGCTTCGTGCGAGAGAGCGAGGGACGCGAAACGACCGAGGAAGGGCCTCGTAAGGTGAGAGAGGACGCGGAGTCGGGCTGCGAGACCATGAAGAAGACGTCTCGAGACCAAAACTGCGGGGGGTCGGGGAAAGACGAGAAGCCTACGCTGGCTTCAACATGGAGAGGCGCGTTGCAAGAGGATCTTTCAAGCGAACGCCAGTATTAGGAAGACGCGGCGCAAGAAGCGCGCAGTCGTTTAGTAGGTCGAGACGGACCTTGGGATCGAGTTCTCCGAACCAACCAGCGAAGCCCTCCGAGTGTTGGGCAGCCTATATTTTGGAGGCGCTAAAGGGCCGACCGGCAATTTTGCGATGGCGAGTACGAAAACGAAGTGCGCGACCAGGAAAAGAGATTCGGGCCACGGTAGCGGAAGCGAGATAAGTGCCTTGGTACTAAACGACTGGCTGCACTAGGGTACGACGGCGAAGGCGGATGGATCAAGCAGCTGGGTGTTCTGTTGTGTCGCGATGCGCGGGGGAGTATGTGCATGCGCCAGTGCCAAGATAGTACATACAACGGCTGGAGCTAGAAAAAGCAGTGGCGAACTGCTCAGTACACTAGGTATGAGACGAGGTGGAGCTGTGGGACTGATAGAGATAGGGTGAGGCGGGAAGAGTTGAAAGGGAAGCGAGGCAGAGCAGAGGAAAGACAAGAGGAGAAGGAAGGCGAAGTAGGTGATTTGTTGAATTCGTTGATCGAATGGGATTTCAGGTGAGGTAATCAAGATGAAATGAGGACCTTAGGCCAGGCGAGACCAGAGCATGAAAGCCAGGAAACAAAGCCAGGAGCAAGACACGGGCACAGAACTTGCATTTACCTGGGCGGCCGGGGTTCAGAAAAAGACGCGACGAACAAGTCACGAGCACTCTGGAGTCCGCGATGCGAGCCGTGGGGAGTTCAAGGAAAGAGAAGGAGGGGGGGCTTGGAGTAGCAATTTGAACCCAAACAAACATTAGAAGCCAAAAAAGAAGCAAAACCCATATTAGAAACCGGCGCAAAACGGGTGCAGAGACCGACGTGCCAGTGTACGCGCACGACAGCAGGTTCTTGCGACAACGAGGTGAGTAGGGAACATGGTGGGTAACGCTCTACACACATGTTGTACTCACCAAGACTGAAGACTGGTCTAGTCCAGTGCTTCAGAAATGCTGTAGCAATGGGCAAAGGCTGGACAAAATGCAAACGAAGTGTCCTCAATCAGTCGCATCCCCAACATGCTTGCATTCACTCCATAGGCCATGCGATGGCGGAGGTGTTGCCTCCCAAGTAAAATCACCACTGAAGCAGCCCAATCGCCTCGTCCCTATCGTGGACCAACCAACCGCTTCGCTACTTTGTAAGAAGGGCAAGACATGCAGGGGGCAATCATCATACATAATGGATGGAAAGGCAGGCTCGGCACCCACCACCCACTAAACGCACGCAACGAAAACAGGGCACCACGCGCCAACCCAGTGGAAACCTAGTACCGGTACGTAACTGGGACGTGGGGATAGGAGGCACTGAATCCCCGGTGCCAAATCGAGAGCCAATGAATAGCAACGCCTTTTTACCACGCCAAAACAAAAACTTCTACTTGTATCTTTATTTTCTTGGATAGAATATTGGGAAAACGTGGTCGGCGGGCGGATCCTTGGCCAATAGATAGAATACATGCCAATGAAATCGAAACCTGGTCTTGATGGGTCTTTATGACGTTCTCATGAAAACTGATTGCCATAGGGTAACGGACAATAGTGTGTCGGTGTCGAGGACATTGACTTTGGGTTGAGTACTAATAGACGCATCCCCAGCGACAGGAATCCATCCCTCTTGGTTTACAACACTATGCACCTCCAAGTTTCCGAGATAGACATGTTAGATACTACTCTTATTTGGTCTCATGTCCAAGTATTTCATCCTCATTGGGTTTGCCCGCAATCAAAGCAGGTTGCGTCCTCGAGATGTCCTTCGACGAACGGAACATCGTTAAATCTGAATGCTTAAACCCTCTTCTCTCGTCTTGATCTTGTTATCGAGGGAGGCACTTATAAGCGCAAGCAAGGGTGTAAAAAAGTACAGCATATCGCGCTATCGCCCTTTGGTCCTATTTACGATATACCCTGTACCTAAGGTAGGTAGGTACCTATGTACCTAGTGTAGGTTAGGTAGGTGGGCTGTGCTGTCTACCCAGCATGCTAGACGCACAGTGGGTCTTTTCACTCTCAACCATTGGTCATATTCACCGCCCGCTCAGTGCGCCACCTCGCCCTGACACCCAAACTCTTACCACACCACACCACGACGTGCTGCCCTCGTAGTGGTCCCCGAGGCCCTTATCCACCAACCAATCACCGCCTTGAAATCTACAGACCTTCGTGTGCCATTGAAGCCGGCGCCGCGACGGCCGCCAGATGCATCATCCAACCCACCTCAGCTCCAGCCACTTGCCAAAGGTGGCCTGGCAAGCTTGCAAAACCTGCCTGGCACACTTCAGCACTGCCGTTCTTCCGCTATCGTGAATGTGACCTGTGCAGGGTCTCCCTCGCCTTAAACACAGTGAGAGACTCAGTCTTATTGCTCGTTTCGCCTGTGGCTTGTCACTGTACTCTACATCTGCATCAGCACCAACACCAGCCCGTCAACATTGCCAACCTACGCAGGCCCGTCGCTGTCTCGTATAGTCCAAGTGCTCTCACGCGTCTTGACTCGGGTTTGCGTCGGTTCCCATTAAGCTTTTGTCTCGCAACACTCCTAGGGCGCTTCGGCATCGTAGCAAATCGCATTCCTTCTAATAAGTCTAACCTAGTTCAGCCTAGTCAAGTCCTCGGCACTCTTAGCCATCAGTTCACCACAGCAGTATCGTGTTGCGGCGCCATTAGATACTTTGCAAATGAACATGTATTGATGCTGTTGATGGGCAAGCAAGTGCCATTGAGTAGTGTAGATAAACCCCAAAACCGTCGAGGTCGGCAAAAAGACAGCCGAAATAAACCAGCCCAAACAGGGAAAAAGGTCCATTTCCGCCGACTGACCCTTCTTATCTAGGAATCCGTTGGGCAGATGCACACGCATACGCACGCGTCCTCATCCAACCAAACCCGATCCCACCAAGCAAAGCTCCTCGTTGGAAGACAAATACGCCCCCCAGACCTTGCCGTTTTGTGATATACTACCCTGTGAAAATAAAAATAAAATAAAAAAATGAAACTGATTGCACAGCCGTGTTCAACGTCTTGCATTTTACATTTCCATGTGGCTGTCAGCCTCCGTCGCGAACGCCGTATTCTTTGACTCGTTTGCTGCTGGCGACTGAGTTGCAAAAAGAGTTTCTTGACCGACGAAAACCGGAGGCGAACACTTGAGATTGTTCAACGCCCCTTCCGCATCCTTGCTAACGAATCGGCCTTGACGGAGATCCTCTGAAAAGAGATAGAAACCCTCCGCGGCCTCGACAAGATATGATTGAAGGCCCTTGCTTTCGAGTCGAATAACAACCGATGACACTGGATAATGGTTCTCAATGTATCGGGCCCAGCCGCGAGCCGCAGCTTGAATATGCTGATCCTCGCTGATACGTCTCCAGCCAATACCAAGGTGCAAAGTGAACTGGTCGACAACAGGCTGCGCCGAATTCTCAAGAGTGATGGTCTCAGAGGCGGAGACAATTGTTGGCTGTGCGACGTCATGTAGACTATGAATATCGTTTTGAGTCAGGCGTTGGGACTTGTTGCTGCGGAGGGACGGGCGTTGTTGCTGCTCGTGAAGACGAATGACGGCCTCATTGACTTTGCGGGCGTTATCTTGGGCGGCCTTTTCCTCAACCCAGGTGCCCGACTGGCTGCTGGCGTCCGCAACGTAGCCGCCTTTCTTGATCAGGACCATCCCGGGACCGTACTCCCACTCTTCCTCTGTTTCTTTGGGTTCGGAGCGGGGATCAGGCTCGTCGGTTACGAGGTTGGGGGCAGCCTCGTCGCGCGAACGTTTGCGCCCAGCAACCCGGAGGTTTCCAGCGGCCATTGCCGGCGGCACGGCGCAGCGTTGGTAGGATGAGGGTTGGCCAAAAGGCGCGGTTTGGGGTGCGTATGACTCCATGCCAAAGCTCGCTTGGTGGGCAGGCTGCGGTTGGAGAGCCATCACGGGTGAGGCAGAGGTGAAAGATCGGCCGAAGGATGACATGGCTACAGCGTTAGACCTGTGTAAGGTAAGTTCAAAAACTCAGCTTCAGACAGCTCCTCTACAATCAAAATGTGTTAGTGGTATGCTGGCCGTCCAATGACTGGCGATAGTCGACAAGGTGTACGCGATCGAATTGTCACCAGAACAGAAGATTGCCGAGGCTGTATGAAGATCCAGTTGGGAGTAGTCGTTGACGGTGGACTGTACAGCAGCTGGGCAGTGGCGACTTAGTATGGGAGGTAGGAGGAGGTACGTATAAAAGTGCTTGATGGACGGACGGGTGAGCACGATTCAGTAGATGGGAGGCTGAGCTGATCTTGAGGGTTATCAAGTGAATTTGAGGAAGGGGTCTTGAGTAGAGAAGGAAGGAGGTTGTCCAAGAGAGGAGGGAGGACAAGATGGGACAGACGTGGAGGCAGTGGGATTGATGGACGAAGAAGAAAGAGGGATGGCAAGGTGAGCGCGGTGTGGGCGGAGGCAGAAGGAGCTATCCTTTTGTATTTCTAGGTAAGCCAATTGGCAGACGGAAGGAAAACGCGAGGAGAGTGCTGTAGTACATGCAAAGACAAGGTACGGTACGGGACAGGGTCGACGAAAAAGGTTGGACATGGAGCGGAAGACAAGGGAACGCCGCCTTTGAGCCTTCCTACCCCCAAGTTTGCCCGTTTGTCGCTGTGGAGAGGAGAGAGAAGCCTCTTGAGGGAAGCAAGTGTGGTTGAAGGCAGAAAGGTACGTACCTCACTGATGCGAGTTCATCGAGACAGGACGCTAGGGTGAACGGGAATATCCCTACCTATCTGAAAGACTAGGAGCTACAAGGCGCCTAGCGAGAGGGGACTTACCGTCCACTGCAGATGGACGCCGTGGCTGACGGTATCGGCAGATCCACCTGTTAGTCCAGCCCCTGAGGCAAAGTTAGTGTCTGTCAGCGTCGCATGTACTGTCCTTAGGCCGGACCCACACATGTCGCTCTGCACTACTCCGTACTCTGTACCTATCTCTCTTTCTCTCTCTGTCAAGCTCGTCCTTGCCAAATCGGGGCGGGGCTGGGGTACTGAACAAACTGGTTGCCGCAGTTGCTGAAGCTGCAGCCCGTGTCGCGCCTTGGACCCACAGATGCAGTTTTGGAAGGGGAACGCAACTGGAGCAACAGAGGCGCTGTACCTCGTTCAACAGTGCTGCGTACACAAGTCTTCACAGATGCATTACGAATTTCTTCAATGGTCATTATCTTGAAGCAAATGGAACCCTCCATTCTGGTGCGGTAGCAGAGATACTCACTCTCGTCACTAGTGTACTTCTTTTTTACTGGTAGCCAGTTACGCCTTTTGTTGGAATCCACTTCCGCCTCACGCTCACCACATCACTGGCCCATCTCCCAATGCGTAGCGTGCACTCCATATGGGTACGCACGACATCCGCGACCCCATAGTGCAGGTGATCAGCTCGGTAGCTACGTAAGGCGGACGGAACTTGGAAGACCATCATCCGAGCTAACCTTGAGGGCTCCATAGCTAGCTGAGGTAATGCTCGTCTGTCTTGACACCTTGAAATCAAGGCCAGAGTTTTGAGGCCTTAGGCATTACAGGGTTCGACTCAGCAACAGACTCGAAGTACGTAGCTTTCTCCACCTAGCCTCTCGTGACTCTCCCGGATAAACCAATGTGCCGTCCGCCCACTCGTTCATGGCACGCTTCCCGGCCAACTAGGTATGCAGTTTCACCAGCAGTGGTTGCTGGTCCCACTACCTTCCCCGAGAAGGTGGTTGGTCGCCCAACGGATGTCCATATTACAAGCGAAATGATACGTAGGACACGGCGAGGCTGAAGTTCCGGTAACATCATAAGCGCGTACCACTCAAATAGCATTGTGTCGTCGACCGGGTGAAGCTGACGAGCTCAGGTGCGGGCAGTCGCTCTATTCCTTTACTCTTCGGCACAGAGAAGCAGCACTCGTCTGACAATCCTCTTAATGAGCTACTGTCCGTATCATCACCACAAACTCCACTTCCGCGTCTGTCTACTGGTGCCTTGGCATGGCTTCGAGTCTATTTTCAATCTCCCAAGTGCATCTATATATGCACACTTTGTAACCAATGCTAGTCTTGATCAAACAGCCCCTCTTCCTGTCTGCCTCATACGTCCCGACGACTTGCAAGCCAACGCCACATTTCCGCATCGTACAAAAATGCTTCGTCGGAATTCTCTAAGCCGCCATAGAGCCCAACAAACCCGGGAGTGTTCATTCCTGCGGGGCTTCTTGCTCCTGCTCGACGACGATGAAGATGTGACCTTGAAGCGAGTGTGGATGTTTCCAAGGTAAACGTTCGAGAGCTTGGTGCCGTGTAGGACCCGTGGAACCGGCTCTCATGCCGGGCCTCGGGAACATTCCTCGGCGTCTGAGGCTGGGCTTCTGCCGCGACCGTATCGTCGTAGATAACCAGTTGTTGAAACGATGCTGTCACTGCGGCGGTGTGATGTGTGCCATGTCCATGTGGAGACGTGAGAGTTGGCAATCGTGTCGAAGGGCTAGGAAGCGCTGGCGGAGCGACGTGACTCGCCTCGTTCAGTTCGATGGCTCTTGATAACCGAATCGGCTGTTGGGCGATACCGGTTAGCCGGTTGCACACTCAACAATAAATTCCGGCGCCAACATACCGTGCTAGGCTGGTAGAGTGGCGAGGACACTCTTGGTGTTGCGGCGAACGGAGGAGGGAGCGGCGGCCTTGGGATGAATGTACTCCCTGTAGGGACAGTATACTGCTCGATGGTCAGTGCCATGGTCTCGTTGACATCGATGCTGGATGGTTTGTCGGGCCTGTTGTGGTTGTTGTTCTTGTCGTTCTGGTCGCTGCCGCTGCCGTTGCCGCCACCGGTAGAAATCTCGAGTCCTTCTGCGGCAGTAGAGAGATTGTGTGGCAAAACAAGAGGCAGTCTGTCAGTAGCATACGTGAGCGGCGAGTCTACAGCCTCGTACAGTGACTGCCATTCTGTTTTGGGAGATATCGTTGTCTTCAACTGATCGGTATCGGCTCTTCTACGCTGGTCCTTGGACTGACGGTTTCGCCCGTATTCTTTGATTTCCGAGAGGGACAGGCGGACAACCGTTGCGTCCAGTCGCAGCATGTCAAAGTACGTCCTTCTTGGTAGGGTTTAGGCAATGTCAATACTAGGGGGTAGGGTGTTCTGTGAACTATGGTGTTGGTGGTGCAATATCACAGTGATAGGCGGGTAGGTGTTTTAGAGCATCGAATAGTTGTATACCTTGTCGTGTCGAAGGCAGCGGAAATACCTCAAGCAGTTGCGTAACAGACAAAAACACGGGGAAGCTGCGCATGCTGAATTATCATATGATAATTAAAATCAGGCAGACATAGCAAGTAAGGTGGATATCCAGACTACGGCAAAAGGGAGCGCAATCCTTGGAACCGGAAATCACCAACGAACGCCTTGTTCCCTAAAGCCACACATTTCCGGTATCGACCACTAGTTGACCACCTATACAATTGCTTTCCACCCAACAGCATGAGTTTCTAGTTTACAAGTCTAATCGAAATACGTGTTTCGCGTATGTGTGGCTCCTGAATATGCACATCTGTCTGAAATGTTGCTCGGAGAGTTGTGATCAATAAAGTCTAATGTAGTAGGTATGCTAGAGTTCCACGTTCTCAACTTCTCAAGGCACAAGTGCCCTCTACCCCAAATAGGCAAGCAAGGCTGAGATCATTCTTTTCAATCTCCACTATCCACTTGTGATGCCACTCTCCAAGAGCCAGGCGTCCAAAAGCGAAAACTCAAGTCAGGCCCCTTCTGCTCCATATTCTGGGTGGAGCTCCATTGCCCTCGTGTTGAAGAACTGCTAAGGTGCATAGGCGCCGCGAGCCAGGATGCATAACATCTTCCAACTTGAAGAACCAATAAACCAACAGATCCTGTTGTTCCCAGTATATGTATTTCAGAGCGCTCATCTCACTGATTGGGTTTTGGGTCCTTTGAACGCTGCACTGAATTGTGAACCTACCTTATCTAGGTATCCGTACCGTGGGAGAAAAGAATGGGGAGAGGGAGGGGCAGTTGTGAACAAGGAACGTACCTAACCCCAGCTTCACCGTCCAATCAAGACTCATACTCTTGAGCCCCTACCACGTTAGTACCTTGCCACTGAACCACCGCCAAATCGCTGCATTACCTGCAGTGATTACGGATACTGTCGACATTAATGGGCCTACCTGCCTAGGTATGTTACTGCATCGCCATCACCAGACAGCTACCTCTTGTGGTGTGGTCTGCATTGGGTAGGAGGTACCTGACACCAGCTATCGACCCAGTGCACTCTGGTGGGTTGTGCGCACTCTCACTGAACACGTACCACAGCAACAGTACTGCGGAAACTGAACCTAAATCAAACCCGAATCGGACGTTTGGAGAGGTGGTTGACTACTACAATCCTCACTCGCCTGACCCAACTCTACCTGACATTTGCATCTGACTGACCTCACTTTCCTCCTATCCGTTTTTTCTTGTGCTGCGCTGCGTCGTCCTTCACCTCACTTCACTCTGGTCATCACACGAGGTATCCCAAGCCACACTCATTATTCTTTCCCCCCTATTTTCACTCCTGATCGGAATATCAATCATCCCCACCCATCTTCATTTTGTTGCTTCATCCCGCCTGCCCCCCTTCCCTTTCAGCTGTTCACACTTGAACACGAATCATGAATGGGGACCTCAGTCTATCGAGGGCCCTTGGGGGATTACGAATAGCCAATCCAGACGACGCCGATGCCTCTACAAGCAATGCCCAAGATGTCGACGCCCTCTCGCCGCCGATCGATCGTCATCCCGATTGCCAAATCGACGCCCCCTTAGCACACCTCGAAGACCCGACTACACAACGAGCTACGACGTCCTACGCATCAACTACAACATCAGACAGTCTTCTTTCCCCCATACACCACACACAATCGTTCGAGAGGCCATCTTCTGCCTACGATGGCTCGTCTAGCCACGTTGAACCCCACCGAACCAGTCCCAGTGCCGCAATGCGAGCGGATGTCTACCGCCAGCCCGTATCGCCATACTCGGACCCTGACAGAGTCATCAGTAGTCGCTCCTCGATGTCTCCAGCACCACGCCCTATCTCTGGACTCTACACTCAGCCCCCACTTGTGCCTGATGATGGTCGGGCAGCCCATCAAGTGCATCCGCAGGACCGATCACGGAACTCGGTATATGGGATACTCGCGAGGCAAGACTCGAGTAATGCTCCAGGCTACCCAGATAACTCAACACCAACGAGGGAGCCAAGCCACAGGGAACGCTCTGCCAATTCTGCTCGTCAATCCCAGTTGCCGTCTGCATCTGGCCCCCTCCCCCTACGGAGGAGTTCCAAAGGCATGGGTGGAGGTTACGTATCGGCAACTGCAGTACCCTTAGGTCCGCGGGACCTGTACGCTCCTGAGATACCGCTACCGGGCAGCAGTGAAGAGTGGAAGGATCGCGGTGCTGCTGTCGGCGTGAGGAGAGAAACAGATGCGAACGGCAAGACGGTCATTCGGCATGTCAAGAAGGGAGTTAGAGACTTCAGCTTCGGCCGCGTTCTCGGAGAAGGCTCATACAGTACAGTCTATCTAGCTACTGACCGACAGACCCTCAAGGAATACGCCATCAAGGTCCTGGAGAAGAAGCACATAATCAAGGAGAAGAAGATCAAGTACGTCAACATTGAGAAGAATACCCTCAACCGTCTGACTGAACACCCGGGCATCGTACGTCTGTACTACACGTTTCAGGACGAGGCCTCACTGTATTATGTCCTCGATCTTTGCAACGGCGGCGAACTTTTGGGAGTGCTCAAGAAAACAGGCTCTTTTGACTTGGAGTGTACCAGGTTTTACGGTGCACAGATCTTAGACGCCATTGATTACATGCACTCCAGGGGGGTAATTCACCGGGATCTCAAGCCAGAAAATGTCCTCCTGGATGACCATATGCACGTCAAGATTACCGACTTTGGCACGGCCAAGCTGCTCAAGGATCCGAGAGAGGTCCAAAACGTTGGTGACGGCGCGAAGGGACTGTCGGAAAGTAGCCGTGGTGACGGCGAAGACGACGGCCGGGCAGCTTCATTCGTCGGCACTGCTGAGTATGTCAGCCCTGAACTTTTGACCAGCAAAAACGCCTGCAAGGCGAGCGACCTTTGGGCGTTCGGCTGCATTGTATACCAGCTGTTAGCTGGGCGTCCGCCCTTCAAGGCCGCCACGGAATACCTCACATTTCAGAAGATCGTCAATCTGGAATACGATTTTCCTGCCGGCTTTCCCCCAGCGGCCCGGGACCTGGTCGAGCGATGCCTGGTGTTGGACCCTGCGCGTCGTCTCACGGTCGAGCACGTCAAGAATCACGAGTTCTTTGATGGGCAACAGTTTGGCAAAGGCTTGTGGAGGACTAAGGCCCCCCGCTTGCGGCCCTATAACCCCATTCCTCAGGAACCGACTGTGATCCAACTTAATGGCGTGGCCAGCAGCCCCAATCCTGTTGCTGCACCTAGAAGTTCGCAGGTACAGAGCTCGGCTATGAATGGCAGTTCTCGGCCCGCCAGGATCATCACAGAGCTACCACCTCCGACTCAATTAGATATCGAATGGTCACCAGTTCTGACAAAGAACAACGAGAGGATTCTTAAATTGGGTGACCTAATGGTCGTCTCAAGCCCTCTACCCAGCGGCGGCCACGGCAGGAGCGGCGAGCACGGCGAGGGGCATAAAAAGCTGTCGAGATTCTTTGGCGGCAGCACAACGAAGAAGAGACAAAGGCTAGTCATGGTGACGTCGAGCGGTCGCATTCTTCTAGCGCCCGCCGGTGGAGAGGAAAAGCGCGCCAAGCAGGAAATATCACTACTTGCTCCCGACTGCTCATGGAGAGCTCAGCTCGACATGAAGGGGCAGATGGTCTGGTGTGTCGATGTGGTAAGTCCCCTGGAAAAAATGTCTCGCCGCTTATCTAAAGTTCGACAGGGTGGCGTCCACTACACATTTGAGGAGCCCAAGGGCAATTCCACCTCTTCAGAGAACGGCCCAACGGCCAACGACTGGATAGAGTCTCTAGAGAGAGCTAAGGAGTTGGCATTATCCCAAAACCTCACCGGCTCTTACGCAGGCGACAGCGGCTTCGATATGTCTTCTGCAGTCTCTAGCCCATCGAGCACCCTTGGCGGACGAGGAGCATACCCCGACGGCTTCAGCGTCAGCGACCGGTCTGGTCGAAATCACCTCAGCAAAAGCCAGGCCAGCCTGGAGGATCCGGCCTCCAACACCAAGCGCAATCGTTTCAGCAAACGGCAGTCCAAGAACGGACTTGGCCAACAATTCTGACTTTAAAAGCGCTGTGCCATCAAATGAGATACTTATCAACACCGCAGGCCTTGGAAAGGAGACGAGCATCAAAGCTTTGAGCAGGAAGCAAATAGGAAACTTGCGAGAATCGCGACAAGTTGTAATGCGACGGGATTTGGTTTGACAGTAAGCATTCGGGAGCGTGGCGTATCGTTGGGTATGCACTCTTCGACGACTCTACATTTTTTGGCAGAGGATTTCTGCGGTTTCAGTACTCGGCGGGAAGCATTCATAAACCACCTAGTGGAAGGAATCCCACCTTTGGGAGTTTGAGAGGTCAACATGATTATTGGGCAGAACCTGCTTTTGCGGTGTGAGAGCTACCATGATGTGTATGCTTAGCTCTAGCACGCGATGGTCTCAGATTGGGTGGTGATGGAATTGACATGGTCTACGGAGGGTACTCACCGTATGAAGATGGTTGCGCTAGGTTCGTGAGCGGGTCCCAAGCACGTGAGGCTAAATATTTCGACCAAACGGTGGCTTGGTCATCACTTCGGCCAGTGGCTAAGGCATTTAGGATTAAAGCCGCCATACCTAGCTAGGTTCCTAAGCCAGGTAGCGAAAAGAGTGGATCAGACGCGAGCTGGGTTACCTACAACACCTATGAGCCAATTGCGCCTGGCCCCGACGCTGCCTCGCGCCTGCACCCTGCGTCTGACGCCTGCGCCGCCTGTCCATTCACTTTTTGTTACATATGCGCGTTTGGGGAAATGACGCGCCTTCTGACGTTCTCTAACGACTTCAATCAAACCTTTTCAGTGACATATTATCAGTGATTTCGCTCTACACACATTTCAGCGGAAGCCATCGCCCAAATGCAGCCCCAATATCGCCAATATGCCAGCCATGCTGGCGCACCGCAGGTTCCCCAGCGGGCTCCACATGCCCCAAATCAACGGAGAGGCGGCATCGGTATGCCCGTTCCTTCTTTACCTTCCTTAGCCTCTAGAGGCTTGAAGTTCTTTCCTTTCCCATTGCCTTCGATTCTGCCCAAATTGCTCCGCGAAACCCTCTGGATAGTTCCAAGTCGACAGATAAAAGACAAGGTCACAGCGACGATAACTTGAGCTAACCATGCCGCCGAAAGGACCCATTATGCCTCCGGGCCACCATCCCCAAGCAGCCATGAACCAGGCCGCCATGGCACAGCATCACCCTGGCCAGGCCCTTACGAGCGAGTTGGCGAAGCGCCGAAGCCGAAAGCCCACCGACAAAACGTTGCCTGATGGGGTCGAGGACTGCATCACAGATATCGAGGTCGCCCAGCGATACAGAGAGCTGCGCGACTTTGAACGCCGGCTGGACGCAACAATGACGCGCAAGCGCTTGGACATTGTCGAGACTGTTGGTCGCAATGCAAAGGTCAGCAACAACCCACTGGGAATTTATGTTTGTTGCACGTGATAGCGTGACTAAAGTCTTCGTTCCAGCGCTACAAAACTCTTCGCGTTTGGATCAGTAACACGGTTGAGGACCAGGTATGGCAAGGAAGCGGTCTTAGCGTCGATAGTTTCGACTTCACACCCAGCGCCGAGCCTTCCTACAGGGTTAAAATTGAAGGCCGCCTTCTCGAGGATGGGCAGGAAGATGTTTCGGAGGAGTCTGCGCTAAACGCAGATTGCACGGAAGAGGATGGCGCCGTCAGCTCGAGACGACAAAGCTCCGCGCCTACGACCCAGAAACAACGCTTCTCCCATTTCTTCAAGGCCCTCAATGTCGACTTCGATCGCACCCGCTCGAGGGCCGCCTCGGACCAGACCGTTGAATGGAAAAAGCCTGCTTCACCAAACGCTGCAGCCGGCGCAGAATTCGACGAGTTCACCTTCAAGCGCAGCGGGGACGAAAACATGAATATCACCATTAACCTATACCGACAGGAGGACCCTGAGCGATACCTGCTCAGCCCCGAACTGGCTGACATCGTGGACATGACGGAGGCTTCTCGCCAAGAGGCTGTTCTGGCTGTCTGGGAGTATATCAAGATGATGGGACTGCAGGAGGATGAGGAGAAGCGTAATTTCCGCTGCGATGAGCTTTTGAAAAAGGTGGGTGTACACCGATCTCAAAATCTACCATTCATAGAAACTGACCTCTGTCGCAGATTGTCAATGGCAGTGACGTTGGAATTATTCCCAACCTGAACGATTACATCCAGCCTCACCTCTCACCGCTACCTCCCGTCAGTTTAACGTATACCGTTCGAGTCGATGAGGCATTCCACAAGGATCCTCGGCCCACCATCTACGATGTGCGGGTAGCGGTCGATGACCCCCTAAGGGCCAAGCTTGTGCCCTTCGTAACGAACCCTGCGTATGCGAGTGCCCTCAAGGAGGTCGTCGGCATGGACGAGCAGTTGGCGACATTAATTTCGGCGGTTGCTAGCTCCAAGGCAAAGCACTCATTCTTTACGTCAATGAGCCAGGACCCTGCCAACTTCGTCAGGAATTGGATGAGCTCGCAGAAGCGGGATCTTGAGGTAATCATGGGAGAGGCCACAAGAGGGGGTGGTGAAGACGCCACCGGAGACGACTGGAGGCGCGGCGGTAAGGACAGCGCGTGGACGTCTTCAAACGCCCGTGAGAGCGTCAGCGTCATGCTGGCTAAGCAGCCGACGCAGGCTTCGAGGTAATAGTGCCGATGTCAGTTTGGCAAGCTTCAGCACATGTTATTGTACTATTCTGATCGATTGAAAGGGATACACCCTTCACAAAAAGACTGGGGCTAGGAATGAGGGACGCCAATGGTTACGGCTGGCTTCGGACGACGTGCAGTATCAACTTATTTTCCCGTATTGCATTGGATGATCGACATGGGGAGTTCTCACAAAGGGTGCGGTTCCGATCCTTCCAGGTATCGGCGCCAGAGTCTCTAATTGGGCGGGATGCTCGGTGATGAAGCTAAATCAATTCTGTTGCGGCGCTTTCCTTGTCAAAGGGACTGGCTCGATGATGGCCTCCCGCTGGGTAGTATTGCTCCAATTTGGAGACGTTGTTTGATATCGTAGAGTGAACATGATCTTCAAGACCGAGACTACCTAGTTTATGGATTACATGGTTTTCCTGCTGACACTTTCACATGATTCAACATGACATCTATCTTCGCTTCTGCCCGTGATAGGGTGTCGGTCTAGATATTGACCAGGTATGTGACTGTCACGGCATGAAAGTCCTCATTGTCGATCGCGACACAGAGCTATAGTAAGCCTCGTTGAAGGATTTGGGCGAGGCTGGCACCATTATTTGGCTGGGCGTGGGCTAGGTCGCGGCTAGGAGAAGCTCAAGACAACCATCATCGGCTCATTTGGAGGTTTATGAACCTCTCGAGCATAAAACCACTGGCATGCCAAAATTTTCGGAAGCTTACTGCTACGGCCTCTTCAATACTTATCAATCTCCTGGTTCTCTACACCGGGATAGAAGGCAACTTTAGCTGGTAAGACCCAGTCAGTCCCTGCAAGATCCTCAACACCGACTTGTACCACATCATTGATGGCATTATTAGCCGACTACGTCTTATAGCCCGTAAGAGACATGCAGTCGTCCAATTTGGCCATTACCATCACAAGCTACAAATGGGATATCACGAATCCGCCGAATAATCCTACCTACGACGCTAGCAAAGCAGCTGTCATGAATCTCGCTGGACAAATGTCGCTTGACTTGAGGAACATGGTCATATGGGTGTACTTTCTGGTTCCTGGTTGGGCCTTTGCCGAAGGCTCGGTTTCAAAGTCTGGCGCGGAGAAGTCAGTGGCCGCGTAGATCGCAGAGCAAGTTGCCGAGTATCTGGGATACAAGGCCATGCATGGGCTTGTTCAAATCCTGTGCCCATAAAGAGAAATGACGGGGTGACTCGATCGTATGGTAATGCTTTGGAGTGTCGTAGAGGTCGTCAAAGAATGGCTACCGCTGAGTAGATGGCGAAGATTTAAGGGGGTAGTACAAGTGGGTATTAATGAATTATAAGGAAAATAAGTTACTCCCTTTGCTATTATTTGTCGAATGTAGCTGGGTACAGTCTTAATGATCCTCATGTTTGATGCCTTGGCTTGGGGGTTCCACGCCACCTCGAACACCGGACGCAAATGCATGCATGTTCCATTGCCGCACAACCTTATCGTCGGCCTTGATCCAACCACAAAATACGGCTCTCTCACAACCCTCAGGGCGGGAAAAGCTATTTGCCCAGTCTGTCCCCAAACCCTACACGTTGAGACGGCAACTACTCGTTTCTGCATGTTTGCCATCATCTAACCACCACCCGGCATGCCGTGCCTCTGAGGCGCCACTGGATTTGGTGGCATGTTTCTGATCTGTTTGATCAAGAATTCCCTTTCGTCAATGAATTGCTCGTCATCAGTCCTGTCCTCCAAAAAATGAGACAAGAAGGTGAGAAGCTTTTCCCGGTTCATCAGCAAGATCTTTTGGACGGCAATAGACTTATGCGGGTTAGCCACAAAGACCTTGAAGACATGAAAGCCCTCGTATTGCACCATCTTGCGATCATCTCTGAGAAGGTTCATGCAAATCTTGAGGTGCTCCCCGCGATCTACGTAGGCGGTCATAACGCTATAGTTCGATCGGTCAAGCAGAATCTCGCCAAGGAGCTTGATAGACTGTCTCTTGGTAACATAACTGTTGGACTGAACGAGGATGTTATTGTACTTGTCGAAGAATAGATCGAAGTTGACCGACAGGTATCTCGGAACAAGTTCCTTATGCTTTGTGAGCAATTCCTATTGCACAGGCAATGTTAGACAAACATGATTTCGAAAGGAGCCTACGCGATTGTCTCTTTGGCAAAGTATAAAACTCACTCTGAACGTGGTGAAAGCATCTGCCGCCACCTCGAAGGAGCTCTTGTCGACCCAGTCAAAGAACCTCCAAAAGACGCCGTTGCCACTCTGTCGGCGGTCCTTATCTATGAGGTTGATACCCTTGCTACTGGACCCAGACTCCTCATCATCATCGTATAAAATTATAGCTGCCGCGGCCTCCGATTTCAGTACCTCGCGAAGGACAGTGCCGGCAGGTGTTGCGCTCTCCTTGTGTTCGTAGCCTCGGCATAGCTCGAGCAGCACTTGCGGGCGATTATTGACGACGTAGGACAAGGCTAGAGGATCGCTCTTCGGAGAGGCGGTGGGTGGACGGAACCGGAAAACGTAGGAAAAAATGACTTGTGTATCTTTGCGAGACTCGAAGGGTAGGCGCCAAAGGTTTACGGCAAGAAGGTAGAGCAGGTCTTCTTCAATAAGGCCACTGACGAGCTGATATATTTGTTCGGGGCTGCTGTCGGACTCTGTGTCGATGTCAGTCGGGGGCTGCAAGCTGCGACGAGTATAGCATTCAAGGAGCATAGTTACCATGTGTGCCTTGCAGGGTAAATTTCATCTGGCTGAGGACTTTGGCGAGCTCTTCGGCCTGCGGAACAGAAGCACGTTAATGGTCCAGCTCGAGAACGGGTTTAGACGATATGAAGAGCATGAACCGAACCTTGGCAACACCATTTGGGCCTTCGAGCTTCGTCACATGATCTCTCGCCTGCTTGGGTAGGTCGACGGCGGGCCTAGTTCTGGCCCTGCCGAAGAGAAATGACATGGTAGCGGGAGCAAGGACGCGTAGCTTGGGATTCTGCGGCGATCGTCGGAAGTCCTGACGGACAGGATCAAGAGTAGTCTAGTCGAATCGGTCGAGGACGAGGGCTATGAGTGGATGACGGTTGAGTGCAGAAGGTAACGAGCAGCTCCTGATCAGGGTTGTCGACGATGATACCTGACTTCGGAGATGAGTAGCCTCAGAGATCGGTTCGTTCAAGAGAGGGGTACTGCGTCAGGGACCTTGGTCGCCGAAGTGTGCGTATGATTTCGGTTGATATTGGCTTCTAGCACAACGGAATAATACACAATGAAGAGAAAAAGAGGTCCAACAGAGGAGAGGAAGGCAGCCGGCGTAGCGTTGGATTAATTCGAGTCGGGTGTTGTTTACTATAACTCATGGAGTAAGAGTGGGCGACGTTCTGGCCGGGGAGGACTTGGCGGCGTTGCTTGCGCGATGACAGCGGTTGCTCAGAGACTCAAGACACCTCCTGGATTGGTTAGGTACCTCCTGGAGGCTGGAGGTACCTCGCTTGTTTGGGCATCTTTTGGGCTGGTCTACCTAGTGCCTTAGGTGGGCAATACTGCTGCAGGGTCTGTGCCTGGCATTGGACTGGCAGCAGCAACTCTATCATATTAGTAAGCTGAGATATAGTAAAGGCACTGCATGCGCTATCCGACCGATTGCCCCGCGCTCGAGATAAGTCAATTGGAAAAAATTACCCCACTGACTCACCTCTCACACCAAAAGAGCCAATGACCCCTCCAACTACCTTGCCTCACACACACACACAAACAAAAGATCCTGAGCGCATTGTTTCTCGGCCTTTGAGTCACTCCATCCATCCTGAGCCTTCCTCCTACTTCTTCAGAGCCGTTTTCTTTCTCTCTTCCAAAACCTCGACTTCGTACATCGGCCGGTGGCAGGAGGTTCTTCACCCCTCTTCATCTGAACGAAACACAGACGGCCCAAGTTCGTCCGCGTATGAATCTTACCGCCATCCACTACTTTCGCCTTTAATCCCCGACACCACCCACCTTCGATATCATGTCTATCGATTTCCCCAAGGAAGAGGAGGCTGTGCTCCAGCGATGGCGCGAGATCAAAGCTTTTGAGCGCCAGGTGAGCTTGCTTTGTGTTAAAATACTGTTTGGCCTCCATACTGACGATCCCCCTGTAGCTTAAATTAACCAAGGGCAAGCCCCTTTACACATTCTACGACGGCCCTCCCTTTGCTACCGGTCTTCCCCACTACGGCCACTTGCTGGCCTCGACTATCAAGGACATTATCCCAAGATATTGGTCCATGAAGGGCTTCCACGTCGAGAGGCGTTTCGGCTGGGACACTCACGGCTTGCCTATTGAGCACGAAATTGACAAGAAGCTGGGTATCTCTGGCAAGGCCGCCGTCATGAAGCTCGGCCTGAAGAATTACAACGCCGAATGTAGATCCATCGTCATGCGCTACAGCGAAGAGTGGCGTCATACCGTCGAGAGACTCGGTCGCTGGATCGACTTTGACAATGACTACAAGGTAAGCTTTGTTTACCGTCGCTTTTCTCTCGGCCACTTCATGCTGACATGCGTCCTACCAGACTATGGATCCTTCCTTCATGGAGTCTGAATGGTGGGTTTTCAAGCAGCTGTTCGACAAGGGTGCCGTATACCAGGGACATCGTGTGATGCCTTATTCTACGGCTTTGACGACGGCACTGAGCAATTTTGAGGCCAACCAAAACTATCAAGATGTTAACGATCCTGCCATCGTCATCGCATTCCCCTTACAGGACGACCCCGAGACCAACTTGCTGGCTTGGACGACGACTCCATGGACCTTGCCGTCTCATCTCGGCTTGGCTGCTCACCCTGACTTCGAGTACATCAAGATCGTCGACGAGAAGTCTGGCAAGAAATACATTCTACTTGAGAAACTCCTTGGTACTCTCTACAAGGATATCAAGAAGGCAAAGTTCAAGATTCTTGAAAAAATCAAGGGCAAAGACATGATCGGATGGAAATACGAGCCCCCGTTCAATTACTTCTATGAGGAGTACAAGGACGTCGCATTCCGAGTTCTGAATGCCACGTATGTCACTGATGACAGCGGCACTGGCATTGTTCATCAGGCGCCTGCTTTCGGGGAGGACGATTACAATGTCGCCCTGGCCGCAGGCATCGTCACCGAGAACAGACCCCCTCCCGATCCGATCGACGACAGCGGCCACTTTACGAGCCGCGTTTCCGACTTTGTCGGCATGCACGTTAAGGAGGCCGATAAGCATATCATCAAGCACCTGAAGGCCGCCGGAAAGATCGTAGTTGATTCTACGCTTAAGCACTCGTACCCCATGTGCTATCGATCCGATACTCCTCTCATCTACCGCGCGGTCCCTTCTTGGTTCGTTCGCATTCCTGAGATCGTTCCCCAGATGCTGGAGAACATCAAGGGTTCGCACTGGGTGCCGTCTTTCGTCAAGGAGCGCCGCTTTGCCAGTTGGATTGAGAATGCCCGTGACTGGAACGTTTCGAGAAACCGATACTGGGGCACCCCAATTCCTCTCTGGGTCAGCGAGGACATGGAAGAGCGGGTGTGCGTCGGTAGCATCAAGGAGCTGCGGGAATTGAGTGGCTATACTGGGGACTTGACTGACCTTCATCGCGACAACATCGATCACATCACAATCCCCAGTAAGATGGGCAAGGGTACCCTGAAACGTATCGAGGAAGTCTTTGACTGCTGGTTTGAGTCCGGTAGCATGCCATACGCAAGTCAACACTACCCCTTCGAGAACGTCGACAAGTTTGAGAAGTCCTTTCCTGGTGACTTCATTGCCGAGGGCTTGGATCAAACAAGGGGCTGGTTCTACACCCTTCTCGTACTAGGCACACATCTCTTCGGCCGCATTCCCTTCAAGAACTGCGTTGTCAACGGCATAGTTCTGGCGGAGGACGGAAAGAAGATGTCTAAGCGTTTAAAGAATTATCCGGTGCCTGATTTGGTCATGGATAAGTACGGCTCCGATGCCCTGCGTCTCTACCTCATAAACTCCCCTGTTGTGCGAGCTGAGCCCCTGCGCTTCAAGGAGTCGGGCGTGAAGGAGGTTGTGCAGAAGGTGTTGCTGCCGCTCTGGAACAGTTACAAATTCTTTGAGGGCCAGGTGTCCTTGCTGAAGAAGGTCGAGAGCATCGATTACGCTTGGAACCCTAAGGCTCTGGCAAGCAATGAGAACGTCATGGATCGCTGGATTTTGGCCAGTTGCCAGAGTTTGTTGCAGTTCGTCAATGAGGAGATGAGTGGTATGTTGTATTCCGTTGTCGAATCTATAGCTCCACTAACATACCAACTACCCACCAGCGTACCGCCTTTACACTGTCGTCCCGCGTCTGCTCGGACTCATTGAAAACACTACAAATTGGTACATCAAGCTGAACAGAAGACGTCTCAAGGGCGAGAACGGTGTTCAGGATACTCAGCATGCGCTCAATACGCTGTTTGAGGTCCTCTTCACGCTGTGTCGTGGTCTTGCTCCCTTCACCCCCTTCATCACCGATACCATATATCAGAAGCTGCGCCCCTTCATCCCTAAGGAGGCCGAGGCTGAGGACGCGCGGAGCGTCCACTTCCTACCGTTCCCCGAGGTGCGAAAGGAGCTGTTCGATGAAATTGTTGAGCGCAGAGTCGGTAGAATGCAGAGGGTCATCGACTTGGTGAGAGTCTCTCGCGAGAGAAGGGCTGTTGGTCTCAAAACGCCACTTAGAACGCTCGTGGTCATCCACCGCGACCCTCAGTACCTGGAGGACCTTGAGTCCCTCTCATCCTACATAAGGGAAGAGATGAATGTCAGAGACCTAGTTCTCACGTCAGACGAGGCCAAGTATAATGTCCAGTACAGTGTGACTGCAGACTGGCCAGTGCTGGGCAAGAAGCTCAAGAAGGACATGGCGCGCGTCAAGAAGGCGCTGCCGACTCTCAGCAGCGATGCTGTCAAGGAATACTCGGAGAAGAAAGAGATCCTTGTCGACGGAATCAAGCTAGAGGAGGGCGACCTTGTAGTGAGGCGGGGGTTGAAGGAGGACGAGTCTTCCAAGAACTTGGAGACTAACTCTGACAACGATGTACTTACCATCTTGGACGCGGAGTTGTATGTTGAGCTCGCGCACGAGGGTCTTGCCCGAGAGGTCATCAACCGTGTGCAACGCTTGAGAAAGAAGGCGCTGCTCCAGCCGACTGACGACATCAAGATGGAGTACAAGGTCATCAGCGATCCCGACAACATTGGTCTCGAGGAGGTGTTCGTGTCGCAAACCAAGGTTATCGAAAAGGCACTGCGAAGACCAGTTGACAAGCACGAGATTGCAAATTTTGAAGGTGAGGTTCCGAGTGCGCAGCAGAAGAGAGTGATCATGGAAGAGGAGCAGGAGGTGCAGCGTGCGACGTTTTTGCTTCGTCTGCTTGAGTTGTAGAAATGGAATGTTGGGGTTGCATACATAGCTTGGACATGATAGATGACTCCTGGCTATGGCCAATAAAGACGTCGGGCACCCAAGAAGAGGAAAATATCAAATAGACCCTTCCAATTTCATTGGTACACTTTGTGCCTCTGGCCTGCTCATTTTGCCTTTCGAGCGGCGGCCTATGGATGGACCGGTATTAGTGATGCAATTGACTCGACGAGAGGTGGATTGAGAGATGTCAGTTGATGGTGGACTTACCAGATAACAATCCTTTAACCTAAGAAACTCCTTCGAACACTTGCCCTTATGGATGGCATTGTAGTCCGCAACAATGCATTTTCCGTACAATGAGGCCTGCATATTGCTCAGCATGTTTGCCACTAAGGCCATGTTTATAATCAAGATACTTCAAAGAGGGAACCGACCTCAGCCGAGCATTGGCCAACTGCGATGGCAAACTTCTGGATAGGCCGCGGGCGGACCATGGTACTTGGATTTCTTTGTCTTAATTATGGGGTTTCAAGAGACCAAGCCGTGAAGTGGATGAATGAGATACGGTACGACGCAAGATGAGGATATGTGTTGTGCAAAGCTGGGTGAATTGTGCTATTGTCTATCCACCTCATGAAAAGGCATCCAATGGAGAAAGGTAGATGGCGAGGCTTGAGTTATCTTAGGAATGGTACAAGAGGGGTTGTGGCTGGTGGTCTTATGCTTGTAGCCAGAAAAGAAAAAGAGAGCGAGAGAATACTCGAGTGTCCTGCTTAATGGCCCTAGATCGGTAGTGTAGGTACCTACCTAGGTAGACATTCCGGGCACATTGACACAGGGTGCAGCTCATTGGCGAATTAGATTCCGTCGCGATACCAGGATTATAGTGCAGCCTAGTCAACAACAGCGTACCCACTAGAGGCCGGGTTGCTTACCGCCCAGCAGAAAGCGTGGACGCGAAATAAACAGAAACTGTGCCTGGTGGGACAGTGCCAGGTGAGAGAAAACGGGAGGTCGGGGAGCTTGACGAATACTTGGCCCCGTTCGCCGTCTTTGATCTCGAACCTCACCCCCATCGACCCTTCTTCCTCGACCTTCGCTCTCGCCCTCATCGTCGGCAGAGTTGCAATCCCCCTGCAACTTACTCGCGCGCGGTGGAAATGGCAGGCTCAAAAGCGCCACACCTTCATTGTCATTGAACCCCATTCTCATAGCACTTTGCTGCATCTCTTGCAACGCGACTGAACACCCACCCATCCCATTAAAGTCCATCATAATTTTCTCTGGGCTGATACACGCCCTTCCCTCTCTTTTTTCGCTTTTGCCAACGACACGCTTTTGTCGCGATCAAATGTATTTAGCATATTTGGCTTCCGATACATCTACCCCAACCTTGGATTCTGATATCAACGACGGGACTACGGTTGCATTCGCAAACCCAGCTACTATCACCACTGCAAATCATTTTACCATCACCTTATTATGCTCCCAGCCTGGCTTCAGTTCACATGCCGTCGCTGCCGCATCGCCCAGCGCTGGCTCCCCATGACGGCATATCCAGCTTCGTGTCTGTCCAAAGCTCCGATTCCTACTATAGTGACGAAGGTAAGTGCGCTTCGGCTTATATACGCGTCCGGCGAAATACAAAACTACAAACACAACGCGACTGACAAAAAAACTCGTAGAAATCGCCATTCTGCATGATGTCGTCGCGGCCGCGCAGGAGAACCTCGAACTCCTTCCCGAGGGCGAACGATTGGCAACAAACGCACTGTTCCAAGCATACGATGCTGTCCTACCGCTCTACGGTGTCGATCCGGAGGAAGACCACCACATTTCCCGCCTCGTCTTCCGGATCGGCGGCGAGCGCGGCGATGGATCTTTACTGGAAAAACTTCGTGCCGTCTTGTCCAGGATGGGCATCGGACTCGAGTTTGACAGTCGCAGCGACGGCTCCAGAGTGCTCTCAGACCACGACGATGGCCCGGATTATCACGACGACCCTGGCAACAGAGGGTCTTTCCAGCCATCACCAGCCCTCACGGCGACCGATGAAAACTCTGGCGCATCTTTGGACGATCTTCCTGGAGAGCATCACCCGGTCTTCCAGCCAGTCCAACGGCAAGAGTTCGCATCTCTCCCTCGTTCACAACCTTCCGAGACATACCACTTGGACGATTCCGCATCTCCCCCAAGGCTGACACACGCGGGTGCGGGGCCGAACCATTTGAACGTAGAGCCCGCTAGACGAATCAAATCACCACAGAACCATACGCCCTCTACGGCTGGGGACACGGAGCAAACCCACCCTAGCCACCAGTCACTCGCCGGTACCAACGAGCAACGTGGCGCAAGCGACACAACGGTTCAGCCTGTCGAAGCCCTTAACGCCCGTCCAGTGAAGAACGGAAATGAGACGCCAGCGCTCTCCGTCAAGTCCAAGCCTGTGCGAACGGTGAACTGGCTGCTGCCTCCCGATAGCCCCACTGGACCGATTCAAAACGGAGGCGAAATTGCTCAGTCTGAGGCTGGGCCCATGGTGGAAGAGCCGGTTGGGCACACACTTGATGTTCAAAAGCCTCCTGAACCTGATGTTGCTGTCCAGGAACTTGTCACCCAGGAGCCTGTCACCCAGGAACCTGTCACCAAACAACCTGTCGAACCTGCCGAGCAAGAACAGTCAGCTAAGAAACACTCTGATAAACATGGCGAATATCACGTAGAGGTACAAGTAGTCGATCCACAACCAGAGGAAGACCCGGAAGCGGAGGCGCGATATGCTCTACTGGAACGACAAGCAGGAAAAGCGGCCGGGTATCTCTTACTCCTCAGAGGAATATCTCACTGGAAACAGCATGCCCTGGACAGGCTCGAACGAACAGCCGTGGCCAGGAGACATATCCTGCGGATGCGTCACTTCGATTCGTGGGAGCTCGTGGCGGCTGAGACTAGGTTCAAAGGCCGCCGCGTTTTCGCCGCTCGTCTTATGGCCCTCTGGCTCACACGAGCCGATGAAGATAGTGTGGTAGAGCACTATGCCTCAGCTCATGCTCAGCGCAAACTTGCTCAGAACCTTCTCACTCAGTGGTTCGCCTCCTGCCCGACTGATAATCGACCTCAAAACCCCCCCCGTTCCCTAAATAGCTATTTGCAACAATGGCAATCAGCGTGCGCAGGTGTACAGAGATTACACACGCATTCGGATACCCTACATCAGAGACACGAGCAGTCTCAAGCTATCAAGGCATGGCACCGTCAGGTGGCATTACACCATACAAACGTCTCATCATTCCGTCGCTTCAACATCGTACGCGATTCACTGAGCCAGTGGTATCTGGAAACGCGGGTCGAAATTTTCAGGGCCAGGATGGGAGTAAGACTGATTCGCAACTCCTTGTCAAGGTGGCAAAGCGCCTGTCGGACGCCACCATCCCTTGGCCAAGCTAACGGCTATGGCGATGTAAGCTCTGTCAACCATCATCATCAGACTGGCCGCAAATTGCCTCGATCGCTGCGAGGGGGCAGCTACTTCGGAAACATTTCAGATCGCATGCTGAAGACAAAGGTCCTAGAAAACTGGCAACAGCAAACCATAGCGGTTGCCAAGATCAGCGCAACTTCGCGACGTTTCGCCGTGCATCAATGCGCTCAGAAGGCCCTAGAGTCATGGCATGTCGACGTTGCCCATAATAGAAGCCTCCATATGTGGGCGAAGCGCGGCTGTTTCTATGTCAGTGTTACGCATGCGTTGGAGACATGGCGCTCAAAGGCCTCCTGGAGGTCCAATACTCGAAAATCATATGCGCGATGCAGGCAACACGTCAAGGCCACCTTTACCAAAGGCTATCTCAGTCGGTGGAAGATTGCCACTCGCGCTCATGGTAATATCAGCTGGGAGACTCACCAACATCACAATGCGATGAACCGGGATCGTCTCACTCGTATGCTGTGTGCATGGCGAGACGAGAGCAGCAATGACTGGGGAGCATGCAGGCTTTTGACAGCCGCGTGGGTTGGGCAGTGGCAGAGCATGTCAGAGGATCACGCAGGGATGCAAACCCGTGCCGAACAAGCCTGGGGAGTAACGCTCGAGTCTCGTTATTGGAGCCAGTGGCAGTCGACTTTGCTACAGCTTAAAAGCCGCGAATACGTTGCACTTGATGTCCGGGAAAGGAACAGGAAGAAAGTGGTACGGCGGCTTCTGCTTCATTGGAAAGGGGATAGGGATTTTGCCATGTCACAACAGTCAATGGCCACTCGAGCCAACTTTGCAAGTTCTCGGAGAGGTGCTGGTTTTGGCCTCAGCCACAGCGCGGTGCCACTTTCTAGGGCAGTACATGAGCGAAGTGGAGGCATGTCACTCAGGGCTTCTAGGATACAAGAGGTTGGTCCAACGGCTGAAGAAGAGGATCACGACGGCGCCGGCTCCGCGACTGATGTCGATGGGGTCGTCATGGATACGCCGACGCGATGGACCGGTATGGCGTCTTCTGTCAGGCTACCGTCCATGACACCGTTCGCGCCGCTACCGACGCCGTTTGAGCGAGAGCTCCGGGAGCGTTACAACAAGAGCGTACCTACAGTCCCTACGGGTCAGCTGAGCAGACTTTCTTTCGCACAGGCACAAAAACTCTCCTTGGCAGAGACTCGACGAGCGGGGAATGAGAGTAGGCCAGAGGCGTCGGGTAGAGGGGGGTGACGGATGATGATGCTTTTTCCTTTTTCTTTTATGGACAAGGCGACGGGCATTGGCCTCAACGATCACGGTTTACATGATATTGGGTGTTCCAAATATTTGCTTACTTTTATTACTGGAAACCACTGGCAAGTATAACCAGGCGGTTCTCTATCGCACATTGGTAGGAGCTGTGAATAGAAGCTATTCGCAATTCGACATTTCTGACATCAATAGCTTGGTACAAAGTCAATACCTTGGCTGCCTGGGTACCTAAGCTTAGCTAAAGCAAAAGGACGCAATAGCCAAGCCTCCAACTGCACGAGGTCCTTTGCTGTGTCTAAAGATTGTGTGAATGTTAGCCAATATCCTTGTGTTTCTGCGCGGCTACTTTAAAAGCTCAAGAAGCTCTTTGGTATTAGAGAGACCTCGAAGTAGATTGTGAAGCTGATGAGCGTACTTCTGCTGTCAGGGCAAAAAAAGGACCAAGCAGAGGTGCCGCAGCATCATCTGGCGTCAATGTTCAGACAGCTAGGTAGGATGCTTTATCTTATCGCGGGCGTTGCATGGCGACATGCCGCTTGACCCCTGTCATCGGACATTCTGCGCCTTGATGAGTAGAGGTACGTATCGCTTAATTGTCCTCCAAAGTCGTAGTTGAAGCACCTTACGTTATTATTTGAGCTACCTGCCTCACCCAAACCGCATTTCCCCCCAAACCCTTCCACTTGCATTCATCCACCTTTCGTACAGCTCGACACCTCTTTCTAGACCAAGAGCTCCGAGGCATACTCTAACTACGGCATTCGACGACATCCAAACAACACAACCAACACTGCATCACCTCTGCCTTTGCGCCCTGCCACCCACCTGAGCAATGCTGCTGCGGTTATCCTGCTAGTAGGATGAGAGCAGTGCTCCCTGGCAGGCCAAGGTCTGGGCTTCAAGCTCTTACGACGGGCTTCTGGGGCTCGAGACACTTCAATGTGAGCAGCTGGATCATTGCACTCGCTCCTCCCATCGCTGTTATGATGGCAAATGGCGCTGACGACTGGCTACGCAGGTATACATAACTGGCAGTGCATTCACCATTCTCGGTGACTCTGATACTATTCTCCAGACCATATACGACGACGATCCGAGCCACTTGCAGGCCGTAGCATTCGACGAATCTTCAGGCAAGATTGCCACATGTACCGACTCCGTCGTGAGGGTTTACAGACCATTCGGACAGTTAGAAGATGCGCTAAAGGTGTGCCGGACCCGCAGCTTCTCTCCTGTCGCTATTGTCCTTCGCCAGCCTGTACGCAACAGCTAACAAAATATCTGCGCTCCAGTGGGGTCTCCAATCATCATTCCCAGTCCCCGATGGTCATTATGCCGCCAGTGGCATCTCACTGAGCTGGGGTGGCACTGAAGAGCTCCTTGTTGCCCATTCCGCCCTTTACCTGTACCTGACCACCGACGTGCCAGCGCAACTATGGAACAAACCTGTCCCGAACCCCCTTAAGCTTGCAGAGCTCTCCTACGACTCGGCATACATAGCGTCGGTCGGTCTTCAGGATAGCCTAGTCAAGGTCTGGCGCCGGTTGACGTATGGAGCCGAAGATGTACGCTTCGACCTGGCCTATCTGCGCCATCCGGACGTCGTGACTGGTCTTCGATGGCGAAAGCCCTATCATGCCGGGCAAACCGTCGAAAACGCACTCTATACTATATGCACTGATAATCTAATCCGCGTTTGGACCGGCGCAGATACGCATGCCTTGGGGCACATGAATCTATGGGGAGCTATCGACTTATCCTCGTCTCTTCGGGATCAGAGTCTCAAATCTGCCATTACTGCAGCGCCACTACTTGCATTCGTCATTGACGGAAGAGAGATTACAGCTTCAACAGAGTTAACGGTTCAACGCCGTCCGGTTCAAGAAGGGAAGCGTGACAACGCTCTCGAGAACTTGATAGCTCTTGCAAATAATAGCCCCGAGCTGTGTGTTGCTTTCGATGGAGCAGGAAACATGGTCGTCTACGCTTTCGAGGACGTCGGCTGCAGGATGAACAAGCCCAACACTGCTGTCAAAGTCACTGAATTCCAGTCGCATCTGTTCGACTTTTGGTCTGATCAGCACGTTCAGGTACAGAGCTATTGCGACCGACAGACTGGGATGTTGCGTGTGTTAGCCCATAACTTTGATGGCCAGATTCATGTCTACGAAGCGAGCTTGGTAGATTTCCTCGACACCGTTGACAAAGAGAACCGCCTGATTCGCCGCTGTATTTGGTCCGGCCATTCGGCACCCATCAAGAAAATGGTTCGGAACTTCAGTGGTAGAGCTGTTGTGTCTAGAACAGAGGAGGGCGAAAGCATTGTCTGGGCGCATGCTGAGGACAGCAGGACTAGCCTTTTGCGCCAGAGCGTTATTGCGGGGAATGCTCATATTCATCGTATTTGTGTTCTACGCAAGGGTCGCTTCGTCATGTTCCTGGAAAATAACACCGTCTCTTTATGGGATTGTCGGCCACAAAAAGCAACGTTGCTGGATCGCCAGCCATACGAAGTCTCAGGGAAACCGCTTTGTCTCCTGATACTGCCGCGACAGAGGGTGGAGGACTATGCCGTTGCCCAGATTGCCACGATTACCTCGGAGCAGGAAGGACTTGTATGGGAGGTCAATCTACCTCAGTACTCTCATGGGCGTATTGAGGCTCACTCCAAGGGTCGAGACGAGACATCGATCCGGGAATTTTGTAGGTTCAAGCTGAGAGATGCTGAAGGAATCGCGTACATGCTTCCCGTTGATCCGGCTGGGTCTGCGCCGGTAACGTCAGGCTTCCTGGATGTTTTTGCCAGGGACATCGCCATATCTTACACTCATACCGGCCGAGTAGACTTTTGGACAGCTCGAGTTGACAAAACGAGAAACCATGTTGGGTGGCTTTCCACATCCTCAGCTGAGACAGGCCTTTCAGAGCCGGCTCTCGTTAGCGGTAGCACTCTTAAGAAAGCTGCGCTCGTCGATTCCAGCAGGTCACAATTATCTATCTGGGACATTGGCGGCGCTCGACTTGAGTTCACACAGGACTACGGTACGCACAACACCATTCAGGACCTTGACTGGACTTCAACACCAGATTCGCAATCGATTCTTGCCGTCGGCTTCCAGTCAAAGGTAGTTTTGCTTTGCCAGATGCGGTTTGACTATCTGAACAAGGGGCCAGCTTGGGCTGCAGTTCGGGAGATCAGTATTCGTGAGTTCACGCCTCATCCTATAGGCGATTCCACGTGGCTAGGTGATGGACATCTCGTTATTGGCTCCGGGAATCAGATGTTTGTTCACGGGAGAGATTACGACTTATCCAGCTCGCTGATCAACAGCCTGCAACTTCCGCACCGGAAGAACGGCGTCTGGGACATATTCGAAGCCGTTCAGAGGTTTAACGGGCCATTGCCGGTTTTCCATCCACAATTCTTGAGTCAGTGCATCCTGGCGGGTAAGAACACGATAGTGCGGACCGTGCTCATGTCTCTGCACAAAACACTGAAGTTCCTCATTGCCGGCGAGAGCGTTGATGACTATTTGGGCCTAGACCCAGCAGTTTTTTACATGAACGAGGTAAATACTTTTCTATTTTGCTCGTGTAGCTTCTGTGGGTGAAGATGGGGGAGGGGGAGAAATCTATTGCTATGATGATTTGAAGAAGAATCTCCCACTGACATTCCTGACAGGCAACGAAAGCATCAGAAGCTCAATTGGGGTCCCACTTTAGCCTTCAAGCATCCAGCGACGAGGCGGATGAATTGTTCAGCGAGGACATTGCGCATTCCATAAACGAACGTCTGACCAAGGTCAGCCTTCAGCAGTTGTCGGGCCACGAGCAGATTCAACTAGCGGACATTGTTGAATGTGTTGGGCTTGTGGAAAAGCAGCGCAGGTCACTGGATGAAAATGGCGCGCGCTTCATGCTCTTTTTCCGCCAGCACAGCCTTCGCAAGGGCCGGACAAGCGAGATGCAGATGTCGTGGCGAGAAATCAACTGGGCTTACCATTCAACCAGCCAAGACATTCTCACCGACTTTGTTACCAAACAATGCCACGGCACTGTGCGGTGGGAAGATGCGCGAGAGAGCGGCATGTTCATGTGGCTCAGTGACCGCAATGCTTTGGTGCGTACTGCTTTGCTCGGCTAGCGACTGGTACATGGTAGGCTAATGTTACTCCTAGCGTGCGCAATTTGAGAATGTGGCCCGCAACGAATACACAAAGAGCGACATGAAAAACCCAGTGGATTGTAGCATCTACTATTTGGCCCTCAAGAAGAAGACAATCCTTCAGGGACTGTGGCGTATGGCTCACTGGAATAAAGAGCAAGGGGCAACACAAAAATTGCTGGCCAATAACTTTGAAGAGCCCAAGTGGCAGACAACAGCTCTGAAGAATGCCTACGCCTTGCTCAGTAAGCGACGTTTTGGTAAGTAACAAACGGGTTCACACATCATCGGGTGCTAACAACGCCTCGGGCGCGTAGAGTATGCAGCAGCGTTCTTTCTGCTCGCTGACCAATTGCAGGACGCTGTCAGCGTCTGTTTGAATCAGCTCAAGGACCTTCAGCTCGCCGTGGCAATTGCACGGGTATATGAGGGCGACCACGGTCCAGTTTTGAAAAAGCTGTTAGAAGAGGAGGTCCTCGCTGTGGCAGCTAAAGAGGGCAACCGCTGGCTTGCATCGTGGGCTTTTTATATGTTGAATCGTAAGGATATGGCGGTAAGGGCTCTCATTGTAAGTTGCCCCCGCATCAATCCATGGTAAGGTAAACAGAGAGTCGTCGCTGTTTCTAACGTGGGCCTTTCACTACAGTCCCCCGTTTACACCTTGGTGGAAACGCCGTGTGCGCCTGACATGAGGTCGAAACTTTTCTTGACGGACGACCCGGCATTGGTGGTGCTGTACTCGCAGCTACGGCAAAAGACACTTCAAACCCTCCGTGGGGCGTCGAAGGTTACTCCTCGCGTCGAGTGGGAATTTGTCCTCCACAGCGCCAAGCTCTACGACCGTATGGGTTGCGATCTTCTTGGTCTGGACCTGGGTATGTGCCACATGGCTGCGCCGAGTGAATTCTCAAGCTGACAAATGCGCAGTTCGCAACTGGGAGTTTCTAAAACCAGCATCCAGCACGGCAAATGGACTAGGCGGCGAAGCCAACCCGCTGAAGATGTTGCTCCGTCGTAGTTCGCTAGTGGTGGCAGACTTGCCTATGTCGAGTCTTCACGTCGGGATAAGATCAGGTGTGCTGGGGAAACAGCCGAATCCGACAGTCTTCCAGGAGCCGGATTCGAGTTCGTTGCTCGATAACTTCGGATTCTAGGAGTGACCACGGGAAGAGCTTTGCTCGCTGGTCAGCGGCCAGTGCAGTATTCCCATGTGGCTATGTTACAAGGCATTGGCCTCGCAATATGCATAGGTAACCTGCTACGAAGGTCGGACTTGAGAAATACCGGGCATCGTTAACGAGAGTGGGTGGGGTGGGTTCCCAGGAAAATGAACTGTATAGTATAGTGTGCTTATTAAGCAGAGACAATCCAGCAGTACCTAATTACGTCACCGTCCAGTATGTGCTCACATACCAAGCTCTGCCCGGGCCGGCACCGGACCCGGATTAGCGTTAGATACAAGGATGAAGGGAATCTTAAAGCAGTTACGTCTGCGTCCACGAGACGCGCTTCCACTTGGCATGTACGTGGGGATTCGGGAGATAAGGACCCGATTGAGGATTCCGTATCGTCTTCGTGCTTCAATGAGGGGCTTCGACAACACTGTTTCACGCTGCCTTACGTAATTGACTTGCAACTCCCTCCGCAATTCCGCAAACATCGGGTTGGTCAGCACGCCGCCATTATCGTCGCATCGATCCTAGCAAGTCCGTAGCGCTCGGCGCTCCCCTTCTTCTCCATCGAGCAATCGGCCTCGGGTTTGCGACATTTGGTCGACCTCTTGATTCTCTATCGCAGCGTGAGCAACTGCCGTGCAAAGAAGGAAGCATGGCTCCTGATCGGGGATACCACGACAATGATGACGGAAACGATGACCGCGATGTTGGCGAACCTAGCACTCCACATGCGCAAATTACCAACACCGAGGATGCACTCAGCCAAGGACCCGTCATCCATGGCCACAGCTTCACTCTTCGTGGCATTCTAGTGGGGCTTCTGGTTGGCCTGGTTATCTGCTTCTCCAATATGTACTTTGGCCTGCAGACTGGTTGGGTAAGCACCATGACGATGCCGGCCAGTTTGATGGGCTTCGGCATTTTCAAGGCGCTTTCTCGTCACCTGCATTTTCCCTTCAGTCCTGTAGAGAATGTGCTCGTTCAGACCGTAGCAGGAAGCATGGCCATCATGCCGCTTGGTTGCGGATTTGTTGGTGTGGTAGGTTTATGTCTATCTCCTTCCGCCGGCTGCATGCATCGAGATGGAGGGAAAACACGCCAGGTCAATAGCTAACAAATCCAGATCCCTGCCATGAATTATCTTCTAGCCCCCGAGGAACAGGGTCCCCTGATCATTCCTCTCTGGAAGCTGATTCTATGGTCATTGGGCCTTTGTTACTTTGGCGTCGTATTTGCCGTTCCGCTGTAAGTCAGTCGCAAAATAGCCATCAAGCGAGTCTCATTCTAAATAATGGCACCAGCCGACGGCAGGTTATCATCCGTGAGAGGCTGCGGTTTCCTAGCGGGTTCAGTACAGCCGTGCTCATTGGGGTTCTTCACGGTCAGACGCGCAAGGCTGGGCCTGACGCCGTATCAGGAGGCTTCGCAAGCTTGGTCCCGAACCAGGATGCTAAGTCGGACTCGGCAGCAGAGTCTGACCATAGCCGCATTGCAAGCATCACGGACCCCGAGAACGCCAACATCGGCGAACCAGATAATGGGACACCAGACCACTGGGCGCGAAACATGAGACTACTGCTGATGTGTTTCGGTGTCTCGGGCTTCTACACGCTCTGCTCGTACTTCTTCCCTGAGCTTCGGAATATTCCCATCTTCGGTACCAAAACTGCCAGTGTTTGGTTGTGGACTTTGAATCCTAGCCCGGCCTACATTGGTCAGGGCATCATAATGGGCCCCGAGACGACTTTGCACATGCTTCTTGGCGCGATGATCGGATGGGGCGTGCTGTCTCCGTTGGCAAAGTATCGGGGTTGGGCCCCAGGCTCCATCGACGACTGGGAGACTGGCAGTAAAGGCTGGATTGTGTGGGTCTCTCTAGCCATCATGCTTGCCGATGCCATCGTCAGCCTTGGCTATATCGCTTTCCGGCCCCTGGCGTGCCGTGTTCGCAATGGAGGGCTCAAGGGGCTTTGGCAGCAAGCTGTCGACGAAGGGCAACAATATATGGGCACTCGCCGTGGCTTGAGTCCGGGCTACTCCGCCCTGAACACATACGAGGGCGAGGAGGCAACAAGTGCCACTAGGCTTTTGCCTGGGGCAACACAAAGATCAGGCCTCCTTCGCAGAGCTTCAGTGTCGACGAACGACAATTTCCGGTTGGATGAGGCAGACGCGCCACTGGAGCAGCAAATCAGCAACAAGCTTGTGGGAGTCGGCCTCGTCTTGTCCATACTGCTTTGTATCGCGACCATCCACATCGTCTTTGGCGACCTAGTTCCGCTTTACGCGACAGTCGTCGCTGTTCTTATGGCACTTCTCCTGAGCATCATGGGAGTCCGAGCACTCGGCGAGACTGATCTTAACCCTGTGTCTGGGATTAGCAAACTTGCGCAGCTGTTCTTTGCTCTCATCATTCCTCAGTCGCACAAGTCGAGTGTGTTGATCAATCTGGTGGCAGGTGCCGTGGTCAGTCATAATCGACTATACCCCTGACTAGTTGTGCGACTCGTTGCTAATCTTTGCTATAGTCCGAAGCAGTATGTACATGTTATGAGTAGCCTCTATGCGATGCAAGCTGACATATCTAGGGTGCCCTGCAAGCGGGTGATCTCATGCAAGATCTCAAAACAGGTCATCTCCTCGGGGCCGCACCTAACGCCCAATTCTGGGGTCAGGTAATTGGAGCGACAGCGGGCGCCATTGTCAGTGCCTTCGTGTATCAGTTATATACAGCGTGAGTCTCGGCCGTGGTCTGTTTTTGCAGGCTTGTCCTTCTGCGTGAAGGCCACTGACAAGTTCTGTACCAGGGTCTACACCATTCCTGGTGATTTATTCCAGGTGCCTACGGGATATGTATGGATATTCACGGCTAGGCTGGTCACTGGCAAAGGTTTGCCACCCATGGCTCGCGAGTGGGCGCTTGGGTTTGGCATCATCTTCGCCGTGACGACGATTGTTCGGACGACAACGGTCGGTCAGGTGTGGCGGCCGCTTGTACCTGGAGGCATTGCTGTGGCAGTCGGTAAGTGATTGCAATGATGCAGAGGCAATGCACAGGCACTGAATTGGCATTAGGAATGTACAACGTGCCATCTTTCACTCTGGCCAGGACTATTGGTGGTATGCTCAGCTGGTATTGGATCACAAGACGAGGCAAGTCGGGCACGCCGTTAATTGTATTGGCTTCGGTAAGTGCATCTGGAAACTGCGCAGGATGAGACGCGCGACTAATGCATCTTGTCCGCAGGGATTCATTCTTGGCGAGGGGTTCCTCAGCATTGTTAACCTTATCTTGCAGAGCATTGGCGTGCCGCACTACTAGGACTAAGATCGGGGGCGGGGGCTGAGTTACGATACTCTGCGATGCAAATTTATAGCCCAACATCTCTAGTAGCGCGTGGAGTGGGGACATGTATAGGCATGTCTTGGGCCAAGGAGTGTGAACAAGAAGGAAACAGACAAGAGAGAGAAAAGGTCCGGTATGGTTTGAAGCTAGAATCATACTTAGTGATAACAATAGCAGGGTTGATTATAGCGAATTGTTCAGTCGCCAGTTTACATCGTAGTTGGTATCACGGTAGGTCGTGGCTCCTCTACTGAGCCGATGCAGGGAATATGCCTTTATCAAAAGTAAAGCACCCCATTGGCCCTCTTCGAACGGCTGCACGGCTGTGTGTTGTAGGTAGGTAGGTAGCGCACAAAATAGTAAGATGGGCCAGCCTGTGAGAGGGCAACAACATGAAGGCAAATGACAATTCATCAATCCTTCGGATAGAAGAGCACACACGTCTTGGGCTGAGTTGGGCCATTCCCCTCTCCCTGCTGGCCGAGTTCGGCTCTAAATTCAAAAGCAAAGGCGAAAATCCCCCAAAATACAACCAAAATAATAATATAGGGGGAAAATCCAGGAGAGTGAGAAAGAAAAAGATGAAGGAGGAAAAATGTGAAAGCAAGATTTTGAATAAAATAATATTTGAAATTCCACCTTGAAATCAACAGTCAGGTCGGGGCCCTTTTCCGCACCTGGATCTGCGCCATCTAGATCTGAAGCACATTGGACCCAGCACAGTCCCACACTGCTAGGAGGGTTAAAAAATAAATAAAAAAATCCGTCTCACATTCGTGCTATCACTTGCCCACTCACTTACGCAAGGCTTGTAATCTGAACGTGGGATCAACTCAGCCCAGCTAGAGAACCAAACGCCCGGATTCTATAACGAGAATAAGCGGGAACAGGTGAGCATCATAATACCGCCTTTCCTAGATCCTAACAGCATCGCCAAATGGCTGACGGGTTAAACAAAGATACCAATTACTCTTCGTCATCGCCATGGTTCAGGACGGACTCAAGAGCAAGGGCTTCGCCGAGTCTGATGGCTCATCGGATGAGTCCGACTGGGACGACGCCGAGCCCGAGGAGGAAGAGACTGTAGCATTCATTTCTCTGCTCGACGACTCAGTCTTCCACAACATGAACGACATGCTGCAGCACTGTCGCGAGAAGCACAACTTTGACCTCCTCGCTGTCCGTCGCCGTCTCGGCCTCGACTTTTTTGGCACGGTTAAACTTGTTAACTTTAGTAATCCCCCACCCTACCAATTTCTTTTCCAGACGCCAGGCATTGGGCAAGACGATACGGGACGTTAACGCTCTCCATTAGTTCGTCAACTTGTTCACGACGGCGCTACCTTGCCCGAAGCCATCTCCGCCGATGACATTGCTGATGATCGCTTTATGAAGCCTGTCATCGAGGATGATGCCTTGATAATGGCACTCACCGAGTTGGACCTGGGCGATGAGCATTCAGAAGCCATCCAGCAAGACGCTAAGCCGTCTTCTTCGCGGGAAGTCCAATTGGCAGAGGAGCTCGAGAAGCTCAAATCGCAGTTCGCCAGCTACCGCGCTGCTGTCGAGCAGACCCTCGATCAACGCTGGGGAGACGACACTGCTATTGCCACACAAGACGATAGCTCGCGGGACGTTGACAATAAGGGAGCTCGGAAGGACGAATCTCAGTACTACTGGGAGTCTTACGCCGCTAACGGTACCTTTTTGCTCGCTTGTCTTCTCTTGCTCGTACTGGTCAGTCTACTGATCATCTCTTAAGATATCCACGAGACCATGTTAAAGGATAAGGTCCGGACTGACTCATACCGCGACTTCGTCTATAACAACAAGTCTCTCTTCAAGGACAAGATCGTACTAGACATTGGTTGCGGTACCGGTGAGTGTTTGTCTGAGCCAGAAATGGGTGAATGACAGGTCGGCTAAGCAAAGCAATCACTAACTACATCATAGGTATCTTGAGTATGTTCTGCGCCAAAGCCGGCGCGAAGCAGGTCTTTGCCGTTGACAAGTCGGACATCATCGATAAGGCCCGGGAGAACGTCTTCGTCAATGGGCTCGCAGACAAGGTCACCTGCATTAGAGGTAGAGTCGAAGACATCAGCCTCCCTGTCGACCAGGTCGACATCATCATCAGTGAGTGGATGGGCTACTGTCTACTCTACGAGGCCATGATGAATAGTGTCCTCGTCGCCAGGGACCGCTTTCTGAAGCCCGACGGTCTCATTGCCCCGAGCATCTCGACCATTTGGATGGCCCCCGTATCGGACCCTGAATACGTCACTGATTTCGTCACCTTCTGGGACGACGTCTACGGCTTCGACATGAAGTCGATGAAGGCTGGCATTTACGACGAAGCCCGTATCGAGATTATGCCTGAGGACTGCATCTGTGGCACCCTCTCGCAGATCTCGTACATTGATCTGCACACCGTCAAGGTCGAAGACCTCGACTTTGAGGCTCAGTGGAAAATGACGTTATCTAAAGATATCCCATCGCTGGATGGTTTCCTGATCTGGTTCGACATCTTCTTTACTACTTCTCGCAACGACACGATCCCGGCTGGCCTGCAGGTCAAGACTGGCGAGACGGGTGTGACCCGGCCCGGCGAAGTAGCCTTCACCACCGGGCCCTTGGGTCCCGACACCCACTGGAAGCAGGGTTTTCTGATGAGCAAGTATCTCGAGGAGAACATTGGTGCTCAGGCTGGGGCCGAAATCTCTGGTCGTGTTGTCTTCAAGGCGCCCGAAAACAACCCCCGCGCGCTGACCATCACCAATACGTGGACTGCGCCTACTCAGGAGACGAAGACGCAGCTTTGGAGGCTGAGATAAGAACATTCCTCCCCTGGCAACAATTTACTGTCCAAAGCAACCATTGAGGCATGGTCCGTTGTGGGCATCCTGTGAGGAGACCGGATTAGATGTAGCCCTTGTCACTGTTATGGAACGGCAAGTTGCTTCCGCAGGCCTGTCGTGGTGTTGTTTACCATGTCTATCTCAAAGTGATGGGACCAGAAGCAATGCCAATCAATATATTGCGCCAATTGCCAAGCATAGACCGTTTAATCTCACAGTACGTAGTACAAGCCTACCGAGCGTCCTGCCACCTCGGACATCTAGGACTTTATGAAGACCAGAGAAAACCAGATGGCTCGACCGCTTGCCTTGACTATGGAAGCGGACGGCACAGCTTCATAGACCACGTACTTCACGTTCCTTTGTGTTTTGTTTCTTCAAGACATGCAAGGCCCTAGTATGAGTCCGATGGACAAGGTTCCATCAGTAATATCAGTTGTCGGTCATGATTCGGATACTTATATATGGACGGCTTTCTGCGCATAAGGCCGCTATGCTTTGGAGTAATTCATGACTTCGCTCTTTGCTTCATTGTCATCCCCGTTCTCGTTGTTCTCTTACTCCTCATCGCCATCTTCCTCCTCGTCGTCTTCATCATCTTCGCCGTCAGAGACGGTCTCTCCGAGTTCTTCAAGCTTTGCCTACACAAGCACTGCCTTAGTCCAGACTGAAAATCAACCACCGCATAGGGTTTACTGACCTTGTATTTGGCGACTTTCTCCTCAAGGTCGCCAAATACCATAAGTAAATCGTCAAGCTCGTTTTGGGTTGTCTTTTTGTCTTCCTCGGCCTTTTTGACGGCAACTTCGCCCTAGGGAAACTAGGTTAGTAGTGATTCCTTCGCCGGCCAACATTGCAAGGACTTATTCTTACATGGACTGCCTTCTCCCGAATCTCACGCAGGTCTTTTTCAAGCTGCTCGACACGTGCCTCAGATTTGGTGACGAAGGACTCCTGCTCTTGTAACCTTTTCTCCAATTCTTCCCGGACGCTTTGTAGTTCCTGTGCCTTTGACTTCTTGGCCTGTAGAACCATTAGTCTTGTGCATAAAACCACTGTCGACGTTGCTTGCTCACCTTCATGAGGTCAACCTCGAGTCGGCTGATCGTCGCCTTGAGGTCTGCCATGTCGGCCTCTGCCCGGTGGCGGACACGATCAGCATCTGACTCGGCCGTCTTGCGCGCCTGCTCTAGCTGTTTGCGATGCTCCTCCTGTTGCGAGGCAGCTTGTACTTTGGCGGTCTGTTCGGCTTGGTCGGCCTGTTTCTTGAGCTCTTGTTCCAGGAACGTAATTCGAAAAGCAGCATTCCTTTGGACGTCATCCAGTTGTCTTTTATGTTGTTGTTCGAGTGTTGCGATCTGGGATTCTGTCCTTCTTCGGGCCAGGTCATCCTGCCTTTGATGTTCTTCCTGGAGAGATGCAATTCGACTCTGAAGATTTCTAGCCAAGCAATCAGCAGCTAGCAGCCGTCATGAAAGAGAACAGTACTCACCGTAGCTCTGCATCGTGCTGTTTTTGTATACCTTCGTTCATCTGCTTTATTCTTGCCAACTCCATCGCAGTTGTCTCTCGAGTCCGCCGGTGATCGGCTTGTTCTTGGCCAAGTTGCCGGCTAATCGTCTCGAGATTGACCTGCGCTTCTTGTAAAGCGTGGTCCTTTTCGGTCAACTGTGCTCGAAGAGAGTCAACGAGCTCCCGGGAAACCCCCTTCTGAATACCGTTCGAGACTACAGAAATCTCCAGTCCAGGGTCTCGGTCTATGCCACGGATAATGCGGCTGTAATTATCCTTGAAGAAGTCGACAAACGTAGCATCAAAGTACACGTCGGGCAGCTTGCCTGAGCCCGAGTTACCAAGTTTTTGAGGAATCACTTCAAAGTCTCTGACGAGCGGATCGCTTCTTAACTTGGTCAGCTTGTCAATATACCGCTCGCGTCCCATCCGCGAGACGAGTATGCTGTGAAGGTCAGCCCGGGAAATAGGCGAGTCCTTGGTCGAGAACTCGTATAGCACGCCCAGGAGCATAGCGCAGAGTCCCTGAACAACGTCACCAGATGGGTATGGATGGTTCACGGCCTGAATAAGGCTTTGAGTATTGGTTCCTTCCCCCAAAAAGTCGTTGACGGCGTCCAAGTCTTCAAACAGCCAACCAAGAAGCAGCATCAGATACCCTACCACAACTCGACTATCTTGCTCGCGGTTCAATCCGGAAATGAGATGCGCAGCAATGGTCTGAATACTCGTGACGACTTCTTCACCGTTCTTCGCATCGCCTTCGGTGACGGCCATAGCCATGCTCTTCGCCTCAGGGTTATCGAAAACAAGATGCAACATGATAGTAGCAGCGAACCAACTACGATAGGGGTTGGCCACGGCGGCGTCGGAAGAGGGCCGCAGCAGCACTGTCAGCACATTGGCAGTTTCATCAGCCCCGGTATTATGTCCTTCAATGGCCCTTCGCAGAAAGTGCAAACGAATGTCAGTGTGGCTATGAAAGTAAGCTTTGAGGCAGTCGCATGCTGCCAGACGCAGATCAAAAGCCTCTGAATCCTGCACGCTGAGTGTAAGGTCCAAAAGGCCGTCGATCACATAGACTTTGACAACGCCTTTCGGTTGGCCAGCTTCATTCGGCGTAGGAGGTTCGAGGGGCGACGAGACTTGGAGCTGGGCGAATCCCTCCTGAAGGCTCGGGTTACCCCTGATGATGTCGGCGCAGGTGACTAGAGCCTGCAATCACAATTTTAACAGGGGGGAAAATATGAGTTGACGGGAGAGATAACCAACCTCTGCCTTGATTGGAAGCTGGGCTACGTGGCTGAAGGCCAGTTGGAGGGCATTGTACAACAAGCCGTGTTGCCAGAAGGCGAGCTGGTTTTGCGACGTTCCAACAGCCCCTGCTACTAGAAACAGACGAACGACAGCCAACAGTGCATAGATGTTCCGATTGCGTTGGGTCTGCGCCCAAGCAGCAACCTCCACATCCTCCCGCTGGGCCTTTTCGGCACCTTCCAGCAAGTTGGCCAAACGACGGATACCTCCCGACTCCCGGAAGAGAGACTGGTTAGAGGGATTCCTCCGAAGGAGATTTGCGACAAGAATCAGACAGTCCTCCACAACACGGTCACCCTCAGACAGCGAGCCTTCCAAGGAGATGATGTTGAAAAGTCGGTCAAAAGCGTTTTCGAAGGCAACTAACTTCTGAATGTCGGTCGACGAGGGAGTGAGGAAAATAAGGAGGTTGATGGCTTCGTTGCGTACAGCTTCGCGACTATCGTCGAGGACAGCTACAAGACGAGAAATGCCGAGAGGTGCTGTGAAGACGCACTCTTCAGTTCGCTCGGTTCGGGCAGATAGGATGGCGGCGAGGAGTTGCAGGGAGTAGAGTCTCGAGTAAAAGTCGGCCGAGTCGAGGAAGTTGAGAAGCAGGGTTATGTTCTCCTGGCGCTGAGTGAACTCATCAGCGAGCCATAGAGCGATCTCCTCCGAGGCCTCTGGGCTGTCTTCATTGGGGCTGAATAGCATTAGCAAGGTCTCGAGGACTACCTTGACGGTGTCGACGTCTTCGGCATCGTTGCTGAGACTGCCTATGAGGCTGCGAAGAGCCCCAGAAGCGACAGAGGCAGGGAAATCTTTGGCAAAGCTACGCAGACCAAGTATAGCAGCTCGACGATCCTCAAGCAGGGTGGCCGAACTCAGCCGGCCACTCAGAACCGTGATGGTCTCACCGACCGACTGCTTCGCCGGAGCAGTGGAAATCGAAAACATGCTGTTTCGTCAAGCGCCGGCCATTGGAAGCTACAACAATGCCATGGGGCGAGTGTAAAAAAAAAAAAAAAGAGGTAGAGGCTGTGAGAGGGGGTAATAGTTAATTGTCAATCCAGATCAGGAGATCCGATCCGCCAGGGCTCGTGAAGTGTGCAATGTTGGCTGAGAGCTTGGACCCGTGTTGTACGATGACAGGTGTCCACGAATCAGGATGCCGCCTACCTACCTAGTATAGGTAGTATCTACTAGGGAACCTAGATGCATCATAAACACGAACTGCCAGCACCCGATTGTGGCTTATGAGTGACAGATATGCATCTAGCGAGAATGTATGCTGCCAAAGGTGATGGTTATTAGCATACCTGTTAATCAAGACTACCTATACGGATACCACTTTAATGGCAAGTAGGTACGCGTGTGGTGCTAGGTACCTGCGGAGCTTGGTTGGTCCCTGATTCCCTTGACGCAAATTTGGATATCTACAGTGCGAACGTGTGTAGAGCCACACAAGTGTTCGCCTTTTTAGCACTGCCAAGCAACTATCACAGCTGCTCTTCACAGTCCGTCAACACAGTGTTGAAACATCCAATTCTGGGGTCGATGCGCAATGCACGACGGGTTCTTCGTTCCATTGCACACCCTAGGCGTTTTGCGAAAATCACGACCTTGGATCTTAGGTACTTTTAAGCAGGTGCAAAACCACCAGGCTCAACAACCTCTGTCCAAGTTTCTGACCAGAATTTTTTCCGGCCAGAGATATTATATTCACTCTCTTCTTCTGCCATTCCCAGAAGAGAAGGTTACATATTCTTTTACTTGCTTCTACCTATCCTCATCGCCTTGTCGCGGTCACGACGCGTACATTCTCCTTCAGCGATCACATCTCTCAACCAGTAATCACGACCGTAACACTGCGACTTTGACTTCCATTTGAAGCTGCGGAACCGAAGCATCCATGCGCCAAAAGCCCCCTGCAACATATCCATACTGCGACAGAAGAGCTTTCAGCTCGCCTCGCCTACCGTCTTACAACGACGAGACGCTCTGAAAAATTGACACAAAAGCAAACCCGAGCTTCTTTTTCAGATACCGCCTTTGTACAACCTTCAAGATGGGTATCCCAGCCGCCTTCCGATGGCTCTCCAACAAATACCCGAAGATCATCTCGCCCGTCATCGAGGAGCAGCCTGTGAAGATGGAGGATGGTTCCGAGATTCCCGTCGACACCATGGGGCCCAACCCTAACGGCGAGGAACTTGATAACCTGTATCTCGACATGAACGGTATTGTCCATCCTTGTTCACACCCCGAGGACCGTCCAGCCCCAAAGGACGAGGAGGAGATGATGCTGGAGGTCTTCAAATACACGGATCGTGTTGTCAACATGGTTCGTCCGCGAAAGCTACTCATGATTGCTGTCGGTCAGTAGCCCCATTATTACTCTGTCTTTTAGCCTATTCTATCCTCTGCTGGCATCGTAACTAATCTCATACGATATAGATGGCGTCGCCCCTCGTGCCAAGATGAATCAACAACGGTCTCGTCGATTCCGATCCGCACAGGAAGCTCAGGAGAAGGAGGAGGATAAACAAGAACTTCTCAAGCTGTTAAAACAGCAGAGTGGTGGTATCGTCTCTAACGACAGCCTAGAAAGCGTCACGAAGAAGGCCTTCGACTCGAACTCCATTACTCCCGGCACTCCCTTCATGGATATCTTAGCGGCGAGTTTGCGATACTGGTGCGCATACAAGCTGAACACGGATCCGGCATGGGCTAGGCTTAAAATCATCATTTCTGATGCAACAGTCCCCGGGGAAGGAGAGCACAAGATCATGAACTTTGTGCGGTCTCAGCGCATTTCTCCAGATTATGATCCAAACACCCGCCACGTCATTTACGGTCTCGATGCAGATTTGATCATGCTTGGTCTAGCAACTCATGAGCCCCACTTCCGAGTTCTGCGTGAGGATGTCTTCTTTCAAGATAGCAAGGCCAAGATGTGCAAGCTGTGCGGACAGAAGGGGCACGAGGCTCGCGCCTGTCGTGGACAAGCCAAAGAAAAGGTTGGCGAATTCGATGAGCAGGAGAAGGGTCCCGCTCTCAAGCCCTTCATCTGGCTCCACGTTTCTATCCTCCGTGAGTATCTGGCTGCGGAGCTCAATGTCCCAGGCTTGCCCTTCCGCTTCGATCTGGAAAGAGCCATTGACGACTGGGTCTTCATGTGTTGCTTTGTGGGCAACGACTTTCTGCCTCATTTGCCAGCACTCGAGATCCGAGAAAACGGTATCGACACTCTGACAGCCATTTGGAAGGACAACTTACCTGTTATGGGCGGCTATGTGGTCAAAGACGGCCACGTCGATCTGGGTCGGGCTCAGCTAATCCTGAATGGTCTGGCGAAGCAAGAAGACTCTATCTTCAAGAGAAGGAAGGAGACAGAAGATCGAAGAGAGGCTAACTTCAAACGGAGAAAGCTTCAGGAAGAGCGCAATCCCAGGTTTGCCAAGCCGAAGCAATTTGACAACGCGGCAGCGGGCTTGACCTTGTTCCCGGCTGCAGGAGGTCCAAATGGCATCACACACGACATGGTGGTAGGCCGCTCGTCTAACATGAACGCCAACACTGCCAACAAAAGCGCTGCAAGCGCCATCCGTGAGCAACTTAAGGACCTGATGTCCAAGCCGGAGCCTAGCCAAGAAGTTGACTCTGGCGAGAAAGCGAGCGAAGAAGCTCCGAGCACTGCAGACCAGAAGTCTGTACTCGGCAAACGTAAGGCCGAGGACGCGGCAATACAGGCCGATTCGACCCCTGCCAGTGTGACGGGCCCTAACACGCCGTCTGCTGCCGAGGAAGCTGCAGTAGATCACGTTAGGATGTGGGAGGAGGGATATGCTGATCGGTATTATGAGCAGAAGTTCCACGTTGACCGCAACGACCATGAGTTCCGTCACAAGGTTGCAAGGGCCTACGTTGAGGGCCTGTCATGGGTTCTTCTTTACTACTTTCAAGGATGCCCGTCTTGGGAGTGGTACTACCCGTACCATTACGCTCCTTTTGCTGCGGACTTTGTTGATCTTGACAAGATGGATGTGCGGTTTGAAAAGGGTCGCATTTCGAAGCCGTTTGAGCAACTTATGAGTGTGATGCCAGCCGCTTCTCGCAGTGCGCTGCCTGAAGTTTTCCACGACCTGATGTTGAATGAGGACAGCGAAGTCATTGACTTTTACCCGACCGAGTTTGAGATCGATCTGAACGGAAAGAAGATGGCATGGCAGGGTGTGGCGCTTCTGCCTTTCATCGAGATGCCGAGATTATTAGCTGCCGTTGAAAAGAAGTATCCTCTTCTGAGTGCGGCAGACCAGGCACGAAACGGTGTTGGCAGGGACGTGCTGCTTCTGTCAGATGCCCACCATGAACTATACGACGAGATCACGACTAGCTTCTACTCCAAGAAACAAGGAGCACCTACACTGAAGCTCAACCCGCGGACCAGCGACGGGCTGGCTGGTAACGTTGAGAAGATTCCAGACTATTTGCCGCACGGAGAATTGGTATATCCTTTGGAGCGCGGAGAAATGCCTAACCTTGACTACGACAGGTCTCTCAGGTATGCCAAGACCGCAACTGCAGAATTGATGGGGTTGTAGACTAACATTTGAGGCAGGGTCTGGTACACGTTTCCATCGAGCTCCCACCCTCACAAATCTATGTTACTTCGGGGTGTCAAACTTCCGGCTCCGGCCCTGGACCGTAACGACATTGACACGCTCAAAGGAAAGTCGAACCGGTCCGGCCGGGGCTACGGCGGCGTCCCCTTTCAACGCGGCGGGCACCATGATAGCGGTCGTCGAGGCAACTTCAGCTACGCTCCCGGCGGCGGCGGGCAAGGACGTCAAGATCGCGGACCGCCGTCTTACTCAGGCAACGGCAACTATGGGCATGGGCAACATGGAAATCAGCCACCTGGCCCACCACCAATCCAATCGTCATGGCACCCCCCGCCGCCAGGGCATCCTGGATTCGATATGGGCCTTCCACCTCCGCCGCCGCCCGCTGGGTACGGGAATGATGGTCGAGGACCAAACACGTACCGTGGAGGCGGATACAATCAGCACCAGAATTATGGACCACCGCCACCTGGGCCCAATTCTTACTACGGTCAAGCTGACGGGGGTCATCGTGGAGGCCGAGGTGGCTATCAGGGTCGTGGTGGCTACGGCGGAGGTCGTGGTGGCGGAGGAGGTGTTGGTGGTGTTGGTGGTGGTGGTGGTGGTAGAAGATATGGCGGTGGACGGAATAGTTACCGCTAAATGGAAGGAAAGGGGGACCTCACTGAGCAGAACAGAAGTTGTGAGGGATCAGATAAGAACATTAGTCGGTATTTAAGGTGCGGATAGTACAGATAAGCACAAGTGGACAAGCCGTTCAAGGCAAAAGGCACGTTGTACTAAGAAGGCAAACATTAAATAGCAAATTTCTGCAGCTTACCGCGTGGTCGGTGTATCTTCGAGATGCAGTGGAAATTGTAAGGCCCAGGTACCGCAGCATGTGTTGGAGAGTTGAAATATCAGCGTGAACAGAAAATGTATGAGGAAGTAATCCCTGCCACAGTCCGTTTGGCGCGCTTAAGGATGGGGCGCGCATTGGAACGCACTGACAACAGATGAAACTGAGAAAGTACACCAGTGACACCACCATCCCCTCAGACGCCACTTCCCTCAAAATGTTGAAAGCAGTTAGCGGTCTCTTGCAAGCTTATAGGTAGGTAGCTAGGTAGGTATGTACCTGGTAGGCAGGGTACAGATAGATGCAAGGTACCGCGTGTAGGTACGGCGGCACGTACCTACTCGGGTATCGCTCACAGTGCATCTCGCATTTTGGAGAAACCTTGGCATTGTGTCCCCGCTCCCTATTGTCCTATTGCATGCCTCAGCCTTGGGTTCAGTACAGAAGGGATTCACTACGTACCTACGTAGTAGTACGTCGGATTACATCGATAGGCGAGGTACGCTACCTATTTGCAGTGACTACCGAAGGGCATTCACATGGCCTCGACCTTTCGAAACCTCGAAATTCACAAATCGCTGCCGTCTCTATTTTCTCTTCGCGCAAAGTCTACCAGCCAATCAACTGATTAATCAGGCTAATCCAAGCGCGACACAATCACCACCTCTCCTCCTTCTCTCCCTCCTCCACGCCCAACCATCTCATTTTCCGATCGCGGCCGACCGTTTGCATACATTCGGTGCGAGAGCGCGCCATTCGTCCGCAGCCTGGCCCCAGCTTTTATCGACTCCACCTGATACAGCTCGCACATCAACACCGACCGGTACAGAGCTGCTATCCAAGTCCGGCTCCATTGCCTTACTCAGTCCTGTTCCGTGCGCCACTCACAGCTTATTAGCTCTAACAATAAGCTAGTTGGGCTCATTTGAAGCCCGCGATCGCCTCTCCTACAGCTACCCGACGCTTCATCTGCTCCTACAACCAACACCTGTCACCTTTACCTCCATCCTATCTCTATACCGGCCCGCACTACCATATGTCACCGACGAACGGCAACCTCTCGCGATACCGTGACCAAGTCTCACTCCGAGCTTGAGGACGGAGAAGAATATTGGGCGCGCGCGTGCGGTCATGAGCTCTACTGTTCTGGGGCGCAGAAATGAACGGCGATGCTGGTCTCGTCGGCTGCCTGGTCGATAGGCTCGCCACCAGGGTATGTCAACATTGACTCCTCCTTGGCCTTGAACTTATCGCTGATGCTGAATTTTGTCTCTCGCCAGCTGCCTCATAGAACAGGAACCCATGGGCAGGAGCTTCAGCAGGACGATGTCGTTCTCATCACAAAGTCGACCCTGGTCAAGATTAGTACTTCTGCTCTCTCCTTTGTGCTCGACTCCCTCGTCGCTCTCCTCGAAGACATAATTCGAAACTACAAAGGCATTCCTCCACTTGCACACCCACCACATGTTCTTCTATCCGAAGTTTACGTTCTTGCCTTAGCTGCCGACTGCTGTACCGCCCATTGGAACCACGTCAAGGCTCAGGGCTTGCGCCAACCTGCAGCCAACACCGACCCCCGCCGTGTTACTCCGGCCATTGCCCCAGAGCCATTGGACGAGGCTCTCGTCAACCGAGTCTTCGACTTGATCAAGTGGCTTGTTGAGCCCACCCCCGAGGGCTACGTCCTGCCCTCCTACACCATTCTTGATGATACACTGAGGCATACCGACACCGTAGCCCGCTCTGCAAGTGGTCTCGCCTCGCCCCTCCCCGGTGATAGCGATGCGTCCGAAGATGATGACGCTTTGACCACCACTCAAGCCGCCGTTTTGGAGCCTTGCGTAAGAGTTATTGTTGAGTATGTCACGGCTTCCACATGGTCCTGCTCTTTCGACTACTTCAGAAACGTTGTCTATACTGTCCGTACCGCAGCCGTTGTACAAGCTGCTCCTGGCCAGTCGGCCGCTACACCGGACGATGACAAAGCTTCACTGGCGGTGCTAAAAATCTTGTCCTTCTTCTGGGTCGACGCTCAGAAGCTCGGCCTCATCATTCAGGAGATATGTTCTAGCTTTTTGCATTTTCGCAAGTCGTTCCAGAACACGATAGCCGTCGTTACCCCCTTGCTCATTACTAGGTGGCTCGATCGATATCCCCATGAATTCGTACAACAACATACTTTGCACAAGCGTCTTGACGGCGGCGCTGACACCTTATTTGATATGACACAAACCGTTGTTGACAATGGTCGCAAGAAGGGGATGCTGTACCCGTTACAAACCACTCTGCTCTTCCTTCTACCCGACGTGTTCGAAGTGGCTAGTAATCTCCGAGAGGCCAAAAGCAGTAGTATGGCCAAGAAGGTCGGTTTCTTGGACAACCTCAGGAAGGCCCTCAGGAACAAGAATGAGCAAGCAGCGTACTCTTTGGTGTCCTTGCTTAGGGCAGCGCGCCACTTCGTGGCAGAAGATGACGCGGCGCTGGTGAGCTACGCCATGGATGTCCAAGACGAGGTTCGTGAAGCGGTCTTCCGACGTGGCAACGATTCTTCCTTGTTCGATCAAGATATGATGACAGCAGCTTTTGTGAGCTTGGCTGAACTAAGCCTGGACAGCTGTGTCGACTCGCTTAGCCAGTCGTATCTCAGTCTATCTTCACCACAGGCCTTCAAGACGGCTGTCGTGCAAGGCTGCCGCTACTTTGCGCGGCAGAGCGATTCGCATATCTATGAACAACTCTTTGCCGTGGCGGGACCGTTTATGCGTACCCAACTTAAGGTATATCAGATGACCACCCCCTCAAATTATTTCTCGCTTCCTCTTGGACTAGAAAGACTCGTTGTCTTGTAGCCCTAGCTGCATTCGACCATTTTGGTAACCAGGATTATAGGCCATTGCGGATTCACCTGCAGAATCTGGTACTGTGGCGCTCCCGCTACCGCGTCGCGACTCCAACCTGCACTCGTTCACAAATATGGCATGTGATGTCCTTAGGTTTTTGGATGCCTCGCCTCGCTCTCTTTTCGACGGCGACGGGCAAGTAGAACCTAGTGCTGGGGCTGCTGACGAAGATGTCTTTCTTTCTTTCTTGTCTTGCGTCGTGTCTGCCAATCCTACCATCCGAAGACTTGCTACAGGCGTCGCGAAGCGCCTCTTCTCCGATGATGCTATCATTGATACCCTTCGCACACGCGGCAGACTGAGTTCGGTAGCGTTCAAGAGGGAATTTTGGAGACGCAGGTAGGACACCATTGAAACCTTACGCTGGTCATAATCTTGCCCCGGGCTAACATAAGTCTATCCAGTTCACTGGTTCTGCTGAACATGTGCAGCCATGCTACTTCGGACGGAGACGGACTAGAAATCAAGGCCGTTCATGAATATCTCGAAGCCCGCAAGTTCTTACTGGCGTCGCTGCGTGTAAGTCGTCCCTGACCTGGCTCGGCACTGTCCGGTACAGTTGGTCCACAAAACTGACGATGGCTTGCTTCGCTTTCAGGAGCTCTCAGACATGCCCGACGGTGTTCCCGAAGTCGAGGGGGCTTCTTCCAGACTCGAGACGACCCTTCTTGTCTCTTTGTGTTCCGCCGACGTCGAGACTTGCCAAACAGTGACAGCGTGTATAAGGCTTTTCTATGAGGAAAACAATCTCGTCGATATTGCCTCAGATGCCGCCAAAGGATTTGCTACACTTCTTCGTAACGGTGAGGTCTACGGTGAGATCGCTTCTCGAGCATTCCGCTTCACCGGGCTCGTGGCGTTCCAGAAACGGGTCCGCGGCCTACTCCGCCGGCTGCAGTATCCCACGAGCGGTATTCTCTCGGCTTGGGAGTACGGTTTTGAGAGGTGGCTGCTGCTTTCGAGGGAAGTTTCCATGACGCCGGTTGATGTTGTAGATGACAGAACCTTGACTGAATGGCGGAACTACTCGGGCTTCCTCGCTTCTCTAGGGGGCATCTGTACCGCAAACCAAGCAATCATTCTCGAGGAGCCTGCGCTAAGCGGATTAAGATGGATTGACAAGCTCCCTTCGGAGAACCACGAAGAGCCTCTATTGAACAGATATCTCACGCTCAGCATTCAGCTTCTAGGCTGTGCAAACGTCAGGATCAGAGAGGCTACTCGGGAGGTCCTCTCAAGCGAGGTCTCACCCACGCTATATCAGTCTCTTTTCAAAGCCCTTGAGTCCGAACTGGAGGTTCTGTTCACGGGGGCGTTAGCACCGAGCGACAAGGCACAGGATGTCGAAATCATCTTTGCCGAACAGGCCATTTCCCTCCTGAAAGCGCTCGTGGAGCGTCTCGAGAGTCCTTCAGATCTCGGTGCTGCCTCGGCCATACACCTCGGTGCTCTCACTCTCAACTTCGCCAAATTCCTCGACGGCGTCAGCGATAGCACCAACACCCTACGCGTCAAGATCAAGGTCTGCCAGCTGTGTGAGGCTGTCACAAAAAGGAAAGAGCACCTGAATTTGAGGGACGACGTGCGGATCAGGAATCAGCTTCTCGAGTACATTTTCGGTTGGATTGCTCGGCCCCGGTCTCCGCGCCTCGATTCGACTACCAGCGGCTTAAGTGGACGTCTGGACGAGGTCGTGAGGGTGCAAAAGGACCTTGACAAAGCATGTCTCAAGTCACTGGCTGAGCTTACATTCCGTCTTCCGCTGCAGCCCGGCGAGGGTCAGACCGATGCTGGCACAAGCGAACTCAAGTCGCAAATGTTTCATACCTACTTCAACCGCTTTCTCTCATTGCTCAATCACGAGTCTCCCGAGGGCGGTAGAAATGAATTAATGGCGGGCATGTCGAGCCGAGACGAAGGTGGATCTTCCTCGGAGTTCGCCATCACTATCCTCTCGAATTTGCTTAGCGCCAATATTGATGTCGGCCTGAAGCACTCTTTGAACATTGGGTACCACGACAATGTGGAGATCAGGACGGCATTTGTCAAAGTTCTGTACAATATCCTCATCCAGGGTACTGAGTTTAGCAACCTGACAGATGCTGCGGTCAGTGAGAAATATGATGAGTTACTCGAGGTAAGTGAGCATTCTGGTCTAGATGAGCGCAGCCGTTCCAAGGTCTGACATGCTGCTTAGCTCCTCACCAAAGACATGACACTTGTGGCCGCCATGAGTGCTGTATGCCCGAGCAGCGAAGTTGACGAGCTGACCGTTTCTTTACTTACTATCTTTGAGCACCGTGGTCTCAGCTTCGAGCTGCTGGAAGTTCTCATCAAGCAAGAGATCGAGGACACGGGTGAGTCAATCCTATTCTGGCACATGCAAGGACAGTAGTTAACCATATCCTTTGGGCATGTAGATAACGAGTCCGAGATTCTCCGGCGGACGTGTGTGGCTACCAAGATGCTTTCTGTTTATGCCAAATGGAAGGGGCAGCCGTACCTAAAAGCCACTCTCCAAAAGGTTGTCGAAAGGTTGATGCTCACCTCTAAGGATCTGGATCTTGAACTGGACCCAGCTAGAGTCGGGTCTACGGATGAGCTGCAGAAAAATGCTCTTCAACTGCGCATTGTGGCAAAGGTATTCATTGACGACATTTGTGCGTCGTCCTCCAGTATGCCGGCTTCGTTTCGTAAGATCTGCAACATCGTACGTCTACTCCGAGCTGCGAAGCCCCCTTTCAATAGTTTGCCATCTAACACTGTGTTATTAGATTTCTACCGCCGTACTTCCACGGTTCCAAGAAGCCAAATACACAGCTGTGGGAGCCTTCGTGTTTCTCAGGTTCTTCTGCCCTGCCATTGTTGCGCCCGAGGTTGAGGGTCTGGTCACGACGACGCCTTCCAAAGAAATGCGTCGGGGTCTTCTTCTGATTGCGAAGGTCATCCAGAACCTAGCAAACAATGTGCTCTTTGGAGCCAAGGAGCCGTACATGTTCCCTTTGAACGACTTCCTCACACAAAACATTTATCGTGTTACTACTTTCCTGCGTGAGATATCTGTATGTATTCCTATGGATCTGGCTTATAGCTACCCCCCCTCTCACATGTACTAATGGTGCTGAAGGTACATCCGGAAAACCTGGAAACTCCACCTACTACAGAGTCGTTTGACTTTGGCTCTTGCGTAGCGTTGCATCGGTTCTTGTATGACCACTGGGATCAAATGCGACAAAGACTTGTGACCCAAGAGCGAAGGGATTTTGTCCGGTCACCCGCCGAGGTATCCCGTGGTCGATCACCTGTTCTCGAACCTCTTCGGAATCTCATTACGAATCTGGGACCGCCGCCCTTGGCCGTGACCTGGAACAGACCACAAATATCGACCAACACGCCTCCGTCATACTCAAGGTTTCAGAACTTTATGCTTCGGAACGCCTTCCGCAGCACCGAATCTTTTATCACTGCTAGAGCTGTCTACGACGGTGGTGAAAGCAAGGTACATGCCCAATTAATTCCTTTGCCGTAATGCCTCTGGTGAAAAGCCACTGATAGCTGTCGACAGGATTCTCTCTCCATCATCTGCATCATTTTACGACACATCGACGCTGAAAGTATAGACTACGACACTCTCCTGTATTGCTACTTGAAGGTACAATCAAATCCCCCGGTGGACCGATGTTTACTAGCCTGATCGTGTCGAAGAACCATTCCGTTACCCTGAGATTCATCAACCCATCCAATGCGACCTTCTATACAAGACAGTATCTATATACTGACTGCTTGTAGATTGCAAGCCGCTTGTGGCATAAGCCATTTGGTCTCCTTATCGACGCCACTTGTTACAATGGCCAGAATGAACCCCAAGACGATCTTTTCAAGAAACTCGAACAACTCACACCCGTCGAATTGTCCAAAAACCTAGTCAGGATTTACGTCTACAACATGAACAGCGCATTCAGGTATGTAATCATAAGCGGCGGGTGCTACATGCTACCAGCAATAATAGTAGTCACTAATGCACGGATAGGAAGTGTTTCCGGAGGCTTCTGCGAGTCTCTGCAAAAAGCGACAGCAGCGTTTTCAACCCCAAGAATGTCGATTATCATTTGATCGGCAGTCTGCAGGATTTACAGGCTCACTTCCACCTCAGCCAACTTCATCTCCCCAAAGAGACAATCAGCGTCGTGACAGATACCCGTTATGTATTCCAGCCAATCACTCGCCTCTCCAAGACAAAGGGCAAAATCGAAGTAGTCATCAAGGTTGGTAGTCAATTTGTACAGGTCACTACCACCAAGAAACAGGAAGTTTTCCCTGGCTACAGGCTGAGCACCACTGTCAACGACATTTTCAGACTTGGCGAGGTGGAAGAAGCGCCAACTTCAATTCAGACAGAGGACGATTCAGCTTTTGGTCTCCGTGCAGACAACGGCAAAATTGTTATGTACTTCACCAGCCCTAAAAAGGTCGACGTGCTTCAGACAATCCGCGGTGCAAAGGCCAAATATGGCAAGGACACAAGAGCACACAAGGCCTACGAGCGATTGATCCGTCCGCAGGATGTGCCAGGTACTCTGCTCAATCTTGCCTTGACAAACTTGTCAAGCTCCGACCATGTGTTAAGGCTTTCATCGTACAATCTCCTCGGAGCCCTATGCAAGGCTTTCAAATTTGGCGCAGCTGCGAATTTGATGTGCACCAAAGGTTTGGCTCCCTTGTCTGGCCACTCCCTTCGAGCCTGCATAAACACAACTCACTACGTTAGCTATCTGCTGACTTCTTGAACGCAGATGTATCTGTTCCAATGGACCCTTCTCATTTCATCATCAAGATTAGCCGACAGTTAGCGACGACTGAACCACAGCTGACATTTGACTTTTTGACTGAGTTCTTTGTTGGTTGGGAGACCTTCACAGAAGAGCAAAAGCCACTCAGTCTTGCCTACATGGCACCATGGCTTCCAGGGTTACGGACGGCAGTTATGTCGAATGAGCCTGATGCCGAGAAGGGCAAGGAGAAAGTTGCTTCTCTATTCCGGAAACTCATAGACGTGGCCATGTCGGACCACGGGTTGACATATACGCTAGAGCAAGTTGTCTGGCCCGCCATTTATCAGGACGAAACTATCCTTGATATTTTCCTCGAAGAGCTGATGAGGGCAGCATTAAGCTTTGGCTTCTCTGAGGAGCCCATGGAAGCCTTGTCTTCCATTGTCTCGGGTATGGGCAGCATCACGTTGCGTGGCAAAGTCATCTCCAGGCTACGCAAGGCGTTGAACCGTTCCTCTCTTCGGCCCACGAAATACTTGCCTGACAATGCTGTTTGGCCCGAGATCTGCGTATTGCTCCACTTCTGTCTGTCACTGTCCTTCGACAACGGCGTTCAGTCACAGCTGTATCTCCCTGAGATTTTCCATATCGTCACGATCCTGGCAAACACCGGTGCTCCAGAGGTACGCTTGCTTGTCCATAGGCTCCTTGTCAACACCGTACATGCAGCTTGTACTTCATTCAGCCTCGACGACGCTCGGTTCAGCAAGCTTAGGGGAAGCTTGGACTTTCTCAGCGAACCCAGGAGCGAAATCTTCTCAGCGCCGCCTCCGTTCTTACGTGATGGTGCCTCTATGTCAACAACGCAGGATGCCGGGCCTTCGCTTGCTGCCACCGAGAACCTAGCAGCGGTTCTGTTTGAGGTCTGCTCGGTCGCAGCACCTTCAATCGACATCTCCAACGCTTGGAGATCTCGGTGGATGAGCTTGGTTGCCAGCACTGCTTTCCAGAACAACCCTGCGATTCAGCCCCGAGCTTTTGCCGTTATGGGTTGCTTAGCGAGGGAAGAAGTGGACGACGACCTGCTGTACCAAGTACTTGTCGCCTTGCGGAATAGTGTAGGTCGCTTAGGTGAGGATACCAACAGTGACATGCTCATTTCTATCGTCACATCCTTATCCAAAATGATGGCGAAATTACCCTCGGCGTCTCGATATGGTCTGCAACTCTTCTGGCTGGCAATCTCACTTTTACGACTCGTTCCCCCAGCGCTGTTCAATTGCACAGCCCAGTTCCTGGAGGCCGTCATGACCAACATCAGTACGGTGGGAGATCTGAGGGGGGACAAGATGGGCCCTCTACTCCTTCAGGGTCGAGTCCAGCTCGAAGAGGCTGCACTACCTTTGGATGACGCGTACGGTATTCACTTCACGGCCGACAACTTCCACTTCGCAGTCTGTGCGTGCCTCGCCCGCGGTCTTGCTGACACCACGACCAAGACCAACGCTACCAGAGTATTGTCGGCCTTCTTAGATATGGCTGGGAATCCTTCGGGATATGTAGGCAAGCCGTCGGATGATATCTCTCGATCCCCTTACATGGCTCTTATCTTGGCCCGAACTGTTGGGAGCGATGAACTCAGGGACAGTCTGTGGCTTGCTGGCATCAACCCTTTGCTTTTGGGGGATGTGAGTGGAACACAGCGATATGAGGACCTTGGTAGCATGAAGGACAAAGACCTCCTCCTCAACACAGCCATCGAGTTGATAGATTTCCAATACCTGGAGGATGCGCTACAGAATCGTACGCTCCGATGGTTGACTGAGCTTGCAACAGCGAGGCCGGCGGTCACCATGCACCTGTAGGTTATTCTCTTTCACTATTCCGTCACAACACCTTCGGTATTAATTACTGACGTTGCTTTAGTTGTGGCCCAATAGTCTCCATCCTAGACGACGTTCTTCTTCATTGTCAGAATTCATCTACACTGGAATCTGCACAAGCACTTCTCTACGCCCTGACAACAAACCCGAAGTTCAGTACCGCTTTAGACTCTACTACTGTGCTTAATGAAATCCTTGAGGATATGGGTTTTAGTGGGTTATGGCGGTCGTGCTCTTTTAACTTTAGCCAGGACCAAGACAGGAAATGCTTTCTCCTTACTGAAAAGCTAATAGAAGTAAGTACTCTTATAATAACAATTAGACATAAAAAGAAAGATACTAACTTAGTAATAGCTTATTATAGTTTAGTATTAGCTAAATATAGTTAAAGTATATGCTTATATTATATTTTATGTATTTATAAAGCATTTCTTTTCTAAAAGTTAGTTCTATATAAGTAGCTTTCTAAGTATGTATTCTACTAGGGAAAAGAATATAGACTAGGGTTAAAAGATTAAATAAATTAAAGTAAAATAAGCTTATATTTCTAAGTAATAAAGGTTAATATAATATATATGAAAGTAAATAAAGATTAATAGTTATATTATATTTATAATATATATTAGAATAATAATATTATATAATTATATAACGCCTATAAGATAATTAATTAAATAATAACTATAAAGTATTTATAACTTAATAAGAATTATTATAACTTAATATTAAAGGCATAGACTAGATACTTAGGCTATAGTTAAAGACTATTAGGGGGGAATAATATTATATATAGCTAAATAACTTAAGGTATATAAATAGGTATAAAACCCTTAATATAATAATAAGTAGGATTAGCTCTTTAGTTATTAAAATATATATTAATTTACCTTTATACTTATATTTTATTAGTATATTAATATATAAAAGTCTATTTAATACTAATTAGTAATTACTTAGTAATTATAAGTAATTACTATATATAATTATAGATTAGTAAGAGTAAAAAGACAAGAAAGTTCTCTAATAAGGCTTACTTATACTAAGAGCCTTAAATCCTACTATTATTATTTATTAATATAGTACTAGATAGTATAAAAAAGAGAAGACTACTTATTAGTCTAATATATAAAAGATTATTTCTATATTTACTATAATAAACTATAAACTAAGTAAAAGGACCTTATTATATAATACTTTAAGAAAGTAGTATATATTATAGTATATATGTTATTAATTATATAGCACTATATAATATAATATAGTTATTACTACTATAATAGTATCTTAGTAAGGAGAAAAGTATATACTTAATGCTTTTAAGTAATAAATATAAAAAGAATAGTAAGAAATAACTATTAATAAAGATAAAGAGTTAATTATATATAAAAAGATAATATACCTTAATAAATACTAATATATACTTAAAAATACTAAATAGATCTAAAGTTTTAGTTATATAAGCTAGACCTTACTAAAGAAGTCCTTTTAGTAAAGAAGTTAACTATATATATAAGATATATATTTATATATATCTTTATAATAAAATTACCTTTATAAGGCCTTAAGATTTTATTATATAAAGACTTTTAAGGATAGTTAGTAATTTATTAGTCTAAGATTAATTATATATTTAAAAAAGAATTAATATAAGTCTTACTAAAGTAAGGATTAAATATATTAAAGATAAAAAGATAATTACCTTTTTTCTAGATATTTACTATAATTTAATTATTCTAAGACTTTAACTTACTATTTAAAAAGTATCTTATTTATATAATTACTAATATAACTATATTAACTATTAAAGATATACCTTAGTATAAAGGTATAGGTAGTATACTACGCCTGTTAATAGACTATTCTAGTATTACTAAAAGATTAATTAGTTTAAGACTAAGTGCCTAAAATACACTATATATAGCCTTATAAAGGGTAACTAGGCTAACCCCTTATAATTACCCCCCTTCTAATACGACGCGTCCTAAGTTACTTTAGGCCTACGTACACGCACTAGCGCTGGTAACTATACACTAGAGTATAAGGTTATGTTAACCCTAAAGGCCCTAGGCAGCCTGGCGTCTAGTAACAGCTGCTAGACATTACCTCCCTGCACCTAGTCCCTCTAAGCCTAACGTAAGCTGCCTCTTATTTATGCCTAGCTAACTAATCTACTAATTAATAACCTCTAGCCCCTTAAGGCCTACACTAAAGAGAGTCTTAATAAGTAGAATTTAAACCTAGCCCCTGTTAACAGCTAGAAGACCTACTTAGTGCCTAAATAATTATAAAGGTATAGGTAGTGTGCTATGCCTGTTAATAGACTATTTTAGTATTACTAAAAGATTAATTAGTTTAGGTACTAAGTGCCTAAAATACACTATATATAGCCTTATAAAGGGTAACTAGGCTAACCCCTTACACTTAGATAACACTAAAGGGCCTAGCTAAGATTTTAATAAAGTTAATTAAAGTTAAAAATATATAAATAGCTTAAAGACTTTAAGCTTTACTTATATAAATATTACTACTTAGTATATAAGTTACTTAAGAGGTAAAAAGCTTTTTAAAAGCTTAAAAAGTAAATCTTTTTTTTTAGAAAAAGGATATATATAATCTCTTACTTATATATATTATTTAAAATAGCCTATATAACCCTTATATAATCTCTATTTTCTAAAAAGAATAGTAAAAAAAGAAAAAATATACTAAGAAGCTATATAATATACTATATAATAAAGCTAAGATATTTATTATCTTTTACTATTATCTTTAGATTATAAAAGACTAATATTATACTATTTTTCTTAATATGTTTTTAAATTATATAAAAAGAGAAATTTCTATATTAGCCTTATATAAAGATAAGATAAAATAAGTATTAGAGCCTAAGATAGTACTTATAAATCTTAAGATATATATTAGTTATCACTAGGGTAGTAATATAGTTAACTATATATATTAATAAGTAATAACAAGTAATAGGGGTAAATACTAGTTCTAAATTATATATAGAGAGGAAAATTATTATAAGATTATATAGTAAATTCACTACGTAATATACCTATAGGTCTAGTAGATCTATAAGGAAATTACTATAAAATCCCCTAGGGAATTTTATAGTAAATTAGCTATAATTATTCTAGCTATTATTAGTATTAATTTATACTACTAATATCTTAGTAATAGTTAATATTATAGTACTAGTAACTTTCTAAAGTGCTATAGATTATCTTTACTTTCTAGTTATCTATAAAAGGTCTAAAAACGTAATAAAAATAAAAGGCTAAAAAGTATTTAATACTTTTTATATAACATACCTATATAGTAAGCAGGCTATTATAGTAAGCAGACTACTTCCCTCTACCTTTCTACTTTTTATATAATTTAATTTAACTAAATTATATAAAATTAATTAAAAATATATATTACTTTATTCTTTATTACTATCCTAAACTACCTTATAGGTTTATATATTATGTCTAGTCTTTCTATAATTACTATATTGTTACGTATATAGCTTACTACCCTCTATATAACCCTCCTTTTAGGATATTTTCCTACCTCTAGCTTTAACACCCTCCTTTTCTCCTTATAGTACCTCTACTTTAGTTATATTAAGTAACCCTTAAAGACGTAGTTAGGTCTTTTTAGCCCTCTAGCGCTTACTTAGTATATCTATCCTTATATAAAGTCTAAGGTTCTTAGCCTTAATAAGAGTAAGCCTATATACTAACTTACTAATACCTTTAGCTTAAAGGTTAATTACCTTATATATTAGTATTAGTAAGCTTCCTTAATATCTCTAGATCTTCTTTTTTAGTAAACTAGCACTTTATATACCCTTAAGTGTAGTTATTAGTGTCTTTAGGTCCTATAAGCCTAAGCTAGTTAGATATAAGCTAAGAGGTGTTAGTGTATTTAGCTTAAAATCTAGGTAAGAAATAACTACTTTAGGGTTAAATAGTATA